TGGGCAGCAGCAGCGATGGGGCACCGGGAGGGTGCAGGTGGATGGGGAAGGGAGCAGGAGCTCCTCTGTGTAGCTAGTTTACCCCTAGCTCAGCCTGGGTCACTCAGTCCTGGTGGGACTGTACCCCCAGCACGAGTGCAGCAGCCGCCTGTGGCACCAGTGGGGTCTGAATCAGGCCTGGCCATGTGGTCACATTTCTGTTAAATTAGCTAGCCTACACAATCCAGAGCCTAGGCTGGCATGGTGCCACTTCCAGAAGGACAGACAATGCCTGATGTGGCATGCAGTCTCACAGGGCAGTAACTGTGTCCACTCCAGAAGGAAATATTAAAGGGAGCTGTCAGACTGGGCTTGCACTGGGTTAGTACTCAGTTGTGTGACTGCAGCGGTCTTATTCTGGGAGGCTCCCAAGGGTGCTTATTCAGCCATACTATAGTTATACTTAAACCATATAAAACTTCTGTGTGTTGCCCTGTCTTTCCTGTCCTGGCAGTAGCTGTAGGAGAGTGCCTAGGAGGAAGCCAGCTAATGCCATCTGATGTTCCACCGGGACAAAGGAAATCCGAGCACGTCAGCCAGACATCAGGGTCCCCACGAGGTGATGGCAGAGAAGGGGTTTTCCCACTATGGTGGTTATCTACCTGCATGGTGCATTTGTGCTGTACCTTGCTGCTACCTAGTTTTTCAGGCTGCTGGTGTCCTTGGACAAGTGCTGTCAGCTGGCCTGTGCTGCTCTTTTCTGTGAGAGATGTCTGCTTGAAATGGGGCTGCAGCCGGTCATCGCCCCTCTGGCTGGAGCTGCGTTCCAACCCCGGTCTCCCGAGGCGAGAGGTTTGTGGTCAAATGAAACATGCCTGAGTTTCAGCCCGGTGCAATAATCTGTGTTGTGTAGCCCTGAAATGTCATTTATACTTCCAGCCTGGGAGCCAAATATAAAGTTATTAAGAGACTAGTTTGGATATAGCCTCTTCTTGCCAGCATTTAGCATGCCAGACCATCTTGCGAGGTTTTGTATTCAGCAAAGGCAAGAGAGCTGCTTTTTCCCTGAACCTGCCAACTAAAAGCAAGTGTCTGGAGTAAGAGAGCGGGTCAAAATGCAAAGCACAGCCTGGTCCTGCAATGTGTCACCACCCACCTGATCCCAAAGCAGGCGAGACCCCCAGACTACAGGGCCCAGCATCCTCCACTTCATAATGCACATCCTTTAATCAGCAACAGTGAACTACCTGCTTGTGCCAGTAGTCCTCAACCTTTTTCCCTAAGCTTGCCTGGGAAGCGGGGTAAGTGAAAAGCTAATCATTCTGTAAGGTTACGAGCATGCTTGCCTCGACTAGGTGTGCCTTGAGCTTCCCTGGTGTGATTTAGTAAGGAATAAGATACCTGCAAAACAGTCTCCTGTGGCTGCTGTCCTTACAACAGCAGTCGGAGGTGTCCCGGCAGGAACTGCAACAGGCAGCTGATGTTTGACAGCATCACAGGACAGGATTTGAGACATGTTTCAGCTGGACAGGGCCTGCCCAGCTAAGGGCCCAAACAGGCACGAGGAAGCATCATGACCTCCGCTTCTTTCTTTGAAAGTATAGAAATATAAAGGGGAAGCTACAAATTGTGTTTCCTTGGCATGTTTGCCCACATGACCTAAGCCTTCCGCACCCTCAACTCAGCACTCTTCCAAGCAGAAGTGATTTGTGATGGTTCTGGGATGGGAATTGTGGTTGTCCAGCAAATGGGGCTGCTTGGGCACCTCCAGCGCAGGTGAGGAAGGGTCTGTTGGGTGTATGTGGAGCTGGAATCTGTCAGATTCATACACTGGCCAGCCAGGGAAGCCCTGGTTTTGCATCCTGCCTGGCAGACCTCGGAGCGTGTTTTGTCAAGGCTCGCAGCAGCGAGCAGCGCTTCCTGAAGCAAGCGCTGAGCTGGGCCGATTGGCGATGGGGAGAAGAGCGGCTGCTCCCAGTCCTCTGGCACCCAGAGACGAGCACCTCGCTGCTGTTTGTGCCTGCTGTGCTGCCTGTGGGAGTTCAGCAAGGTCTCCCTTGGGTTAACAGCAGCAGAGACGTATGGGAGATGGTTGTGCAGTTTCCTGCCCCGCCAAAGGTGGGACCAGCACTGCTCTGCCTGCCCATGCTGAGAGCCCAAAGTCCCCAAACAAGGCCCTTGGCTAACAGCAGCATACCTGCTCCATCCTTTCTCACCATGGGCATCTTGCAGTGCGGCCGTGCCAGGGCCACCCGGCTCCAGCCCTCCCAAGCAGCTACTTTGGACTGTTTCAGACCACCAGCACCGAGGTGAGATGTGAGGCTTTGTGGTGGGGAGAGGGTTGTGGATGGGGGAGAGGCTCCGTTCCTCCTGGGAGGTGGAAGCTTGGCCCGGTCCCAGTTAGTTGCTGGGAAGCTTGGCCTGGCCCCTGTTAGCTGCTGGGGTCTGGGAGAAGTGCAGGGTGCTGAGGCGATGCTCCCAGAAGCCAGGCGGCTTGCCTGGGGGGACTGCATCTGAAACTGGCCTTTCCCAAAATGTTGGGGCTTTCCAGCAAAAGCTGAGCATGAGGCTCTCTCTTATATATCCTTAAATCCTGTACAGGGCAGGCTTCCTCCCCCTGTCCTATGCCCTCATTTTAAAACTGAGCACTATGCAGTGTTAACGAATCCAGTGATTTTTAAGGGAAAGTGCTTTACAAGGTGGGCTCACCCTCCAGTATAACACAGCCAGGTACTCTTCTCCCAGGAATACCTTTACATCTCTAACTGCAAGCTCTGGTGCATCTCATAGAAAGAGCCAGTCTCAGTCCAGCCCAAGCAGTGTGAAATTCAGAGTGTTCCCCAGGAATATGTCGCTTGGCTTCTGCTCGTGGCACCTCCGTCTGTCTGGTTTTTAATGCATGGTTGTGTGTTTGTAAGTAAAGTGAGTTTTATCTTGTATTGTTAAAAACAGTGAAATAAAGTAGTCCTGCTTGCTATCCATGTTTAGTGGGTGCCTTAAGACAAAAGACTGCAAACATTCAGCTCTTTTCCAGATTGCTTCATTGTCGGGGCCGCTCAGACAGGTCCTTGGAGAACTTTGGTTTCAGGATACTTAGTCAGGGCTCTTTCTGACTAACAGCAGGGAGAGGTAAGCATCTCTGCCTTGATGGCAGGGAAAGTACTTGTGAATTGATCAGCCTTCTTGAAAGTGTGGGGATGCAGTTATATGTTACGGGAGGGTGGGAAAAAGTCCCTTTTTGAAACGAGTGTCCCCACATGATCCTGCACTGGTTGAACTGATTAGTTTAAAAAGTATCCTAAGAGCAGTGCATCTGTATGAAGGATTCCTTTCTTTTTCACTGCCACTATTGGAATAGATAAGGCCAAAAAGAAGAGTGGGACAAGCAAAGCAATGTAGTGATCAGACTGATGGATGGCTAATGCTCACTGGAAAATATCCGGGGTATGTTTGATTCAGCTGTGGTAGTGTGTGATAGGCTGGGGGAGCTGGCAGGCCAGGGGTTAATTCATGAGGCCAGGCTGGCTTCTCGGGGTAAAATAAACCCTTGCCCGATTTCACCTTGACCAAAAGGTGGGCTTGTACCTCCTGGGAGTTCAAGTGGTCAGAGCAAGCCTTGCCTTACCCCTGCCTGGCTGGGTGAGGAAGACAGAAGTAAGTGGAGAGTAGCTTCAGTTGAAATCTTAAACGGTGCTGAGCTCCAGGGTGGAAATCTGCAGCTTTCCGCCATGGGGAGGGGAGTCCGAGGTGTGTGGCTTCACTTGGGAAGGGGCACTTTTGTCTTTTCCCAGGAGACCCTAAAAGAAGGAAGAAAGGAGCTATCAAACGTGCTCCGCTCCAGGCAGCGGGCGGTGGGCCGCGATGGGAGGTCGTGCAGGGACTGTGATGCACGGATGTGCACGCCAGTCGTCTCACAGCACTGGTGAATTTTGGCATCACGGGCCGTGGCTGGGACCATTGGTGTTGCTGGGGGATGTGACCCTGCTGCCAGTGCTGCGATGCCGCTGTGCCTCCCTGCTACAAGCAGGTGCCAGCTTCCAGGGCCCAGGTGTGACAGTAGCTGCTGCATCACCTCCCATTCCATCCCGTCCCTAGCTGTCTGTTGGCACAACAATTGGTGTGAATGCTTTAATGGGAGCATCCTTAATTGGGGGAAGTCAGCTTGGCTAATTCAGACCAGGTTGATGTTTATTTGAGGGGATTTAGGGAGCATTCCCACAAATGGCTCTGCCAGAGCATGACCGGTCTCTGGAGGGGTGGCTAACAGCTGGGGACAGTAATTTCTTCCAGATCCAACAGGGCTGTATGAGGCTGTCTGTCAGGAATCCCAGTACAGATGTACTTACTAGACCCTCTTAAGAAAATGGTTACTTCCCCCTGCCCCCCGCTACTTCCACACACACAAACAAGGGAATAAATCAACTTCTGTGTACAAGCATAGCCAAAGATGAAAACTTGAGAACTGTCTTCAGCATAAACCCCTTCCTTTATCACTTAACGTTCTGGCAGGGATTTAAATTCACGAGTGCCTTTATCTCCAGCACAGAAAAATCCTGATGCCCCTGTTAAAATGGGCAACTGATTCCTTTTTTCTTTGCCCCAGTAATACTGAACTATTTCCCTTCCTCCCATGTTTCTGTGTTAGCGCTCATTAGGAGTGAATTATCTGTCTCCCATACAGCCTAACTTGCACAAATCTGTTGATTGCAGGAGGAGCAAATCTGATGTTTCAGTGGTGTGTTTTTGGATCCAGGACAGGCGTTGCCGAAATAGATCTTCTCTGGCATGTCTCTCTTGAAAACTGATACCATCAGGGCTTTTTGAGCAAGAGACCTAGTGGATAATATAACTGGGTAATGTAGGGTCTCTTCTCTGGGAGTAGAAGCACATAGGCTTCCCTGCTGCAGGGCAAGGGCTCCCCCAGAGGCCCTGGCTGAGCTGCACTAGGTTGAGTTGAGGCTCTGAAAAGCAAGCTGGTTGTTCCTCCCGGTCCATAACTTCCTCGTCTGATCTCTCCTCAGCGTGGCACGATGAGGCGGCGTTATGAGGATGATGGCATCTCTGATGATGAAATCGAAGGGAAGAGGACGTTTGACCTCGAGGAAAAGCTGTCCACCAACAAGTTTAACTCCACCTTTGTGGTCTTCATGGAAGGCAAAGGTTTGTCTTGGGACTGCTGTGCTGCAGTGTGTGCTACTGCTGTCAGTAACCAGACAGCTGCTGCGGTTGGCCGCTTCTCCAGCGAGGCATGGGGTGTGAGATGACCTTTTCCTGAGCCTTTCGTGGAAAGATAATAGTGATCACAGCGGGATGTGCTCTTGTGTATCTGACTACACCCAAAGCCTCCCTGACTGCCAACTCGAAGGGCGGTTACAAGGCAATCATGGTGTTAATGAAATCCTTTCCCATTATCCTGCTTTTTGTTGCCTTTTACGTTCTATCCTTCTGTAAAGCTGGGTAAGACTGTTTGCTGATCACACCAATTCTGTGCTTTCCTCTGCTGTAAACCGCTTTACTTGCATAACCCAAGTGATACAGAGCAGGCAGGGGACATTTCCACCTGCTCTCCTGCAAGTCCTGCGGCAGTCCCCAAGCAGTTTGAAGGCAATGGGAGACACATTGGTGGAGGATTGGCTGAAGTCCGCTAAGCCCTTGGGCCAGGGGAGCTGGTAACAAGGAGTGTGTGTGTTAAGTAGCATGCAATGCACTCGATCTGGAGAGGGTTGAGCCAGTGTGCAGAGCTGCAGGCTTGCTGGGACACGTGGCAGCCAGGAACGAGAGGGTTCGCCTGGGTCAGCACCTGTAATTGCAGCCACATGTCTACTAGATGCTTAATTCAAAAACTGTGTGGGATCTCTCCCCTTTCTTTCACCACGCATACGGCGCAGTGGGATGTCTTTTCATCACGCAGCCAGTGCAAGCCTCATGAGGATTTACCATGAGGGAGGAGCATTTTTTCAAGGCGTCTCTTGCTTGACTGTGAGCTTCTTGGGGAAGTGAGGACCAAAAACCATGCTGTTCCCCTGTCTGGTGCAGCCTGTTGGAGCAAACGCCCCCCTTCCTGGGGGGCCTGTCTGAGGCTTGTCAGCAGCACACACCATGCTGCTCACAGAACTGCCACAAAGGAGTTCCAGGATCTCCAAAGGGGTGTAGAAATAACAAGGAAGAAGAGGTAGAAAGGCTTTTTTTTTCACTGGCTAGCCTCACCACAGAGATAGGAGGAGGTTCTCAGGTCTCAACTGCACAGGGCCCTGAACAACCTGATCCGAGTCTGAAGTCAGTTTGCTGGGAGCAGGGTTGGACTAGAGATCTCCAGAGATCTAACCTCGGTGTGTCTACGGTCCTCTGAAGGCATCTCCCCTAACACCTTCCCTCTTCTTGTCTCCCCACACCAGACTTCACAGTTGAATACATCCAGCGGGGCGGCCTGAGAGACCCTCTCATCTTCAGGAGCTCTGATGGCCTGGGGATAAAGTAAGTGTTACAGGCACAGAGTGGTGGATGACTCTGGCCTGATTTCTTGTCTGTCTCCACGTTGTGTGGGATCTGATCCTGGTAGCTGGATCTGTGCTCTGCCAAGTTGGCATGACCGTGTCCTGTCCATGCTGTCCTTTATGTGTAGTGAGCAAAGAGAAGTATCTTCCACCTCAGTTATCCGGTTCTTACTACTCTGTTTGGACTTAAAATGAGAGGACTGAATTGGCTGTAGGTGATCACAATTGAACCAAATGTCTGGAAAGTCCCAGTGCTGCTCTGATGCAACATCTGGCTGGGCTTCTTTCCTATTAATATAGGCATTTATTGCCAGAGAGTCAAGCAATTTGTAGTATTTCTGGCATTTTCCAGAATTCCAACCTGACTTACCCAACATGGTTACTTCTAAAATGCCATCTGTTTCTCTTGCTACAAGCCAGTCAATTAAGGTTTACAGCTTTGAGTGTAAAACTCTACCAATGCAAGACTTTGTGCCGGCTTACGATGTTCATATAAATATGCTGTGGGGTGGTAGATGCAGTTTTAAGGCAAGTAATACTACATGAAAACACAACAGCTGTCTTGTACAAAATTTCAAAAAAACTTGATCTGATCTAGTGTTTCTGCTGGGTCAGTGTTTTTTGGTTTTGATTAATATGAAAGTTAGAGGAATAAATTAGCCTTAGCAAACTTCATCAGAGCCAGTGTCAGCAACATGGCTCTCAGCTTCCTCAGCTGGCTGTGAATGGATGGACAACATCTCATCCACTGTGGTGGATTACAAAGGAAGTTATCCAGGCTTAGTTTTAACTGCTGGGTAACTTGGGAGGACAGAGATTTGATACTGAGGATTACAGTGTGGGTGAAACTGGATTTCTTCTGACCTTTTGGTTATTTCTCTGGGTCAAGAGCTGCTTGAATGGCTGCCCGCCCATTCTGCCTGTGACAGCAGTGTTTGTACAGATGAGTATGCCAGTACAAACAGTTAGAGTAGTTATGCTGTGTCAGTGAAATATACTGCTTGTACTGGTCTGGCTATGCCCTTTATATTGGGATAACTCTTATGAGCAATCTATAAAACGAGAGCTAGGGTTGCTTAAAGCTCAAGGCCTGCTTGCTCATTTCCCAGAAGCCGCTGTACAACAGCTCATGCTCTAGAGATGGTATATCCTATTTCCAAATCCACTTCCCTAGCCAGAAGTTGGGCCCAGTGTTTCAGCCCAGACCTGTGCCCCCCAAGATCTAGTTGCATGGTCTTCACCCACACCCAAGAGGCAGAAAGAAACACAGTAGTATCTTCAGGGTTCCAGTAGTGGAGTTAAAGGTGGGAAGGGTCTGCAACCAGAAGCACTTCATGATTTTTTTAGCAAGGTGTTTGTCCTGCAGGATGCCAGACCCGGACTTCAGCGTGAATGATGTGCGGCTGTGTGTCGGTAAGTGTCCGGGGACCACGGTGCACCTCTGCGCCCTGGGCCGATAGAGAGGAAGGGGGAGAGTCATCGGGTTTATCAAAGCCAGAGGTCTGGTTTTATGGCTCCCCCAGTGTGCAACTGGTTGAACCTGAGCCGTCCTTAGCCAGTGGATCACAACTCTTGCCTGCTTGGCTCTAGTTTGACCTGAAGCAGCTTCTGTTTCGATGTGGGTGTGGAAGAAGAAGTTATGGGAGAGGCCAAGACATCACACTTGTGTGGGTGGGTTGAGGAAGGATCTCATGTCTTCTGGAGTGTCTCTTCTGGGTGGTTTATTGAGCACAGGGACGGTTCCAGTGATGTCTGTCTGTTCTGTCAGGGAGCCGACGGATAGTCGATGTCATGGATGTGAACACACAGAGGGATATTGAGATGTCCATGGCACAGTGGGCACGCTACTACGAAACACCAGAGGCCGAGCGTGAGAAACTTTACAATGTCATCAGCCTGGAGTTCAGTCACACCAAACTGGAGAACCTGGTGCAGAGACCTGCTACGGTGAGCGTGGCTCTTCCTTCTGCAGGAATGTCCTTTCCCTTGGGCTTGTGGTCCTCTGTAGGCAAGGTGCAGCCTGGCACTTGAGAGGAGGGGGGCTGCTCGTAACATGCATGGGCTCAGCCAGGAATGTCACTGCTGTGCTCTGGAAGCTGCTGGAGCTGATCCTGGGTTTGACTCTCACCTCAGCTGCTATAGCTGATCTCACAGTCAGGCTGGGGCTGCCCAGCCTGTGCATCCCTCAGCTGTTGTGACCACTGTCGAGTCCCTGGCGTGTCATTCTGCAGAGAGCTGACTTATTCACTAGCTGTCAGCAATTAGAGAAGTGGAAGTGATTGGCTGAGGAATAATGAGAATGAAGTAACCTGCCTCTGCTGGCTGGTGATCAAGAACAGGCAAAGAGTCTTGGCCACTGTCTGCAAAGACCTTGGCTGTCATTCAGCCTTGGGCCTACCTTCGCTCCATGCTGTGCACTGCGCTGCTCTGATGCTTGGTGCAGAGCCCTCTCCTGCATCCTGCAGCAGCTGTCAGCTCCGCTGTGGCCAGAGAGAGGTGCAGGGCAGGGGTGGCTTGCTATAATGCATGGCCAGATGTTAAACTCCAGCAGGGCCTAAATCAGAGCTCAGCAATGCTTGCTGCATTTTGAGAGACTAGCTAAAGTCTGGATGCTGATTGAGCTTTGTGGCTTCCTTGGTGTTTGGAAACCATGGTCCCATTAGGACAGCAACCCTGTGTTCAGCTGGGCCTCCAGAGGGTTGTGCAGCATGGAAGGGAGCGTTTCTGATGCAAAGTGCTGAAATCTCTGAGGGCAGAGGAGGCCAAGACTGGAGGTGTGCTGGAAGGGAGTCAGGAGGCTGTTTGGTAGGGGGAAGATGAGTTGCCCTTTCTGAAGCCTGAAAGCCTCAAATGAGGCTGGGATGAATACCTTGAACTCCCTCTGCAGTCAGAGAAGAAGGGGTAGCTCTGTGGGTCCATTCACTTCTCTGTGTTAACTGCAGAGGGAGCCTGGATATCTCTGTCTGCAATAGCTGTCCTGAAGCTTAGCCAGTTGTATCCCACCCTAGCAGATGCTGCCCAGAATGTTTTTTTTGCAGTGGCCCAGTGCATAGCAGTTCCTGCCTAGCCCCTCAGTAGAAGACCAGCATTGCAGTACCGTGCTTGGGATCTTGCTGGGGTGTTTGCTGCTTGTGTGAATTCAGAGGCTCACTGTACAGCAACTGGCATCACAACAGCTGGTCCCAAGTGCTTTACGTGTGGGGTTACACCAGTGGTATTGGGAAGGCTGCTGGGTGTGGGGGTGCCTGGAGCAGTTTGAGCCCAGAGGGCAGCTGAGCACCATGCAGTTGCTCACTCACTCCTTCCCCCTTAGGAATGGGAGGGAGAAAATAAAACAAAAGGCTCAGGTGTCAAGATAAGGACAGGGAGGGATGACTCATGACTCACCCATTACGGTCAAGAAGAAGACTCATTAGAGGAAGAAAAAGAACATCAATTTAATTCAGATACCACCACTGAATTTAAGAATCAAATTGTTAATCTGGGTATTTTTAATAATATTGTTAATAATGAGTAGGACAGTGAGAAGTATTACCACATCTTAAAAACATCTTCCCCCTACCCTTCCGTTCTTCCCCCTGCCCAGCTTTGCTCCGGATTTCTCTACTTCCTCACCCACAGCAGCACAGAGGGGCAAGGGATGGGGTTTGCATCCACTGTTTCTGCCATTCCTCCTTCCTCAGGGGGAGGACTCCTCACACTCTTCCCCTGCTCCAGCACGGGGTCCCTTTCATGGGAGACAGTCCTCCACAAACTTTCTCTGACATGAGTCATTCCCACAGGCCACAGCTTTTGCCAAACTGCTACCATGTCAGTCCCTCCCACAGGCTGCAGCTCTTCATGAGCTGCCCCAGCATGGGCTTCCCACAGAGTCCTGGTCTTCAGGTGCAGCCCCCTGCGCTGGTGTGGGGTCCTCCACGGGCTGCAGGTTGGCGGCTGCTCCACCAGTGACTTCCATGGGCTGCAGGGGCATCACTGCTCCAGCACATCTTCCCCTCTCCTTTATTCCACTGACCTTGGTGGTCGCAGAGGTATCTCCCTCACAACTCCTCCTTCTCTCACCTTCCTCTTCTTAAATACGTTATCGCAGAGGTGCAGCCACCATCGCTAATTGGCTCAGCCCTGGCATGGGGTGGGTCTGACTTGGATCCAGGGGAGCTTCGAGAAGCTTCTCACAGGGGCCACCTCTGTAGCCCCCCGCTACGACCAAAACCCAGCCACACACACAAACCCAATGTGGGGCCAAAAAGGGGCTATTGTGGCCATTTGGAAAACACCAGGGCTTCCTTCCCCACCTTGGCCCTGCCGTTTGTTGTGGGCGTGCTCTGAGCTGGGCTGGCTGGCAGTCTGCACGCAGAACCGCAGCGGCTTTGGTGGGCTGGTGCAACCCACAGGTGCCCAGCCACGTGTGAGCTGTGGGCTTACCAGGCAGGCAATAGGTATTTGAGTTTCCAGGACAGCCTAGGGGTAGCAAAAGGAGTTACTGTGCCCCTTTCATCTCTACTCATGTCTCCCACCTTTCTGCTGTAGGTGGATTTGATTGACTGGGTTGATAACATGTGGCCCAGACACCTGAAGGAGAGTCAGACAGAGTCTACGAATGCTATCCTGGAGATGCAGTATCCAAAGGTGCAGAAGTAAGTGACTTCCTGAGCTGTTCTAATGGTGGCAGGCAGCAAAGCATTTCTTGCAAGAAAACTGCCCAAGGGAGAAGCAGTTTGTACTAAGGGGAAGTGGGAGGAACAGTCTCCTGATTTATTTCAGTGGGTGACACTTGTAAGGACGCTGCAGTTAGTTATTTAAGCCCCTGCCAAACGCTGTGTGGAAGGGTAGTTGTGTGGCTTCTAGGAGCTCGCTGCGCTTTGGGGAAACTCTTGGTGCTCACCACCTTGAGACATCTGGAGTCAGTTGAGCTGCCAGGCGCTGCCCATCCTGCCCTGTAGGCCTGACCTGTGGCATGGGGGTTTCTAGAGCTGCCGGAGATATGAGGATAAAAGCTGTCCTCTTGCCCGGACTAGATCTTTTTGCAGGGATGTGATATAAATGCAAAGTGAGCTCTCCTGCAAACCACCACCTCCCTGCAGCTAAAGTGCTTAGCACTGCAGTAATGGGCTTCTGGCACTGCTCTGAGCCATTGGCCTGGGTTTGGGCAGCCCCGTTCTCTTTGAATACATTGTGTCTGCTCTAAAATGTGGATCACCGCTCATTTTTACCTTATTGTCATCTTGTTTTCTGCCAGATACTGTCTGATGAGTGTCAAGGGCTGCTACACAGATTTCCACGTGGACTTCGGTGGTACTTCTGTGTGGTACCACATCCACCGAGGGGGAAAGGTAGGAGGACAGTCTCTGTTGAGGAAGTTATGGATTGTTTAGGAGAGTGGCTTCTAGTTTATTCTCTTGTCAATCCTTGAAGATGCAGGTTCCAGGCAGTGAATTGAAGTCTCTCCATCCTAAACTTGTTTATCTGTGATTCTTGGAAGTAGTTCAGACCCTCAGAGGGCCACCAGGCACAGGCTGAAAACCCGTGCTGTAGAGATGATGCTGAGACAACCTTATAAAAGGCTAAATGACATAGAATAGAATAACCCAAATCATCCAGTGATTCTGAGAGATCATTTGGCTACATGGCTGATCGCCTCTTGGTGTGGTGCCAGTAGCACACCAGGCGCAGCAGCGAGTGGAAGAAAGGTAATTAAAGATGAATAGAAGCCTCTCCTAAAGCCAAGCTGCCCAGGGGTTTTAAATAGCCAACAGATGTGTGAGGGGTCACCTTAAAACATCAAGTGACTTCAAAAGCAGAAGCATTTGAACTGAAGTTTGGTGACAGGTCTTCACTGCAAAACCGTGGAGTGGTTTCTGGTGAGAAGTAGCTCTGAAACAGTGTCAGATTTGAACTGCTTGTCTAGAGTCACTTCCTGTAGCTGAGCTCAGCCCAAGATATGAAAATCAAATACTGGGCTCCATCAAGTTTGAATTTGTCTGGTTTACAAACTCCGAGTGCAGTGTTTGTTCCCTGATGGGTGGCTTCCTGTTATAACTGTGCAGGGATTTCCCTGTGCCAGGCATATGTCACCCCAGCTGTGTGTTGTACTGGGGCCTGGCTTGGAAGGAATCTGCCTGGAAGGGGATGTGGAAAGGTGCCAGTTCTCCCACTTGCCCTTAGGCAGGGTGAATTGTACCTTAAGCTCCCCTTACGGGTAGAGATGTTGTATTTGTTCTCTTAACTTTCAGAAAACAGATTTGTAATAGTTTGGGTGCTGTATCACTGAAGAGGCTAGCTAGTACTTGAACAATTAAGTCGGACACCCTAGCTAGCACTTCTGCTGCTCTAGAGAGCACAGTTATGTTCAGAGTATGGCACTTAGTCAAAATGAAGTCCTTGCTGGGAAAACCTCCCCTCTGACTGCCTGGTTGGATGTCCCCGTTGTCATGGGACTCGGTCTATGCTTTAGCATTACCACTATAACAGCACGGAAGAGCTTGGATTCAAGTTTTTGCTAGCTGCAGTTGTCAGCTCTACTGTAGTCAAGGAAACTTTGCACTGCTGTCCAGGGAGGGTGGCAGCGCAGACAGACTCATCATAGTGCCTTTGAATTGATGCAGTTGGGGGAGCAAAATCTGGTAGTAGGTCAGCTTAGTAGTATTAGGAAAAGTGGAGGAAAGTATCCTGTAGTGCAGAACTTACCAAAGACAGGTCCCACGTCTTTCCCGGTGAAATGCACCAAGCTCCCAAATTAACCCTCGTGAGCAATTAGAAAAGACCTCACTGCTTCTGATAAAAACCATCAGCTGTCTAGGGCTGAATTCATCAAGGAGCCAGGGGGTTAAAAAGACTGCCTGTGGTGGCTGGATGACATCTGAGAGAAATCCTTGGAGAGCCTTAGGATAGGGAACCCTTGCACTTGTAAGTGCTGCGAGGGAACTGTCCAGCTGAAGGCAGCTGGATGGGCTCCCTCCACAGTCAGTAAAGGCAGATCTCTGCGGGGAAAAAAACCTCTTGTCACTTCGTTAGGACAAGTCCTGGGCAATTACTCCATCCCATCTTTCTCTACTGACGTAGACTAGGTTCAGGGAATGCAGCAAACTCTGCCCCACCTGAAGAATCTGGGCTTTTCACTCACCTTTCCTTGCAAAGGAGATGTAGCTGCCAGACTTCCCCAGTGATTCTGATGATTTGTGGCTTCGGTGCCTTCCCCCAAAGGAGGAGCTAACAGTCTGAAGATCCTAGTTGGGGATGGATATCTACTTGCCACCTGTATTGCATGGAGCCAGTCAGGTGCAGATCTCTAGTTCAGTTGTAGCTCTAACCAACATGACGGAAATAAGCAGGTAAACATCTTTGTCTCCAGCACTCTGGTGTCTTTGGTGGGCTCTGTATCTCTTGATGCTGATGGGAATAATACCTTACAAAGGATCCCAAGCTCAGTCTATCTGTGGTGCTCAATGTGCCAGGTTGCTCAGTGGCTTGCCCTCTCAAATGAGACAGCTGTTTAGGTCAGTTTACTGGGAATTTCTGCAAATTCCCATCCTCTGTGGGTGGGGAAAGGAAGAAACTTAGATGTCTGGAGAGAGAGTAGGGCAGGTTTGGAAGAAACAAAGGGTACTCAATAGCTGTTAGGTATGTGATGACTTACCTACATGTGTTGTCTTTATTTGCAGATCTTCTGGCTGATCCCTCCTACACCCCAGAACTTGGAGCTCTATGAAAACTGGCTTCTCTCAGGGAAGCAGGGAGATATTTTTCTTGGGGACAGAGTGTCAGAGTGCCAGCGCATTGAGCTCAAGCAGGGCTACACATTTGTCATCCCCTCAGGTACTGCGGGGTGGGCAGATGCATCCTGGCTTTTCCCAGGGTTGTGACAAGAAACTGAAACTCCCGGGACATAAGTAAAATCAGAATAGGCAGGCTTTAACTTCCTCCCTCATGAGTAACTGGGAGAGGGAGATGTGATGTGGCTCGGTCATTTTGCTTGCTGGCTCCCAAAACGTGCCTGTCCTGGCACTGTGGATTTAGCCCAAGCGACAGGAAAGCTGTGGCTGGCTCACATCACACTTGATCAGTTATTAAAGGAGGTTTTCCCGGAGCCTGTCATGTTGACATGAGGAGCAGCGCATGTTGAGGACAGAAGCTAGCCCTGGGTCTCTTGTGAAATCTCTGCAGAGTTATGTTCAAATTGTGAAGCAAGGAAGGGAGCCAGAGTGTTAGTTTAAGGAACAGGGTGGCTGCTCTGGACACAAGGAAAGACAGTCGAACAGTCTGCGTGGGCTGGAGATAGAACTGGAAAGCAGGTAGCTAGAAGCAGATTTTGGAAAACGCTGAAACCCAGTAGGGAGCTGGGAAGCAGTAACATGGAAAGACTTGAAGGTAACTGCTTTGCAGAGGGCTTGGGCAAGGAGACTTTGAAGCTGGGAGTGGGAACGCTCTCAGGAGTTAAGAGAAATCTTTAGCCTGACTTGGTTTAGCAAGCAGAATAGTTGGAGGGCACTGGCAATGTCTTGCATGCACAGTCAGTACAGTGCTGTGCTAGAAAATAGCAAAGGCAGAATACTTGAGGCAGATGAAAAAGCAGCTCAAATTGGTTGTTTGCAAGGACTGGCTCACAGCCTTTTAGAACCTGTGATGGAGACCTGGGATGTCTGTAAAATGTTGTGCTTGCACTAGGAAATACTCCCTTGTAAGCAGAAGGACCGTTGGACCCTTTGAAGGCTTCTAATAAAACTGTTGCATAGAAATTGTGTCCATTAGCCTTTCTCAGATATCAAAGGCTGCTGTAACCCGCTGTTGCAACTCCAACAGCAGTGCAGGAATAAGTTGTGTTGTTCCTGGTCCCATTGTAAACTACAGGAAACAACGGGGATTGCACAACTTACTCATTTGAGTCCTGTTATCACAACTGACACTTCTTTTGAATTGAGTGGCTTGCCTTAAGGAAACCCACGCTGGAATTCCCAAAATGTTGGGCTTGGCCGGATTGCTTAGCCTTGGAGATAAGAGAGCTGGAACTTGAGTTACTTTGAGAGTATTTTAGCTGTTGAACAGACTTTGGAAGACTGTTTTCCTCGTCACTAATGTTCTTGGGCCTAACACAATTAGGAAGCGACTTTCCACAGACACCAGGATGACAAAAAGCTACGGACAGGAGGTGGATACTGGCATGTGTGCCACTATGGGAGGATGTAAGGCCAGATCCACAGGTGTATATTAAGTGCCTCAGTACAAGTCTGTCTCTAGCTCTTAAATCAGTCAAGTGAGCTGGGTATTGAGTAATTCAGTAGTGACACAGTGACTGTAATGCAGCGATGTCCCCTATTCCAAGAGCTGGGGTCTAATGGTCCCATTGTAGCCCCACCACTGCTGCTAGGGCTGGCTGATATGACAAGCAGTCAACAGCTAGGCTGTGTGCTTGCGGCTAACCCGGATGGAGATTAAGGGTGCAGTTGTCACGGTGGAATTAGCTGAGGACTGTGAAGGTTGTGCAGGTCTGAACAGCCCTGCTCTGAAGAGCACATTTTCTAAGAGATTGCAAAGGAATGCAATTAGCAGGGACTGTCAGTTGTGAGACCTTGGCCTCACCTAGTTGCTCAGAAGGATTCTTCAAACTCTGCTTTCTCTCCAAGGTTGGATCCATGCTGTGTACACTCCCATGGACACACTGGTTTTCGGAGGCAACTTCTTACACAGCTTCAACATCCCTATGCAGCTCCGGATTTACAGCATCGAAGACCGCACGCGGGTAAGGACCTGCAGGAGAGCTGGGAGGAGGACGTGGCCTCCTGGGATGGTGGGGAAGGCACAGCCAAGAGCCGTGGTGTGCAGGCAGGCAAGTCAAGTCTCACCCTGTGACAGATTGCTCGTACTCCAGCTGTCTGGAAGCAAGATGTCCTAGCCTGCTAAATGTACAGGCAGGAACTTGGACAGAGGGCAGCCTGCAGTGTGCACTAAGGCTTGTTACATTCCTTTGTCCTGCCTCCAGTCTGATACCAGGCTTCCGAGGGCTCTGGAAGTCTTGCTGTGAGTGTGACAGGGACCTTTTCCCCGGCTGCCTGACGAGGAAGGCAGCAACATGTCCATGGGAGGGCATCCAGTGTGCTGCCTCTTCCCTTACTTGGCTGCCTTCTGCTGCTGCTTGGTGTTGATCTTAGACCTCAATGTGGTCTAAGATGACTAAAGATGACTAAAAGAAAAGGCTTCCTGAGCTCTCGAGCAGAGAATGGTGTTGGCAAGTGTGTCTTCTCGTGCTCCTTGTGGAGATGTGGGTCCTGCAGTGCTCGGCACCTGCAGAGAAGCCTCAGGACATGCCTAGGCTGTGATGGACAGGCTGTTGGCCTCTCCATAGCAGTTCAGGGTGCTGCAGCAGGCAGGACCTGTGAGTTAGCACTTGCATGTCAGACCATCATCCAGAGCAGCTGAGACATACAGAGAGCAATGGAGTGTGTGCCTAAGGGCAGGCAGCAGGGCCAGGGGCATCTTCTGCCTGTGTGTGAATTGCTGGAGCTGATGTGACAGAGCCCCCATAGCACTCTGCTAAAAAGCTGAGCTGGTAACACCTCTCTTAATAGACCAGCCCTTTCCCTCTCCCCGTACAAGTACTGTCAGATGCTGTGCTGGGGCTCAGGAAGAGGACTTGAACTTTTACCTTTAGCTGAAACCTTCTGTGGCATCTGCCACTTTTTTCTTGTACTAATGAGAAGGAGGTCTGTGGGGGAAGAGCCGCAACCCTAACAAAGACAAATGAAATGCTAATAGCTTGCAAGTGAGTAGTGCCTGGTCTCTGCTCTGCCTGGTGATAATACCTTTCTGCAAGGAGAATTACATCAGGCTGCCAGAAGCATGAATGATGCTGTTATACATGTACACGCGTTTCCTGTCTCTCAGGAGGGGATCCATCTGGTTTGAGGCAGCAGGAGTACAAGCTATGTCTGTGCAGCCCAGTGGTGAAGGAGGCCTGAGCAGATTCCCTTGCCTCTTTTGCAGGTTCCAAATAAGTTTCGTTATCCCTTCTATTATGAGATGTGTTGGTATGTGCTGGAGCGCTATGTGTACTGCATCACCAGCCGCTCACATCTGACCAAGGACTTCCAGAAGGAATCACTCAGTATGGGTAAGCCCCCTCTGTTGGCTCTCCAACCTTTATTCCTCCCTCACCCGCATCGAAGTGATTTCTTGCACCCTCCTGCTGGAGTACTGTCTGGTGGGCAGGGGAGGGCTGTGTCGGAAGAATTTGGGACCATCACTTCCTCAATTTCACGAGGTGGTTTCTTTGGTTATTTCCTCCCTTTTCGCTGTTTGCTGTACCAAGCAGTCAGAAGGCATTGCAGACTGGCTGAAGGTGGTGCAATTTATTTCCTTTCCTTCGAGCAAGAAGTCAAAATTAGCCAGACTTTTTCTTCCTCCTTTGCCCCTGTGACAGGCCAGGTTCCTTGCAGCTGCAAAACCAGCACACAAGTTCCTGGCCTTGCTGGTACACGCAAAGCCTTTAGCAGAAGAGGTGGAGGGAAGTTGCCATAAACACTGCTGTGCCGTGGGCTGCAAGGCAGGAATGTTTTCTTGCTGATCAGAGCCTTAAAGTGCTGTCAAGGTTATGTGTAAGGGAGTGCAGGGAGTCTCTCGCGAAAGGAATGTTTGGCCTCCTTACAGCCAAGGCAAGCAGGGCCTGAGCAGTTGTTGAAGAAGTGATTTCTTAGAGAGCCTTCTTCGGTGTGGGAGGGAGCTGGATAGCCTCCAGTCAAGGCCCTTGAAGCAAATCTGTCTTCACTCCCCTAAGAGGCTGTAAATGCTGCCTCCTGCGCACCTCTCCTCACAGCCACAGCCTCTTTGGGGCTTTCGATTTCTGTCCAAAAGGCCCAAGCAGAGGGACACAGTTCCCAGCTCTTGTCCTTTTCCTGTGGCCCTCTTGAGCTCTCCCTCAGCGCTTGGTTTGGGAAAGGCTGTCTCTGTCCTCCTCCTGCCTGGAGGCCCCCAGTGCCTTCATCGCCTTTTCTCTACCACTGACCAGCGTGAAGTGGAAACTAGTGCAGAGAGCTGAAAAGAGGGGAGCAGGAGAACCTCCTTACCTTTTACCGTCAGAGAACGGTGCTTTATCATGCACAATCAGGCTCAGAGACCTCACAGTCATCTAACGAGTCCACATCCTTTTTCTCCCATCATGAAGGCAGGATCAAGGTCCCAAGTCACTCCCAGGATCAGATGGCTGGAGATCCCAAGCCCTCCAAGGCAAAGTGAGGTTGGATGAGGATTTGAGCAACCTGATCTAGTGAAAGATGCTCCTGCACGTGGTGGGGAGGTTGGATTAGATGATCTTTAAAGGTCACTTCTAACCCAAACTGTTCTGTGATTCTATGAAATTCATTCTAGGGTGCTGCTCTCTCCTCCTCTGGGAGGTTTTCCCATGTCCCATGCCTCGCCTTCCCACAAAACAAGCCAGGAATGGGGAAGGGTTTTAGCTGTTCTTTTCCAGCCCCTACATGCCTTATCCTTTCCTCTCGCCTCGTCCCCATGCGTATCCATTGCTCCAGCATCTCTGGTATCCAGGGGGATTCCTCTAGAAACCAAACACCTCCTGTGAGTGATTGTCTGGCCACTGTTCTTCTCTCACTCTTTCTCCATCGTGGCAGATATGGAGCTGAGCTCCTCAGACTCGGTAAACATGGAAGAGGAGGAGGAGGAGGAAGAAGAGGAGGATGCAGCAGGGAAAGAACCCAGGCGACCAGTCACAAGGCGGTCCATTCTCACCAGCCCCGTAGCCAATGGTGCCAATGTGGACTATGATGAACTGGGCAGGAGCTGCCGGAGCAGCCTGCCGGGTCTGAAGAAGACCCCATCTATAGACTCTTCCGATTCCAGCCGCGGCTCCCAAAACGGCCAGGCCTGGGACCCGAACGGTGGCAGCCCACGCAAGAACAGGAAGGTGCACCTGACGCAGTTTGAGCTGGAGGGGCTGCGCTGCCTCGTGGACAAACTGGAGTCGCTCCCTCTGCACAAGAAGTGCGTTCCCACCGGCATCGAGGATGAGGACGCCCTCATCGCTGACGTCAAGGTACGTAGGCGTGAAGGAGCCACAAGTGCTCGGGCCTGCATCCGCTTGCTTGCAGCATTGGAGGTGGAAAGGCATTTACCCACATGGAAACTGTGCTTGACCCTGACCTCACCCCCATTCTGGGGCAAGGGGGTGATGTGTCTGCAGGCTTGGTGTCCTCTTCTTCCTCCACGTGAGGCTGATGTTACGCCAGCTGATGCGGAGGGCCAGCCTTGGTTTGGATTTTTGGGTCAGGACTAGCAGGAGCAGTAACTGCTCCTAGCCAGTGTGGCTGAGACTCATCTGGGAACCCTCTGGGTCCTGTCTGGGTCCCTTGCAGGTGTCAGTGCTCTGGCCATGGACTACTTGGGCTGCTCAACACTGACAGTTAGAGCTCTTCCCTTGCCCCCAGGTGGATTTGGCCTTGTTTCTTTGGGTTGTTTTGCACAGTGACCTTAGGTTATATGAGAGGGGCGGTTGTGGGTGGTTTTTTTTCTTTCCCCTGCCCTGCTTTACACTGTATCTGCCAGACCTGTTGTGCTGACACCATGAACTTTGGTGTTTTAGCCCTTTCAGCACTGAAGTGAGAATGTCAGCCTCACTCTATTCCCCAGAAGTCCATTTTAGTCCCTAAATCCACAGTTACCTTCTGCTCCCTTCCTCGCTGATGGTGACCAGTTCATCTGCTTGCCTGTACTGAAGCTGCCATCCAGACACAGCCATGGGTGTAACCTCGTCTCTGCCATTGTGTTTCTTTTCCAAGTGCTGTCTCCTGATTTTTGCAGGGCTCTTGGTAAAGCCAGTGCTCTGCTGCATTTGGAGCAGTGGGTGCAGCTCTGGGGTCCCAGGGTGGGCTGTCGTTTGCAGGCCAAGCTCTGGAGGTGTTTGGCTGAAGGAGTGGGAGTAGGTGCTGTTAAGGGGCTGCAATTTTGGTTTCCTGTGGCTTTTTTCAAGTGGATTGTGTGTGTGCTGTGGAATCTGAGTATACGGTGTGTGTGTTTCTGAGCCACTGCGGTGGGGTGGCCTTGGCCCTACCACGGACCATATGATGCTCTGGAGAAACTCAGGCTCTGAGCACGGTATTTCACCCTTAGACAGAGAAAGGGAAGCTGGTGGTGTGTGTCAGGTGTTTGGAAGGCAAAGCATTCAAGGTTGTCAGTGTTCAGCTGGGTTTTGAGACCTGTTCAAAGGACTCATTACGTTCTGGAGCTAATGGGTGTTTGCTTGTGGTTTTGATGTGACCCACCAGCCCCCATGTCTGGTTGTACGTCACAGATGAGCTGTGGGTGAAAGTCCCTGCAGTCTGGTCAGAGCAAACAGCTTCCCTGAAGGGCTTGTTCCTTAAGCTGGCTGTCCTCTGAGGTTTAAAAGTGTCCTGAGCTGCAGGACTCTGTCCCTCAGGATGAGCAGCCTCCCAAGTAAAGCCTGTGCTACAGGGCATCCTTAAGGCATGATGATCCTTAGCTGTCAGACTGCAGTAGCTGGAGAAAACAGGACAAGGTTGTCAAACTACAGCAAACCTCTACTTTCAAAACTTACATTTTCCTTAGAGGTGATGGAACCGGCAAATGTAGGCTGGCTTATAAAACCTGAAAAGGGGTAAAGCGTTTCTAGCTAAACCTTGTAACTAGTCCGGTCACTGAAAAGCCTGATGAGTGAGGGTCTAGTTTTCAATATCAACAGCTTGTATGAAGAACACCTTATTTGGTTTGTGGTTTTTTGGTTTGGTTTTTTTTTTGGAGGCAAGACAAGTTGTTACCAAGCTAGATGTGTGAAGTGGCCATCTATGCATCTGTAACTCATGATGTGGGACACAGATCCTATTTCAGTCACATTCCCTTTGTAAGCTTTGGTATAACTCCCTCCTTTAATAGGTTTTGTGTTCTTGCACAACTGTAGCTGCCTCTCCCAGAACACAGTCCTACCCTGGCTGTGTGTAAGCACAGCCCTTCCATTCTCTGATCTTGTTCTGGTGCTCCCATCTTCCCTCGCAGCACTGAGGCATGATCCATGTGGGATCCCTCGTGCTGCACCAGACCTGGATCCCTTCAGTTCATCTGCTATTTCTCTTTATGTACTAGCGGAGAACTACAGCCTAATCTGTTTTCAGTGACTTAAGCTAAAAAGCAAGCAGTACATCCTTCACAGCATCTTAGCCTGACTTTGGGGCCATCGATCTGCAGCAGGTACTCTTACCCTTACGGCACCAGGTGAGGTCATTAATGGACCTGGGATCTGGCCAGCAGGACTATTGGGAAAGACCCACTCCAGAGAAGCACAGAATCAATGTGTTTTCAGCACTCGCCAACTTTGCTGCGGTCACTGCGTAGTTGTGTCCAGTTAGGCAGACGCTGTGTTGTGGAAGGCTTTTGTGGCTGTGACCTGCATGTTTATTTGGTCTGTCTGCTACGCAGATTCAGAGCATGGTGTTTTCTCGTCAGAGTCCCCAGACATGCAGGTAGTGACCTGGCACTACCAGATTAAAAATCCTAGCATGCTTCCTGCCACCCTCTGCTAACCCATGTCCCGGGGCACACGGGAGGCAGGTACAGACCAGGAAAGTGCTGCCTTTTCCCACAGCCTCTTGTGGTGATTGTGACTTCAGGATCTCCATATTTTGGGTTACGTGAAGAAGTATGCTTCTGTATCCCATCGTGAGTTGAGCCTGGAGCCGTCACATGGTAGGACATGACACTTCAGATGTGACAAAGATGTGCTTCCAGCTCAATGGCAGGAGGGACTGTTTGTCTGCTGGGACTCTGTAAACAAAGCTGCATTGGGCATCTTGAATAGAAAGAGCATGTTGCCACCTCTGCCTCTCCTTAACCTTTCTAGCTTTGCCCATCTCCCTTGGAAAGCACCCGGTGACACCACATCGCTGCCTTCTGAACCGGTGACAGAGCTGCTCTCCAGTGACTTAAATGGGAGGGACTGCAGAATTCAAAAAGGCATCTAGGACTGCTTTGGGAGATATGCCTTTGCAAAGTGACATGTCACCTTGTAGCACCGATGTCTTGCTGAAAAATCTCTGTGCGCTTGGTGATGCCTCTGTGGACTGGGGTTGTTGGAAAGGTCGTTGGCAGAGAGGGAACTTCTGAGAGGTCTTTTGACTGCTTCTATCCATCACTTCTGACCTCTCTTGGGGTGTGCTGGTTTCCCTCATTTAGGCTTCAGAGGTCTGTGAGGCTCTGGCTTTAGAGCTGTCAGAACTGCTGTTGGCTGACTTGGAAGCTGAGCCCACGTTGGAACCATTTGCTCACTGCAGTGCCACCGAGCCCTGCGGCCTCAGTAACTGGCACAAACGGGTTCTACTCGGGCTTTCTGGAGGTGTTGAAGCACCAAGCGGTGTTGAAACAAGAGCCACCTCTCCTAGAAGTGCAGCTCCTGTCTCCAGGACCTCATCTTAAAGCCCCTGGTCTGGCATTGCCTGTGTACCCTGGGCCTCCCTGTGATCAGAGGCACCTTCTCACGCCTGGAAACGCACGTTACTCTTTTCTTGTCTGCATGGTCTGCTTCTCCTGTGGGTCACATCTGCCCAAAATGTTCCTCGTGCTCTACTTTCCCTGCCCAAGTAAATTTACCAGCTGGAATCTGCTTTCCCAAGACAGTTTGTTGTTCCAGGTGCTCATGTCTAAGAGAAGTAGGGAACGTGTCAGCTTGCTGAAGCCCAGGGGATGTAAAAGCGCTGATGAGCACCCTTGGGAGGAGTGAGTGGTCTCAGGGCACAGCACTCCCTCTCCGTGGCCATGGGGAGAGTGTGCATAGTCCCCCACTTGCTGCAGGGCAGTGGGGACACAGAGGGGACTTGGTGGGGAATGGGGGCTGCTTCCAGCAGGGATGGATGTGGAAGTTCAGGGTGGTCACACTCCTGCCTGCGGGTCAGATGAGACCAAACCACGCTGTGAAGCACTGAGCTGTGTGCGAGGGTCCCCCCCCTCCCCGTGCGTGTGGCTTCCACAAGGTGCCTGACCAAATGGGAGTGCCACAGCCTGGAGCACGCCAGGCCAAAAGACCCCTTCTGCCATCCTGCCTGACCAGGCGTCACCTTGGTGTGCTGTCTGATGTGCTTGACCTTGGCAGTGTGACGGAGGAGCCATCCTGCACTTCCTCCAGGCCAAACCAAGCTGCAGGGCTGGATGTCCCCGGTGAGATTTGCGGAGAACCTGTGCCGGGTGCCCGAGGGTGTCGTTGGCGGTTCAGATGGTGACAGTCTGGACTCAGGTGTCTGGTCAGTGTGACCTGGTGGTTTCCTGGGCTCTCCAGGGCCAGGAGAGAAAAGCTGAGGTTTCCTGCAGATGCTTTGACTGCATCAGGAGTGGGAGCAGTCGCTGTCCTCCAGTGCTGCTTTGGGGAGCTTGCTTTATTTCAAGAGTTTCCACCTTTTTAATTGCGGTGGTCTGGAGCTGGTGTGTGGGGGGGTGAGGGGTGGTGTGGGGGGGTGGTTTCTGGAGGAACTGGGGCTGACTGGGGAGACCTGGCTTTGCCCAGTATGGGTTTGTCCCCCTCTAGCGGTTAGGTCACTGGTGGCTTTGGGACTACAGCTGCTCCCAAACTTGGCCGACGGGATGTTTGTCCCGGCAGATTTGTCCATCCAGGTCGTGAGAGTGCAGGTGCGGAGCGGGGTGGTGTCTCCTAAATCCAGGTATCTGCGTCTTCCACCAACACCTCGCCCCCCACCCCCCCAAAAAAAAAAAAAAAAAAAAAAAAAAAAAAAGCAGAGCTGGGGGAGGCTTGGCAGCTTGGGGCTGAGGGCTCTCCACCGCGTTCGCCCCAGCACTGGGGAGCTTGGCCCCGACATCTCCGGTTGCAGTGGCGGAGGGAGGGAGGAAGGTGGGCCGCGCCGCCCGGGCCCCTGCGCCAATCCGTACGGCGCCAGCCGCCCGTCCCGGCCCCTCCCGGCTCTGCAGCAGAACAGCTCTGCCCTCTCTGCTCGTTCGCTCGCTTTTTTCTCTTCTGCCATCTTCCCGTTGCAAAGCATTGCTGGGAACCGCATGTGGGTGACGCAGCAGCATTGTTTCAGGCTCAGGAAGCTGCTGCTGCTGCTGCTGCCCAAGGGCTCGGGAGGAGCACGCGGTTGCCAGTGCGGTTGCCGGAGCCGGGGAGGAGCTGGGGGTGCTCAGGGTGGGAGGCGCAACCGCTCCCCCAGCCATGGCCCCGAAGACCGGGGGTCCGGTTCGGGTCCGCTCAGACTGAACCCAACCCCTGGAGGTGTCCGGGGAAAGGGGGGGGGGCCCCCAGCCCTCGCAGTGCGGGCACCGAAACAAAGAGGGCTCGGCAAACTTCACCCCAGAGTCTCGGCAGCTCCAGAGGCGCAAGGTCAGGCAGCTGGCAATGCTCGTGGGATGGGGAGGGGACGCGGGGATGCTCTCGTCCCAGCCAGGGTGGGAGGGGACCGCGGGGGGACCCCTGCTTCCCTGGAAGGGGGTCCCTGGCTGGTGCTTGGGCTCACCTCTCCCCTCGCTTTCCTCGGGGCGCGCTCGCCGGTGCCGAGTTCCTGCCGGCCGGGGGAAGCATGCGGTTGCGCTCGCAGGGTTCCCCTCCGCCTTGTCCCCCCGGCCAGAGCGCGAGGGGTCAGAGAGGACGAGCGGGCTGTCGCCCACTCCAGATGCAGCCACAGGACCCCAGTGCCCTTCTCCCATTCCCCAACGACCACCACCCCCCCAAGCCCCTTGGCCCCCCCCGCAGCTGAAAGCGTGCCTGAGCCACCGCCACCCCCCACGGTGCCCCGGGCAGGGGGAGGCTGCGCTTCCCTGCCCACACATATATATTTATGTGTGTGAGTCCCCAGCCCCTGACCTTTCCTTTCAGCGTGTGCTCATGGGAAGGCTGGCGGGGAGGTGGAAAGTCTGTAGGCAGCACGCTGCGCTGCTGGGGAGCGGAGGGGAGGCCGCGGCTTCCTGCCACCCGCAGCCGCCCGAGAAGGGCGGGAGAGCACCGGAAAGCCGGGGCGCACACCCGGGGAGTAGCTAGCCCCACGGAACGGGGGGGGAAACCCACTGGCCAGCCCCACGGAAAGGGGGGGGGACGCCAGCCAGCCCCCTGCCCTGGTCCCGCCTGACAGCGGGAAACATCGCACGAGTGGGGATGCCGGCAGGAGACTCTGGCTGGCGTAGTCATGGCAACGCCAAGTAAATAAAGCACCTTTGCAATGGGCAAATTTGGGGAGGAACTGATATGGGGAGGGGGCTGCGATGGAAGGGAGCGAGGGGACCGAAACAGCAAGGGTTGAACGCAGGGAGCTAGCATTTACCCGGAGCAAGAAGGTAGCTGTTAGGGCAGCGCGCCCGTCCGGTCGGTGCCGAGGGATCTCTGGTGTCAAAGTCAAAGCCAATCCCTGAGGCAATGCGGGGGAGCAGCTCTTGGCTACCCGGCAGCTTGTGCCAGGCTGTGGAGGGAGTGCTGGGGCTCCAAGTACTGCGCCCTCCAGCTTACCCTGTGCCCGGGCAGTAGATGGGAGTGCAACCCTCAGGAAATCCAACCACACCACCCCCCTTCCTTAAATCCCCCTGGATTGCAAAAGCTCGGAGCTCTTCCCCCCGACCACTGCACAGCACGGGGCCTCGGGGCTGAAATGCAGTTGAAAGCGTTCGTGCAGATCGACTCGACAGAGCTTGTCTGTCTAATGTGGGGAGGGATCGTTGCTCACAGGCGTGGGTAGAGGAGGGCTCCTTCCCAGCCCGTGTTTGAAGCACGCTGGCCTTGGCATCTGGTCGGAGCCTGCCTCGCTGGCGGGAGCCTTGTTTCACTCTGCTCACACCTGTGCTTTTTGTCTCTTTGCTTTTTTTTTTTTTTCCCACCCCCTCTCTCTCTCCATTAGCTGCTGCTAGAAGAATACGCGAACAGCGACCCCAAACTGGCACTTACAGGCATCCCCATCGTCCAGTGGCCCAAGAGAGATAAGGTAGGAGCTGTGAGGAGGGGACCTGGGCGGGTATCGTGTGTGGTGGAGCTGATTAACCTGCCCTCAGCTGAGTCCTCTGCCCGCAGCTGGGGTGCGGTGGCATCGCTTCCGTACGTGCCTCGGGAGCCCGCGGGCAGAAAGGGAGCAGCAGAGGCAAGCCGTGGGGCACAACCGTGCGGGGAAACCTGTTTGCTGGTGGTGGCGGAGGTCTCCCACCGTGCCAGTTACCCCAGCTCAGCCAGTGGGTGGTAACTGGGTCAGCCTCAGCTGCTCCGTGTTCTCCAGCCCCTTGGTCATGCTCGGAGGAGACAGAACTCAGCTGCTGGCGTAGGGGTGATCCTCTAAAGGGTGCTCTGTGGGCAGCTCTCCAGCTTGATAAGGGAGTCCTGAGTGGTAGGAGTAACGCTGTGTGTCAGGCGAACGTATTGCTGTCACCTTCCCAGAGAGATGAAGGACGAGGTGTGGGGATTGATGATCAGCATCAACCCTGCCTGTTCGGTGGTCGGGCTGGCCCCTCGCTGCTGGGTGAGCATGCCCCTTGGGTCCCTGCCCGTGCCGTAGCGTTGGCTCTTGCAACCCCACTGCAGGCAGCTCCCTCCTGGGGAGTTTCTACCTGCAGAGAGCAGCCAGCTTCTCAGGAAAGGGACCTTTCAGTGTGCTCCTGCCCTTCCTGCTCCAGCTGTGCTTATAACCCAGGGCCCAAAGCTGGGCCACAGCCTGGCCTGAGCTCGCTGGGCAGATGGAGGCAAAGAGCAGCCTGCTGCTGGCCGGCCGGACTTCCCCTCCACAGCCTGCCTTCCCGTGGCCCGTCAGGACGGCTCTCGTAGGTCATTTGCTTCCTTCCTGCCAGGAGACGGGCTCACGGGCAGGCGTATGGGAAGGGCAGGACCCCAGCGCGCTGGGAAGGGTGGGTAACACCCCGGCTGGGTGTCTGGAGACAAACAAACCTCTCAGATTGCCCCTTGGAGGTGCCTGTCTCTGCCTGCCCGCCCTGCCCAAAGGGATCCAGCCTGATTTCCTGGTCCTTCACCAGCACAAGCACATCTCAGGCAGCTTTGCTTGGAGACGTCTGCATGTTTATGGACTCAGATGCTTGGCACCCACACACCCCCCCCGACCCTGTCCTTGCGCTGGGTTTTTTTGGGTGCCTGCCCTTCTCTAAGCCCATCAGCTGTGGTTCACCCACCATCACGGCCGATCCCAGAAGGGTGCTGCTGCATTTGCTGTGAGGGCTGATGGGGCACGTGGCAGCAGGCGGCTGCTGGAGAACTGTGCTGTCCCATCCCGCACTATAAACAGGTTCTTGGGTGTTCCCAGCACGCCTCCAGCTTGCGGGAAAGGGCTGACCAGAGCACTCACATCACGGCTGAGCCCTGTCCCCTTGCACAGCCAGCACAGAAAGGACCTGGGTGGCACAGAGAGAGGACAGCCCCTTGGCTGCCTGGGTGGACTTGGTCATTCCTTGCCTCAGAAGTGGCTGTTGTCAGAGTGCCGCGATGCTGTTGGGACTCAGCAGCCCCTTTTAGACCCATTTCTGACTCCTGGTTGGGGGGGTTGGGAGGAAGGAGAGATCTCTCAGCATGGGGTGGCGAAGGCTGAACGAGTGTGGAGCTGCTCGAGGCAGCGCCGATACGGGCTCCTTCATCTGCAGAGAGGTGAGGGAGCGGGGCTGCTCTCCGGAACATTATCCGAGGTCGCAGCAAGGGAGCTGGGAATCAGAGGCTTTCTGATCCAAGCTGAACGCAGCGGTTCACACATCTCCTAGCGCTTCCCTCTCTATTTCTGTTGCCAGCTAAAGCTCCAGGCCCGGCTGAGGGTACGCCTGCCCACCATCCCCATCACCAAGCCGCACACCATGAAGCCAACCCCCCGCCCGACACCCGTCAGGCCTACGGTCTCTCCCATCGTGTCGGGCGCCAGGCGGAGGCGGGTGCGGTGCCGAAAATGCAAGGCTTGCATGCAGGGCGAGTGTGGCATGTGCCACTATTGCAGGGACATGAAGAAGTTCGGCGGGCCTGGCCGCATGAAGCAGTCCTGCGTCCTTCGGCAATGCTTAGCGGTGAGTCTGCAGCCTGATCTTTTTCTCAGAAGTTTGCTGCGGCCTGGCAGCAACTCTGTGTGGCCAGTTAGGGTCAGAGAGAGGAGCGCTGTGACTTAAGTTTGATTCCTGGGGGGGATAGTTGGCACCTTCCCCGTTTTTCAGGCGGTGGGGGATAGAAAGAGGAAAGGGGGAAGTCTGTCCCACCTTACACTGGTTTCACTCCTGCTTTCCTTTGTAGCCCAGGCTGCCTCACTCGGTCACGTGTGCACTTTGCGGGGAAGTGGATCAGAACGAGGACTCGCAGGACTTTGAGAAGAAGCTCATGGAGTGCTGCATCTGCAACGAGATCGTTCACCCTGGCTGCCTGCAGGTGAGCCGCCTGGGCGCTGGGTTAGAGGGGGGCTTGGCTGCGGGGAAGGACTGCTGCTGACCACCCTCTTCTCTTCACAGATGGATGGAGAAGGGCTGCTCAACGATGAGCTCCCTAACTGCTGGGAGTGCCCCAAGTGCTACCAGGGTGACGACGCAGAGAAGGGCCAGGTAGGAGGCGAGTTGTGCTGTGCCAGTGCAGGATCCGTGTCCCCCTCCATCCCACTGCCTCCTGCTAGGAGATGGGCAATGTTCAACCAGCCCGGGCTGCGTGGGTAGGGCGGGCAGGCGCCAGCACGATCTGGGGGACCAGTTGGGCAGTGAGTAGGGAGAGTGAGGATCACTGGGAGGGGCCTGGCAGCATCCTGCTCTCTGTCCACGGCTCCCAGGGAGCCCGGCAGCAGGCCAAAGCCAGGCTCCTGTGAAAGCAGCGGGGACAGCCGGGTTCCTCTGCCAGGCAGCGACCGGACTGCATGTGGTAGTGGCTGGCCCACTGCCGGTGCTGCCTGTGACACTACGGCTGCCACATCTCCTGTAGGACCGTGCCCACAGCTGTGGATGGAAACACGGCAGCTAAGGCAAGCCAGGCGAGGAACAGTCATCCTGGGGCACCTTCACCTTCTCCTGGATGATACGCGTGCTCAGGGTGTACCTTTGCCTGGTTCTTGGGTCCCCCAGCAATTCAAGGGGATGCGATGAGCACCCCATGTCCCCACAGTGTCTTGTGCTGAGCTGTGATCCTGAGAGTTTCCACTGCAAGAGGTGTGGGGACTTAAGCACAGAGTGGAAGCCACCCCCCAACCTCAGAGGACACCCCCTTTTATGAAGGGGGAAGGAAAATGTTGGTTGCTGCTGTGTGGGTGGACTCTGGTCCTGGTGCTACTGGGCACTGCTGGTGCGGGCCCTGCCAAGTGCCCTGAGGAAGAGGAGAGGGAAGGGGGCTGCATTCCCCAGGCCCACCGCGGCTCCATCCCCGCTAACCCACCGCCCCGCTTCCCCGCAGAAGCGGAAGGTGGAAGAGAGCGACGACGACACGGCGCAAGCCAAGGTGCTGCGGCCCCTGCGGAGTTGCGAGGAGCCCCTGACCCCCCCGCCCAACTCGCCCACCCCCATGCTGCAGCTGATCCATGACCCGGCGTCGCCGCGAGGCGTGGTGACCCGCTCGTCCCCGGGAGCCGGCCCCAGCGACCACCACAGCGCCAGCAGAGACGAGCGCTTCAAGCGACGGCAGCTGCTGCGGCTCCAGGCCACCGAGCGAACCATGGTGAGGGAGAAAGAGAACAACCCCAGCGGCAAGAAGGAGCTGTCGGAGGTGGAGAAGGCCAAGCTGCACGGCTCTTACCTCACCGTGACGCTCCAACGCCCCACCAAAGACGTCCACGGCACTTCTATCGTCCCCAAGCTGCAAGCCATCACAGCCTCCTCCACCAACCTGCAGCACTCTCCTCGCGTGGTTATGCGCCACGCACCCACCAGGATGCCCCTGCGGGGCGGGGGGGAGGAGGAGGCAGCCGCCGAGGAGGAGGAGGAGGAAGAGGAGGAGGAGGACGAGAACGCGGAGGAGGGGGGGGCAGCCCGGCTCAACGGCCGAGGGGGCCGGGCGCAGGAGGGCGAGGAGAGCTGGATGCAGCGCGAGGTGTGGATGTCCGTCTTCCGCTACCTCACCCGCAGGGAGCTCTGCGAGTGCATGCGGGTGTGCAAGACCTGGTACAAGTGGTGAGTGTGGGGGACACGGGGTGGGGCGAGGGGGGGGGGCGGGGGGTGGCACGGCCAGGCCTGCCCACGTCCTGACCACCCCCCTCTCCCCCCTATGCACCAGGCATGGCCACAGCAAACCTTCCTGGGCGGGAAGGGGTCTCCCCGGAGCTGGCACTTGCCAAGCAGCGTTGCCCTCAGACCTTTATTGTCCCCTTCTGCCTTCCTCCTGTCCCTTCTGTTGGGAGACGGTGTCAGACTGGTGCTGTCACCTGTGTCCCCCACCACGTCCTTGCGAGGTGTCGATGCTCTTTCCTCGCCCACGGCCCTGCGTGGTCCTTGCCCTTCCCTGCCTCCCGTCCTGCCTGGGCCTCCCAACAGGCTTGGGAAGGCAGGCTGTGGCAGGGATGGGTTTGCTGGCTGGAAACGGCCTCGGGGGGCAAGCAGGCCTGAAGACAATGCTGGCACCGAGACAGCTGTGGATGGAGGGCTTGGGAACAGCCGGCGACTGGAAATGGGAGGTTTCTAACTGCCAAGCAGCAGGAACGGCACAGCGGGAAAGGACCGGCCTGCTTTGATCGGCAGCTGGTGGGAATGGTGTGGCGCGGTGGCTGGAGGAGAGAGTCCCCTCACCTGCCACTGCTGCGGCACCCTCAGGGGCCCGCCTGAGCCACCATCGGGTCCTGAGCCTCCCCAAGCTGCCGTGGGGTGGGACCAGGCTGAGTGTTTTGCCTGCTGGGAGCAAGGATGCTGAAGATTTTCGTCCTGGCAGGAGGAGTGCCTGGGAGGAGGGGGCAAGCAGGCAGATGGCTGTGACTCAGAGCCTTGTTACGTGGCAGCAAAATCTGTTCTGGGCATCCCTGGGTAGCCAGACCCCCTCAGCAACTTCCTTATAGGTTTGGGGAAACCCGGGAAAACCAGGCAGAGCAGCCTCGTTCTGTGGCTGGGGCCACGCCAGGGCTGAGCTCCTCCTCAAAGCCAGGCAACCCACCAGCTGCCTTGTGTCTCAGGGGGCTCTCAGGGCTTAACTTTCAGCCTTGTCCTTGTCCCCAGGTGCTGTGACAAAAGATTGTGGACAAAGATAGATTTGAGTAGGTGCAAGTCCATCACCCCCCAGGCGCTGAGCGGCATCATCAAAAGACAGCCGGTCAGCCTCGACCTCAGCTGGACCAATATCTCCAAAAAACAGCTTACGTGGCTCGTCAACAGGCTGCCAGGTGAGCGTGGGCTGGGGAGGGGTCCCTACCTCTGCCACCAACCTGCTCCGAGGCATCCTGACAGCTGGACCACAGCGAGAGACAGGCTCTGCACCCTGGTATCCTCCAGCTCGAAAACTCCTGGCTGCCTGGATCCCATCACCCAGCAAGCAGCCGAGAGTGACGTGGTTTCCTGCTGCTGCATTAACCTCTCCTTCAGAGAGCCCGGTTCCCCGTCCCACGCCAGGCAGGGAGGGGAGCTGCTTCTTCATGTGCCTGGAGAAAGAAAGGTTGAGAACTGGGATGCCTCAGAGCTGACCAAGCCCGTCTGACTTGTTACCTCTCCCCCTTCTCCTGACAGGCCTGAAAGACCTCATCTTAGCGGGCTGTTCCTGGTCTGCGGTCTGTGCTCTCAGTACCTCCAGCTGCCCCTTTCTCAGGACCCTCGATCTTCGGTGGGCAGTAGGAATCAAGGACCCTCAGATCCGGGACTTACTCACACCTCCAACAGACAAACCCAGTAAGCTGTTTCTCAGGCTGCCACCGGCCAAAGTTGAGGCGGTGGTGACTGAGGAGGGTCCCCACGGGTTGTGGGGAGCTAGAAGAGGGTGACGTGCTGGGCCCAGAGCGGGGAGGCGATGCTGGATCTGGAATGCGCCCCCCCTCCCAGCCCCCCACAGCGGGGCAGATAGTCAGCGTTCAGCTTCTCCTCTCCCTTTGCAGGTCAGGACAATCGCAGCAAACTCCGCAACATGATCGATTTCCGGCTCGCCGGCCTGGACATCACCGACGCCACGCTGCGGCTGATCATCCGCCATATGCCCCTGCTCTCCCGCCTCGACCTCAGCCACTGCAACCACCTTACAGACCAGTCGGTCAACCTCCTCACGGCCGTGGGCTCTTCCACACGCAACTCCCTCACCGAGCTCAACATGGCAGGTGGGTACGCTGCTCTGGGTGGCTTGCCGTCATCAAGCGGCTTCTTCCTCCCAGCCTGACAGCTCGGCTCTGGCTTGGCGGAGGCCTTGCAGCTCATTCTTCCTCTCGTTTCCTCCCCACCCCCTCGCCAGGCTGCAATAAGCTGACAGACCAGGCCTTGCTGTACCTGCGCCGCATCTCCAACGTCACTCTAATCGACCTGCGAGGTTGCAAACAGATTACCCGCAAAGCCTGTGAGCACTTCATCTCGGACCTGTCCATCAACAGCCTCTACTGCCTGTCCGATGAGAAGCTGATCCAAAAAATCAGCTAGAGACCCTCCGCGGGGCAGACTGAGGAGAAGGAAAAGAGCCCATCCCACCCCTCTCGGAGAGCCGCTCCTCCACATCCCCACCTTGCCCTTCGTGTCCTGCCGCTGCCTCCCACCTGACTTGGCAGGCAGGGCCGCTGCTGGCCTCACTCCACCGTCCTTCCTCCTCCTCCCCCGGGACTTCTGATGATGAAGATGTCCCGCCAGGCTGGCCAGTACCAGAGGAGGAACGGGCAAATGGCAGGGAGCCTCAGCCCAGAGGCTAGCCACTCCCAAGGCGGAGGTTGTAATAGAGATCTCTGTGCAGAGAAATGGGGCACCCTCTTCCCCCCCAGCTTTTCCCCTCCTCCCCGTCGTCTCCTTGCCTTGAAACACTTGTCACTTCCCCGTTAGCACAAAGCTTTGAGGGTCAAGGTCTCACCAAGGAAGCGGGAGCAGAGCTGGAACAAAACGTCCCCCTCTCCGTGCCACCACCAGCTCCTCGCTTGTCCCTTTACGGTTTCCCTCGTCCGGCTGCGGGGGCTGTGATCCAACCCCCCCCGCCAGCTCCTTCTCCCACCTCTCTCACACATCCAGGCGGCATTTTGGGTGTCAAGGGCAGGAGCCCTGCAGCCGGGGTGCCGCGGGCCTGACCCACGCCGGCTGGGAGCAGGGGCTTGGCAGCCCCAGGGGGAGGCGATGCTGGGGGTCAAAACGCGCTTCCCACTTTGGGGTCTCCCCCGGAGCATCGTCTGTCCCGACGCAGCCCCCCCACAGAGGTGACGGCCGGGGAGAAACCACAGGTACATCAGAGCTCAGGGAGGACTCAGAAAGCATCAGGCAGGGGTGAGTGAGCGCAGGGAGGGGGGGACAGGAGCTGCCTCCTCTTCCTCCCCAGCTCCCTACATGTGGCCCAGCATCATGAAGCACTCTAGGGCCGGAGGGGCAAAGGCTGCTCTGTGGCCTGGGACCGAACTGGCACGAGCGCCCCACTGCATTGTCCTGTCCTACCCCAAACCCTTTTAGCTGCCGTTTTTCCTTTGCAATGAATGGTCGGTCCAAAGAACCTCTCTCTAGGGCAGCAGAGAGCTTTTTGCACTTTAAAAAAAAAAAAAAAAAAAAAAAAAAAATTACGACAAAAAAAAACTACAAAAAAAAAAAAAACACCAAACAAACAAAAAAAATAACAAAAAAAAAAAAAAAAAGGAAAAGAAAAAAAAAAAAGTTGGAATCTTCTTTTGGGTCACTATTTTATTTCCCTCCCTGTCCTGCCTGTGATCGGACGCTCCCCATCTCTCTCCCGGTGTCAGGACCCTGCTTGCCCCTCCCCAGCCCCTTGGCAAGCGCCTACAGATAGCACAACCCCGACACCCCCCCCCCCCCCCCGCCGTGTCCCCCCCATCCTCCCAGTGCCACCAGTCCCCAGCCCCGGCGAGGCCGAGCGAGGGGCAGGGGGGTTCCCGCGGAGGGCAGCCCCGCTGCTTCAGAAGCAATAAGGGAGGAAAAACCACCCCACCCCACCCCCCCCCCAGCACCCATTCTGCCCCCGGCCTCGGTGGGGGCTGGGGGCCGGGGGACAAGGGGCAGTTGTGCTGCGGTGATGCCGGGAGGGGTTTGGAGCAGAAAACCCCCTCCCCGGGTGAGAGGAAGAGCACAGAGAGCCAGGCCCCTCCGGGCAGTGGAGGCCGCCTGCCTTAGTGTCTCTTGGTGGCTCCTGGGAAAGACGTCGGAAGAATGGAAAGGTTGTTTTTGTTGTTTTTTTGTTTTTTGTTTTTTGTTTTTTTTTGCTTTAGATTGATTTTTTTTTTTTTTTTTTGAGTCTCGCAACACAAAGAAAAAATATTCATTTAAAAAAAAAAAAAAAAAAAAAAGCTGGGGTTAAAGCTTTTAGCCGGAACTGGGTGGGCTCAGGGCTCCCTCGGCAGCGGGACCCTCCCTCGGGGCGGGAGGTGGGCGAGCGGCTGAGCTGGGGGGCAGCAAGTCCTCCCCGGGGTCTGTCTGTCTGTCCTGTCCCGTCCCGTTCCACCACCAGCCTCAGAGACTCTGGCGTGAGACCCTCGTCACCCAACCGGCCACCCCGGCCCCCACCCATGGGCAGGGGGTGAAAATCCACAAGGAAGAGGGAAAAAAAAAAAAAAAGAAAAAGAGAATTATATATATAAAATCACTTAGTGATTTAAAAGCAACCCAGACTGCTCCCTAAAGACAACTCCCGCAAGAAAAATCACTTGTTTAAGGGTTTGGTTGTGTTTTTGTTTTTGTTTCAATTCCCCTTCTTTCCTCTACCCGCCCCCCTTCCCCCCACCCCCCCGGAGAAATATTGTAAATATATATTTTTTTGTTGGCGATTTAGAGTCCATCTCTGATGTTTGTGCTTTAAAATTAAATGTAAGCATTAAGGGTAAAAGCAAACCAAGTCTTATGCTCTCTCAGTCGGTATGGTTTGGGTTGGGGGTTTCTTGTTGGGGTCAGAGGGAGGGGAGCTAGTTGGCAATTTTTTTTGTTTTGTTTTATTTTAGGGTTTTTTTCTGGTTTTGTTTTGTTTTTTGTTGGTTTGGTTTTCCTTTTTCTAAGCATTCTCCAATATTGGTTTTAGGGAGGATCTTTGCTCATAACATATTACCACAGAGATGGGGGGGGGGAATAGGGGGGAAGATACCAACCTCTGAAGGGAAAAATATTTTGTTTCCTGGGGGTGGAATTTTGGAATAAAAAAAAAAATATAATGTCAAGAAAACCAAAACCCTGAGTCTGGGCTCTGCCCGTTGTTTGTCTGCGAGGGAAGCAGAGGGGACCCCCCCCCCACCTCGCCCAGGGGCTTCCTCCACCCCTGGAGAGGAATTTGGGGGGACACGGTGGCATCCGTCCCCCGTGTCCCCGTCACCTCCTGGAGGGGTGGCGGCAGCCATCCCTGTGTCTCACCCCACTCGTGACCCAGCGCCACGGGTCCCCATGGGGTCCCTCCGGGCCGTGGGGACCAGCTGCTGCATGTCACATGCCGTCACACGCGTGTGCGTCCACGCGGATGCGCTGCAGGGCGTCACACCCGGTGCCACACTCACCCACGGTGTCACGAACGTACGTGACACCCTCACGGTGTCACACACCCACTGTCACACCCAGTGGTACACCCACGCACGGTGTCACACACACAGCGTCACATGCCTGGTGTCACACCCCCACACACGTGGTGTCAGACCCGGGGTCACACACACCCACCTGGTGTCACACCCACCCACCGTGTCACACACACATGCTGTCACACTCCCCCAGATGGTGTCACAGCCAGTGTCACACACACGGTGTCACGCCCACCCACCGTGTCACACACCCCCAGTGTCACACCGGGTGTCACACCCACGTGATGTCACAGACACGATGTTTTGCACACCCACCCAAGGTGTCATACAGATGGTGCCACCCCCAGTGTCACATACACTCACCGGGTGTCACACCCACCCCCCTCGTGTCACACCCGCTGTTACACACACACAGTGACACACACCTACTGTCACACCCACACGCCCAGTGTCACACCCACCCACGGCGTCACACACACACACACACCGGGTGTCACACCTACCCACGGTGTCACACACCCACCCCCCCACACACCTGTCCCACGCAGCGCCCCCCACTCTCCCGCCGGCGCCACGGCCACGCCCCGCGTGGGCGGAGCAACTTAAAGGGCGTGCCCCCATGGGGCCACGCCCCCCCTCCCAGGCAGAACCGCCTGTCACTCTCACACACACACACACACACAGACACGCGCAGCGACACGCGCTCCCCTCAGGCCGCCATGGCCGCCCGCCGCTGAGCCCGGGCCGCGCCGGGTCCGTCCCGGTGGTCTCAACCCCCCTTCTCCCCCTCACCACCGCCCCCCCCCTCCCCCGTTCCGGTTCCGGGGTTCCGGTTCCCGGTTCCGGTTCCGGGTTCCGGGTCCCGTCCGGGTCCGGGCCGGCGGCGGCGGCGGCGGCGGTGGCGGGACCAGCGGCGGCGCAAAATGGCGGACCTGGAGGCGGTGCTGGCAGACGTGAGCTACCTGATGGCCATGGAGAAGAGCCGCGCCGCGCCCGCCGCCCGCGCCAGCAAGAGGATCCTCCTGCCCGAGCCCAGGTGAGGCCCCCGCGGCCGTCTGTCCGTCCGTCTGTCCGTCCGTCCGTCTGTCCGTCCGTCTGTCCGTCCGTCTGTCCGTCCGTCTGTCCGTCCGTCCGCCCCGCGCAGGCCCGCTCGCGTGTGCGCGCACACCCCTCCCGTCCGCGCACACGCACCCACCCAGCATACCCCCCCCACTCCCGTGCCTGAGTGTGCAACACGCGCGTCCTGCCCAAGCGGATGGACCCACGGACACGCACGCCCTTCCCGCTAACACCCGCGACCCGCTGTCGCCGTGCCCACGCGTGCCGCCTGTGTGTGCACACACGCACACGTGTCCAGGCGTGCAGCGCCGGGGCAGGGCAGCCGCAGTGTACACAACAGCCGACGTCAGCACACGAGTGTCGGGGCCCGGCTGTCACACGCAGGACCCTGCACACACACACACACGCACACCCCGCCACCCACGCGCCCGTGTCACGCTCGCGCACACCCACGCAACCCGCTGCACAACTTCCCTTTGCACACCCGGCGTGGGGTGGGCGACAGCCCGATGCAGCACCCGCGGCACTGCTTGTCCCCAGGGTGCAGGAGGGGGACCCGAGTGGGTGGCTCCAGCCCCCACCCTCGCTGCCCTCCTGTCCCTTTGCTGCCAGGGTGGTTTTTTTTTTTTTGGGGGGGGGGGGGGTACCCCGCTCCCCGACCTCCCTTGGACCCCAGTGCATGGGTCACCCTGGCCTGGCGACGTGTCACACCTGAGGGACACGCACGAGGTGGGAGGAGGCCCACGCTGACAGAGCTTGGCGTGGCGTGGGGACACGGGAGGGGCAGGGGGGACAGCGGGGGTGCCCCAGGGAGCGGTGGGCACGGGGCACGCGGGGCGCTGAGCCCCTCCTGCGTCTCCCCAGCATCCGCAGCGTCATGCAGAAGTACCTGGAGGACCGGGGAGAGGTGACGTTCGACAAGATCTTCGCGCAGAAGATCGGTGAGTTGCAGGACACGGAGAGTGAGGGGGGGGCACCCGCAAACATGGGGACACCCCTCGTGTGCCTGGGCACATGCGGTGGGGGGGGGTGGGTTGGTGGCAGCTGTGACAGCGGTGGTGACCGTGACCGTTCCCCTCTGCCCCTGGGGGGAAGCGACGGGACTGTGTGGCCGGGCTGGGCTTGGGGATTGCGTGACACGACCCACCCCATGTCCCCCCCACCCCACCCCACATCCCCCGCCCCATCACTTCCCCCAGCGCTAACCGTCCAGAGCAGGAAGCGCCTCTCACTTCCTCCTGCCGGCTCTGGCGGTTTCCGGGCACGTCCGCCCCACGGCAGCCTGTTCCCCGGTGCCCGCCTGTGCCCCTGCCCCACTGCTCCCCCACTGCACCCCTGCCCCATGGTGCCCTATAGCCCTGCGCTGTGCTCTTCACCGTGTCACCCTGCCAAACCCTGGCCGGTCCCCAGCTTGGCACTTCCCCTTCTCCGAGCCTGGCGTGGGGGTGGCTGTGGGGCCAGGGGACATCGCTGTCCCCTTCAGCTTGGGCTATGGGACACGTGCTGCCACTCTGGGGCTGACACTTCTCACACCATGGCTCTGTCCCTGCCAGGGTACCTGCTCTTCCGGGACTTTGCCTTTAACCAGGCAGAGGAAGCCAAACCCCTGATGGAGTTTTATGAGGAGGTGAGATGGGGGGACCCATCCAAACAGACCCCCATGGTCGTGAGGAGGGTTGAGGGTGGGATTTGGTACCTACAGGACCGTTGAATGTGGTACCAAGAGCATGAATAGCACCCAGAGGTGCCCAGGGGACTGGGAGGTGATGCTCTGTATACCCAGGGGACACAATAACCATTGGGTGCCCGCAGGACATGGTTCCCAGCGGGGCTGGAGCCATGGTTCCCTGCGTACTGAGTTCCAGGGGCCAGCCAGCCCCGTGTGGGGTGAGGGCTGTACCCCGTGACGGCGCAGGCCTGGTGGCTGTGTGCCCCTGTGCCACGGGAGCTGTGTCCTTGCCAGATCAAGAAGTACGAGAAGCTGGACTCGGAGGAGGAGCGAACCACTCGGAGCCGCCACATCTTTGACCATTACATCATGAAGGAGCTGCTGGCCTGCTCCCACGTGAGTGCCACGCTGTGCTGGCGCTACGGTGGGGTGACATACCGGGGTGGGGTCCCCAGAGTGGGTGCGAGGGGTGTACCTAGTGTCCCCAGGGGGCCTGGTGCCCACTGACTTCAGAAGGAGCTCCAAAACCACCACTGACTCTGTTCTGGGAGCCACAGACCCAGCCCTATGGATGGGGGTTCCTCCACTTGCCTGGGCTTTGTGGGGCTACCTTGCCCCAGTGGCCCCATCCCCTTCTGCCCAGGGTGACACAGTCCCCTCTCGCCTCACAGCCCTTCTCCAAAAGTGCCACGGAGCATGTCCAGAGCCGCCTGAGCAAGAAGCAGGTGCCCCCAGACCTCTTCCAGGTGGGCATCACCCGGGACGGAGAGGGGGTCCCTGCCACCTCTGGTACTCGGAGGGTTAATCCTTACGGGGGTCTGGTGAGAGGGTGCTGGGGGCTGGTGGTGAGGGGTCCCAGAAGGTACGGGGACCCCAAGGGATGGAGAGGGGGTCCCCAGAAGGTTGGGAGTGAGGGGGATTGCTGGTGGTCCGCATGGGGTGGTAGTCAGGAGACTGGGGGCTGGAGGTAACAGGGTGGGGGGGGTGCTCCTCAGAGGATGGCGATTGGGACCCTGGATGTAGAGGTGACCCAGGGTGACAGCGGGGTCCCCAGGGGTGCTGATGTTGAGATCCCTAAAGATTCGGGTGACCCTGGTTGGCAGAGTCATCCCCAGGGACCTGGCAGTGGCAGGGTGGCAGTGGGATACGTGAAATCCCAGGGGTGGAGGAGACCTCACAACGATGGGACCTGAGGGGTTCAGGTGACCTGGGTGACACTGGGGACTCAGCGCTGAGCCCTGTGTCCCCCCCCCCAGCCCTACATCGAGGAGATCTGCCAGAACCTGCGTGGGGGCATCTTCCAGAAATTCATTGAGAGGTGAGATGGGGGAAAGTCCAACTGGGGACCGGGGTGTCCCATCCCACTCTCCTTAGATAGGAGCTCCAGGGGTGTCTGTCCCCAGACCAGGGACTCAGGGCACTCTTCACATCCCCAAGTCTGGCTTGGGGTCTCTCTCTTCCCAGATGGGGGTCCCAGGGGGTGCTGCCTGTCTCCAGACAAGTCCGAGGGGTCCTTCTGCCCCAAGATGGGTGTTGGAGGGGGGTGGTTTCTCCAGGGGCTCCACTCTTGCCCTCTCTGTGCTTCGTTGCAGTGACAAGTTCACACGGTTCTGCCAGTGGAAGAACGTGGAGCTGAACATCCATGTGAGCAGGGACCCCTGCGCCTCGGGGCACCCCGGGCACCTCTGGGCACTTCGGGGAGGGGGGACGTGGGCACGGTGACAAAACTGCTGCCCCAGGGCTCGCTAGGGCTGGCGTGGGTACCCTCAGAGGGGCACCCTCGCTGTCACCCACCCACAGGTGGCTCTCCCACACCCGCCCACGCTCACAGGGACATGTGGAGCAGCCTCCATGTTCCTCACCCGGGGAAACTGAGGCAGGGTGTGGGACACACGGCAGCTCTTGGTGCAGGGCAGGTGCTGCAGGACCCAGGTGTCCAGGCTCAACCCCTCCCTCCTCTTCGCCCCCTCCAGCTCACCATGAACGACTTCAGCGTTCACCGAATCATCGGCCGCGGTGGTTTTGGGGAGGTCTACGGCTGCCGGAAAGCGGACACGGGCAAAATGTAATGGGGGATGATGCTCCGTTGCAGGGGGATGGAGGGATCCGCCTGTGTTGGGGGGTAGGGGGGGTGGCCCCCAGGGCATCTGCAATGGTGTTGCCGTGACGACAAGTGTTAGGGGCTTGCGGAAGTATTGCCATGGCTACGGGTCTCTGGGGGATACGGGCACGTCATGGCCGTGGGTGGTAGCTGGATGCGGTGATGTGGCCGTGGGTGCTGGCGGCGGAGGGACGCGGTGGCACTGGAGGGATGTGGCACCGTGGGCAGCAGCAGGACCCTGCGGGGACTCTTTGCCCCCAGGTACGCCATGAAGTGTTTGGACAAGAAACGCATCAAGATGAAGCAGGGCGAGACCCTGGCCCTCAACGAGCGCATCATGCTGTCCCTTGTCAGCACCGGGGTGAGGGGACGCGGGCAGGGCTGGCACCCTGGCTGTGACACGGGCCAGGGGGGAGGGGGGACAGTGAGGGAGGGTGGTCTCGGGGCACCGCCGGCACAGCGTGACCCCGTCTCCCCCGCCAGGACTGCCCGTTCATCGTGTGCATGTCGTACGCCTTCCACACACCCGACAAGCTCAGCTTCATCCTCGACCTCATGAACGGTGAGAGGCCCCGGTCCCCGGGACGGGCTCAAAGCCCCCTGCCCGCATCACCCCTGGGGCTCAGAGGGGCAGTGCCAGGGTGACAACAGGGTCCCTGTTGTTACAGGGGGGGACCTGCATTATCACCTCTCCCAGCACGGCGTCTTCTCAGAGGCAGAGATGAGGTTCTACGCAGCCGAGATCATCCTGGGCCTGGAGCACATGCACAGCCGCTTTGTGGTGTACCGCGACCTCAAGGTGACCGACCCCACGGACACCCACGCCCCCACGGGCACCCTCCGACCCTACACGTGTCTAGGGGCCCCCTTGGCATCCCCAGGACCTGTACAGACTCTCCCCCGGGACCTTTTGGGCACCCACAGGTGTCACAGACCCTGCAGACCCCCAGAGAGCAACCTCAAGTCCCATGAGCACCCCTGACCCTGTAGGAACACGCACACACACCCCCCCAAAAAAACTCCATGGCCACCTTTGGGGGACCCCATGGGCTTCCTGGGACCTCAGGGAGGACACTCGCAGACTCTACCAGTGCTTCCCAGTCTCGTGGACACCCCCAAATCCCACCGGCAGCGCTTGGGCTCAGGGGGTGACACGGTGTCTCGGCAGCCGGCAAACATCCTCCTGGACGAGTTTGGGCACGTCCGCATCTCAGACTTGGGCCTGGCCTGCGATTTCTCCAAAAAGAAACCCCACGCCAGTGTGTGAGTGTGCCCACGCCCCTGCCTGCCCTGCCCGCCTGCCTGGCACAGCCCCTCACCCTGCTCTGTGCCCCCCCCCCCCCCCTCCAACCCCAGGGGCACCCATGGGTACATGGCTCCAGAGGTGCTGCAGAAGGGAGTGGCGTACGACAGCAGTGCCGACTGGTTCTCGCTGGGCTGCATGCTCTTCAAGCTGCTCCGGGGGTGAGTGTGGACACGGGTGGGTGCAGACGGGCATGGGTGGGCACTGCTGAGTTTCCCCACCACCACCTCCCCTCCCCTCACGCCCGCAGGCACAGCCCCTTTCGGCAGCACAAGACAAAGGACAAGCACGAGATCGACCGTATGACCCTCACCATGGTGAGTTTGGGGAGCCTTCGCCCCGTGGGCTGAGTGGGAGTGGGCTGAGGCAGGTGTGGGGATGGTGTCAGCACCCCCGTGGGTGCTGTGCCCCCCCCACACCATGCGCTGGCAGATATCTGGGGGGCACCCAGGGGGTGTGAGGGGGTCAGGGACACCCTGAAAATGAGCAGTGCCCGAAATGTGTGTTCATGCCCATCCCTACATGCATGTGCAGAATGACACGTGCAAGTGGGGGGGCTGCACGTGGGCGTGTTTGTCCCCGCACACACAACTCGTGTGCCCGGCACCGGGGGCTCACACCTGCGCATTGCACACGCAGAAGCGGCGGTGCGGCTCCGTGTGCTCACACCTCCCTGCGGGTCTGCACACGCCCGTGCCTCCGTGTGCGCGCGTGTCCCTCAGTGCCCGCGTGCTCGTGGCGTGACCGACCCCTGCTCTCTCCCACAGGCCATCGAGCTGCCGGATTCTTTCTCCCCCGAGCTGCGCTCCCTGCTCGAGGGGCTGCTCCAGCGAGACGTCAACCGCCGCCTGGGCTGCATGGGGCGCGGGTGAGTCCCGGCGGGCACCGGGGCTGGGCGTGCTGGCCAGGAGCCCGCACCGCTCACCCCACCTTGCTCCCCAGGGCTCAGGAGGTGAAGGAGGAGCCCTTCTTCAAGGGGCTGGACTGGCAGATGGTTTTCCTGCAAAAGGTGAGGGACACGACTCCCGGGCACGGGAAGGGGACACAGGGAGACACCCCCGCCTCTCCAACCCCTTTCCTGCCCGCAGTACCCGCCGCCCCTGATCCCACCCCGCGGCGAGGTGAACGCGGCCGACGCCTTCGACATCGGTTCTTTCGATGAGGAAGACACGAAGGGCATCAAGGTGAGCGGAGTGGAAGAGCTGAGCGTGGCCGGGCAGAGGGGTGGGCAGCAGGCAGCCCCTGACTCGGCGCTTCCCCATTTCCTCCCAGCTCCTGGAGAGCGACCAGGAGCTGTACCGCAACTTCCCGCTCACCATCTCGGAGCGGTGGCAGCAAGAGGTGACGGAAACGGTCTTCGAAGCCGTCAACGCCGACACCGACAAGCTGGAGGCTCGTAAAAAAGCCAAGAACAAGCAGCTGGGCCATGAGGAGGGTGAGTGGAACTGGGTATCCCCCCCCAAAGTGTGTGTGTCCCCCCCCCAACAGCCGTGCCCTGGGCTGACCCTGCCTTTCCTCGACGCGGCGGGCGCAGAGTACGCCATGGGCAAGGACTGCATCATGCACGGCTACATGGCCAAGCTGGGCAACCCTTTCCTGACGCAGTGGCAACGCCGCTACTTCTACCTCTTCCCCAACCGCCTCGAGTGGCGCGGGGAGGGCGAGTCGCCGGTAAGGGGGAGCTGGGGGAGGGGGGGCACGGGGCAGCATGGGGGGAGCACGGTGCTCAGCGGGCACACCTCGGGGGGTACGTGGGGTGAGGGGTGTGGACAAGCAAGCATGGCGTGGGGAGGGAGGGAGGGAGGGGGGAGGTTTGGGGGGGCCTTGGTGAGGACACGGAGGTCCTGTGAGGTTTTGGGGGCTGGGGGGGGCAGTGCTGGGCTGAACCCGTCCCCCCAGCAGTCCCTGCTCACCATGGAGGAGATTGACTCGGTGGAGGAGACGCAGGTGAAGGAGCGCAAGTGCATCCTGCTCCGCATCCGCGGCGGCAAGCAGTTCGTGCTGCAGTGCGATGTGAGTGTGCCCCGGCTCGGGGCGGGGGGGGGGTCAGTGCCCACCCCCGCCGGGCACTAGCCACCTCCCCACCCCCTCGCTCGCCCTCTCCCCTCGTGCCAGTCGCTCCCGCTGGCCACTAGCCCTGCACCTTTAGCCCTCCAAGCCATCGTGGGGCACAGATACTTGACAGCTTGGGGCAACCCCAGAGCCCGGGGAGCCCCCGACCACCTCGTACCCTGCCCTGGCACCCCGAGGGGGCCCCGACCTTGCCCTGGGGAGCCCCCGACCACCCTGTACCCTGCCCTGGCACCCCGCGGGGGCTCCAGCCTCAATGTGGGGAGGCCCCAACCACCCCATACCCTGCCCTGGCACCCTGGGGAGCCCCTGACCACCCTGTACCCTGCCCTGGGACCCCAGGGGGCCCTGACCTTGACCCCTGCCCTGCCTTGGCACCCTGGGGGGCCCCAACCTGACCCTGGCACCCTGGGGAGCCCCTGAGCACCCTGTATCCTGCCTGGGCACCCCAGGGGCCCCTGACCTCACCCTGGGGAGCCCCTGACCACCTCGTACCCTGCCCTGGCACCCCAGGGGGCCCTGACCTGACCCTGGCACCCCTGGGGGCCCCCAACCATCCCATACCCTGCCCTGGCAGCCTGGGGGGGCCCAGACCTCACCCTGGCACCCCAAGGAGCCCTGACCTTGACCCCCTGCCCTGCCCTGCCACAGAGTGACCCCGAGCTGGTGCAGTGGCGGAAGGAGCTGCGGGACGCCCAGCGCCAGGCGCAGCAGCTGCTGCAGCGGGTGCCGCGGATGCAGAACAAACCCCGCTCGCCCGTGGTGGAGCTCAGCAAAGTGCCGTTCATCCAGCGCTCCCCCAACGGGCTCTGACCCCAAACACACCCCCACCCCTTCCTCCTCCTCCTTCTCCTCCCCCCCTTCCCACCCCGCCTCTAATTTATTGGGTTGGGTTCCCGCGTGCCCCTCTCCCTTTTCGACAGCCCCGCACCCAGGCGTTGGACGGTGCCGGTTTCACCCGCTGGCGCCGGTGCTGCGGGCCCGTGGCGCGGCTCAGCACCTCGTGTGTGTGTGTGTGTGTTTGTCCCCCCTTCTTCACTCCTCTTCAAACTCTCCGGCTCAGATGAAGGCAGCCCCTACCCCACCAAAATTCCGTGCCCCCCTCCTCGCCGCTTCGCCACCGCTCTGTCTGTGTGTGCCAAATCGGGACAGGTGGGTGCCCAGCTCCGGCCGGGCAGGGAACTGGCCAACTCATTTCACTTGTAGCCTTTTGCCCACCTCCCTGCGAGCCGCTGTGCCCAGCGTCTGTGTGTGTGTGTGTGTGTGTGTGTGTGTGTGTGTGTGTGCCCGCCCAGGGGGACCCCCTGTAAATACTGTGCCATGGGTCCCCTCCCGTGCCCCCCCCCGCCACCTCCACCCCAAACTGTGCCCCTGCCATCCCCACCTGCGTGGCTGAGGAGGAGGGAGCAGGTGGGGACACCCCCCCCACCCCAAAATCGGCCTCCTGTGATGCTGGGGGGGCGGGCAGGGTGCCCTCCCTACCCCCCCCCCCCCCAGTCCCTGGCAGCATCTGTAAATATTGGTCTCGGGTCGGTCTGCTGAGGGGGCTGGGGGGGGGGGGGGGTGGGGGAAGAAGGAGGAGGGGAACACTGGGCAGGGCCAGGGCTGTTGTTGAATGAGATTTTAATGAGCAAAGATGTGAGAATGCCAAAAAAAAAAAAAAAAAAAAGAGTTTTTATAATAAAAATCTAGAAAAACCATCCAGCTCTACCTCATGGTGGGGGGGGCAGGGATGGCTTTTTGGGGTACCCCATCCCCTCTGGTAAGGCGGGAGCTGCCTGTGTGTGTGTGTGTCCCCCGGCATTTTAAGGACGTACCGGGGTGCGGGGGGGGTGTCGGGTCCCTCTTCCCCGGGGGGTGACCTTGGGTGTCCCCTAGTTGAGGGGTTGTGCAGGCAGCCCACCCCCCCCCCGCCTCGCCGCCCGGCACCGGGCCGACGTCCCGGTAATTCCAGCGGCCCCGGGGGACTCTCCGGTGTCTGATGAGAGGGTTGTGCCACCGCCACACCGAGCAAAACAGCCGCAGCGCGGAGGGGGGGGCCGGGCCCTGCAGACCCCCCGGCCCCGCCGCGTCTCCCCGGTGATCCCGGGTAACCCACTGCGGGCCGGGAAGGGAATCCCGGGGCCCCGCGGGGTACCCGGGAGGAGATGCCGGGAAGGGGGGCGCACACACACACACGCACACCCCGCCCCCCCGGTACCGAGCCAACGGTTCCCCGGTGCCCGGGCCCGCTGCTGCTTCTGATCTCCGGTGCTCGGTACAGGATATCCCGGGGTAGCGATGTCCGGTAACCCGGTGTCTTCAACCCCTCCCTCTCCTCCCGGTACCTGGTTCCGGGTGCCGGTACCCCGAGACCGCCGGCCCCGCCCCGCGCCGCCGCGTTACGCCGCCGTCCGTCCGTCCGTCCGTCCGTCCGCCCGTCCGCCAGTCCTCCCTCCCCTCCCGCCCGCCGTTCCCGCCGCCGCCGCCGCCCCCGCCGGCGCAGCCATTGCGGGGCAAGGCCCGGCGCTGCGGCCCGCCCGCCCTCACGGTCCCGGGGACATGGTGACGGGATGGCGCGACCCACCGACACCTTCCCGCTCCACCGGCTCGTCTGGCACAACCGGCACCAGGCGCTGGACAGCGCCCTGCGCTCCGGAACGGTGCGGACGGCCACCGGCACCGGCACCGGGGGGCGGGGAGGGGGGAGAACCGGGGACTGGGGGGAACCGGGGGGTGGGAGAGGGGGGGACTGGGGGGAACCGGGGACTGGGGGGAACCGGGGGGTGGAAGGGGGAGAACCGGGGACTGGGAGAGGGGGGGGGGACACCGGGGACTGGGGGAAGTGGGGACTGGGAGCTGGAGGTGGGGATGGGGGATGTGAGGGGGCGGCAGGGGGCACCGGGAGGGGTGGGAGGAGAGAATGGGGGAGCCAGAGCTTGGGAACAGGGGACTGTGAGTGTTGGGGGGGGGACTGGGAGTGTTGGGGGGGGGACTGGGAGTGTTGGGGGGGCTAGGGGTGTTGGGGGGGGGACTGGGAGTGTTGGGGGGGCTAGGGGTGTTGGGGGGGGGACTGGGAGTGTTGGGGGGGCTAGGGGTGTTGGGGGGGGACTGGGAGTGTTGGGGGGGCTAGGGGTGTTGGGGGAGGGGGAGACTAGGGGTGCAGGGGACTGGGAGCACTAGGGGAGACCGGGGGGCACTGGGAAGGGGGCTGGGAGACGGGCTGGGGGCACTGCGGTGGGGACTGGGAGACTGAGGGGACTGAGAGGGGACGGGGAATGCTAGGAGGGGACTGGGAGAACTAGGGGAGACTGGGGGGGGAAACTGGGAGCACTGTGGAGGGGACTGGAAGCATTGGGCAGGGACTGGGAGCACTGGGGGAGACTGGGGGCACTGGGGAGGGGGACTGGGAACACTGGGGGAGACTGGGAGAACCGGGGGAGACTGTGGACACTGGGACCATTGGGGGCACTGGGGAGACTGGGAGCTCTAGGGCAGACTGGTGGCACTGGGTGGGACTGAGAGCACTCTGGGGGGGCTGGGATACTAGGAGACCAGAAACAACTGGGAGCACTGGGACTGGGCTATTGAGGGCACTGGGGTAGGAGCACAGCTGGTAGAGGGAGACTGGGGGCTCTGTGACACTGGGGAAAATGGGGGACTGGGGAATTGGGGGCACTGGGAGCACTGGGGGTGGTGGTAGCATGGGGACAGGGGAGTGTGGGGGTGTGGAGCTGGGGGTGCAGGGCCCATGTGACTGGGGGCAGGAGGAGCTGAGGACTGGAGGGGTGGGAGGTTTGGGGACTGGGCCCACTGGGGGACAGGTGGAACTGGGGAACAACACTGGGGGACAGATGGAACTGGGGGACAGGAGGCCACTGGGGGACTAGGGACTCCGGGGGACAGAGGGACACTGGGGGACGGGTGGAACTGGGAGACAGGGACCACCGAGCCTTGGGAGCATAAGGGGTACAGGGATGGGAGCACGGGGGGGGAGCACTGGGCAGGGACATCCTGGGGGGCTGGGGACCAGTATTGGGGTGCCAGCGCAGGGCCTGGGGCTGTGCCGGGATGGCAGAGGGGGCGAGGGGGTCACGGGGAAGGTGTTGGGGTTCTTGGGGACCCCCCAGACGGGTGAGGGTGCCCCTGGGCGCCGGCGCAGCACGACGTGGAGTTGACGGACCCCCGTGGGCGAACCCCCCTGGAACTGGCCGTGTCCCTGGGGCACCTGGAGTCGGTGCGGGTGCTGCTGCGGCACAACGCCAACGTGGGCCGGGAGAACGCCAACGGCTGGACGGGTATGGGGAGGGGAGGGGTGGGAGGGGGGGGCACGGTCACGGGGTGCTGATGGTACACACCCCCCCACACCCCTCCCGCAGTGCTGCAGGAGGCGGTGAGCACAGGGGACCCCGAGATGGTGCAACTGGTGCTCCAGTACCGCGATTACCAGCGGGCGACGCGGCGGCTCGCCGGCATCCCCGAGCTGCTCAGCAAACTGCGGCGGGTACGGCCCTGCCCCGGGTGGGCACCCCTCCTCCGCCATCCCCCCCACACCCTCCCAGGGCTGGGGGGAGCCACTGGACACCCCAAGTCTCCTCAGGGCCCCCCCGTCTCCTCTGTTCTTTCCCCGCGCACCCCCTGCTTATCTCACCCTGCCGGGCCCCCAGCCAACACCCCGCTTTCCCAAATCCCCTCACTCCCCTATCCCTCCCACCCCATCTAAAACTCTCCATCCTCCCCAGTTATCCCGGCAGGGACCCCCCAACGCTCCTCCATCCCCTCCGTGACCCCCCCTCATCTCTTCCAGGCATCTGACTTCTACGTGGAGATGAAGTGGGAGTTCACCAGCTGGGGTGAGCGGGGTTGGGTGGGGACTAAAGGGGTGTCCGTGTCTGTGTGTGTGTGTGTGTGTCCCGCCTTGCCGTGCCGCTGACGGGGCGAGGGGTACCCCCAGTGCCGCTGGTCTCCAAGGTGTGCCCCAGCGACGTCTACCGTGTCTGGAAGCGGGGCGAGAGCCTGCGGGTCGACACCACGCTGCTGGGCTTCGAGCACATGACGTGGCAGCGCGGCCGCCGCAGCTACATCTTCAAGGGGGAAGGTCAGCCCCAGCTCCCACCGGGCACCCCAAAACCCCAGATACCCTCAGGGACCCTTGGGGATCCCCCCCTGCCTCCACCTCCCAGACCCCGTGCGCCGTAAGTAATCCCGTCAGGACCCCACAGACCCTGTGGGGAGCCCAGTTCCACCTTCCAGCAACGCTGGGGACCACCTCAACCCCTCACCCATACCAGGGAGCTCAGGCCCCTGCAGACACCCCCCCCAAACCGCCCTCCTAAAGCCCCCCAGCTCCCTCCCCTCCCAGGTTGAGGGGTGGCAGGGGCTGACCCGTTGTCCCCCCCACACTCCTGCGCAGACGAGGGGGCCGTGGTGATGGAGGTGGACCACGACAAGCAGGTGGTCTACACCGAGACGTTGGCCTTGACCTTGCACGAGCCCGACCTGCTGCTGGCGGCCATGCAGCCCTCGGAGGAGCACGTTGCCGGGCGGCTGACGTCCCCCATCGTCTCCACGCACCTCGACACCAGGAACATCGCCTTCGAAAGGTTGGGAGGGTGGTTTTTTTTGGGAGGGAGGGTTAAGTGGTGGACCCCAGCGTGGGGTTGGGAGGTTGGGGGGGATACGCGGAGGGGAAGGAAGCGCTTGTGCAAGAGGGGTGAGCAGCGTGTGGGGGTGTCCCCGCTGTGTGTGTGTGTGGGGGGGTGTCTGTCAGCTTCCCCCCCACTCCTTCCCCAGGAACAAGTCCGGGATCTGGGGCTGGCGCTCTGAGAAGATGGAGGTGGTCAGCGGCTACGAGGCCAAGGTGGGCACGGGGAAAAGAGGCAGAGGGGACCCCCCCCAAGTCGCACGGAGGGGCTGATCCTGTCCTCTGGCAGGTGTACAGCGCCAGCAACGTGGAGCTGGTGACCAAGACGAGGACGGAGCATCTGTCCGACCAGGATAAGTCCCGCAGCAAAGGTGACAGCCCTGTCAGCCAATCAGGGAGCCGGCCCGCAGCTGGGGCACGCCCCCCTCCTGGTGCAAGGCCCGCCCACTAGTGCAAGGGTTGCACCCTCTGCTTGGGTGCTGGGTGTGTGTCAGGTGTGGGAGAGCGTGTGGGGTGTGACCTGTCAGGTGTGGGACCCCGTGGGTGCTGGGTGTGACCTGTCAGGCGTGGGGCCCTGTGGGTGCTGGGTGTGACCTGTCAGGCGTGGGGCTCTGTGGGTGCTGGGTGTGACCTGTCAGGCGTGGGGCCCTCTGGGTGCTGGGTGTGACCTGTCAGGCGTGGGGCCCTGTGGGTGCTGGGTGTAACCTGTCAGGCGTGGGGCCCTGTGGGTGCTGGGTGTGACCCGTCAGGCGTGAGACCCAGTGTGGGGTGTCACCCGTGACAGCCAGGTCAGACTTGGGGTGCCGTACCCACCCTGCACCCCCTCTCTTTCCCCCGCCAGGCTCCAAGACCCCCTTCCACTCCTTCCTGGGCATCGCGCAGCAGCACAGCACCCACAACGGGGTGAGTTGGGGGGGGGGGGGGAGGGGATGGACAGGGACACCCCTGGGGGGTGACACCCTCCTGGTGTTGGGGAGGCCCTGGGGACGGTGTCACCCCTGTCACCGCAGGCGCCCGTGCTGCAGGCTGCCAGCCCCACCAACCCCACGGCCATCACCCCTGAGGAATACTTCGACCCCCACTTCGACCTGGAGACCCGCAACATCGGGCGCCCCATCGAGATGTCCAGCAAGGTGCAGAGGTGAGGCCACCCCCCTGCACCCCGGGGGTGACACGGTCCCAGGGACATGGCACTGGGGGGGGGGGGGAGGACACGGATTGCTGGGGATAGTGACGTGATCCCCCGGGATGCAGCAGCGGGGTCTGAGGACCCACGGGGAGTGGGGACGGGGTCCCAAGGATGTGGCAGTTGGTGTCAGGACCCACGGGGATGGTGACAGTGTCCCAAGGGATGGTGGCACCAGGTGTGAGGACCCACTGGGGTGCTGATGGGATCCCAGGGGATGGTGGCACTGGGTGGCAGGACCCACGGGGGTGGGGACAGGATCCCGCAGGATGGTGACACTGGGTGTCAAGACCCACGGGGGTGGTGATGGGATCCCAGGGGATGGTGGCACCAGGTGTGAGGACCCACAGGGGTGGTGATGGGATCCCAGGGGATGGTGACACTGGGTGTCAGGACCCACGGGGGTGGGGATGGGATCCCAAGGATGTGGCAGTGGGTGACAGGACCCACGGGGGTGGGGATGGGATCCCAAGGGATGGCGGCACCAGGTGTGAGGACCCACGGGGGTGGTGAGGGGGTCCCAGGGACGTGGCTGTGGCGGGTTCCCGTGCCCACGCCAGTGCCCGGGCAGGTTCAAGGCGACGCTGTGGCTTTGCGAGCAGCACCCGCTGTCGCTGGCGGAGCAGGTGACGCCCATCATCGACCTGATGGCCATCTCCAACGCCCACTTCGCCAAACTGCGCGATTTCATCACCCTCAAGCTGCCCCCCGGCTTCCCGGTGAAGATCGGTGAGGTGGGGTGGGGCAGGGTGGGGCAGGGGTGGGTCCTGTCCCCCCCCTACCCCTGGGTGGGGCCACTGACCCCTGTCCCCCCAGAGATCCCCCTCTTCCACGTGCTCAACGCCCGCATCACCTTCAGCAACCTCTGCGGGTGCGACCAGCCGCTGGGCTCCGTGCGGGTGTGCGCCCCACCCCAGCCCCCCAGCACCCATTCCCCTGGCCCGCAGCCCCCCAGCACCCAGCCCCCTGGCCCTAGAGGTGAGGCTGGGGGAAGTTTGGGGCAGGGGGGACACCCTGAGGGCACATGTGGCTGGGGGGATGCTGTGGGATTGGGGGGTGCCCAAGGGCTGGGAGGTCTCTGGGGTGGGGGTCATCCCAGGGGTGGTGTTTGTGGGTGCTGGGTGGGGGGGCTGGGGACCACTAAGGTGCCCATGGACATGGGGTGATGGGTGCTGCAGGGTGTCAGAGCCGGGGGGTGTCAGCGCACACGGGTCCTTCATGGACACAGGGTGGTGTGGCCATGGGTGGGGGGTGCAGGGTGCTGTGGGGTGCTGAGGGGCATAGAGCACCCATGGGCGTGGGATGCTGCGGGGTGCCATGGGGGCAGGGTGCTGAGGGGTGCAGTGGAGTGCTGCAGGGACTGCGGTGTGGTGCTGCAGGGTGCCATGGGGTGCTGTGGGGTGGTGTGAAGTGCTGTGGGCCGGGGGTGCCACGGGGTGCTGTGAAGTGCCATGGGCTCAGGGTGCTGCGGGGCACTGTGGGATGCCGCGGGGTGCCATGGGCGTGGGGTGCCGTGGGGTGCCGCGGGGTGCTCATGCTCGGGGCGGCGGCAGGCTGGCCCTTCCCGTGCGAGGTGGAGGCGGGGGTGTTCGAGGTGCCGGCGGGGTACACGGTGCTGGGCGCGGGGCGCAGCGAACCCCTCCGGGACGAGGACGACGACCTGCTGCAGTTCGCCATCCAGCAGAGCCTGCTGGACGCCGGCACCGAGACCGACCAGGTGAGGCCACGCCCCTCCCGGGACAAGCCCCGCCCCCCTGCGCAGAAGCCCGGCCCCTCAAGCCCCGCCCCTCCCCGCAGGTGACCATTTGGGAGGCGCTGACCAACACCCGCCCCGGCGCAGACCCGCCCCCCTATGACGAGGACCTCCAGCTGGAGCGGTGAGGCACCGCCCACTTCGGGGCGTGGCCTGGTCACGCCTCGCCCACCCCGCGCCTGGGGCGGTGCCAAGGCGGGAGCGGGGGGGGGGGGTGGGTGGGTGTGGGGGGTGGGTGTGTGCCTTAAAAGTGTGAGGGTGGGGCGGAGAGGCGGGGCACTGGAGGCGTGGCCTAGGGGGGTGGGGTCTTTGTGGATTAAGGGAGGGGTTTCCTGCTCCCTGGAGGGTGTGACCAAGGTGGGCGGTGCTAAATGTGGGTGTGGTCAGTAGATTAAGAGGGTGGAGGTGCGAAGTGGAAGTGGCCTCCGAGGAAGGAGGAGTGGCCTCTATTTAAATGGGGCGTGGTCTCTGCGGAAAGGGGGCGTGGTCTCTGCAGAAGGAGGCGTGGTCTCTGCAGAAGGAGGCGTGGTCTCTGCAAAAGGGGGCGTGGTCTATGCAAAAGGAGGCGTGGTCTCTGCAAAAGGGGGCGTGGCCCCCGCACCGTTTTCCCTCCCCCAGGGCCCTCCAGGAGAGCATGCTGCTGCAAGCGGGTCCTAGTGCCGACCCCCCTGCCGCCGGCAGCCCCCCCGGGGCGGGGGGGGGCGGCCCTCCCCCGGCCCCCCCCGGTTACGGCAGCTTCGCGGATCAGCTGCGGTTGGCCATGGCACTCTCGGAGCGGGAGCAGGAGGAGCGGGAGCGGCGCCGGCGGGAGGAGGACGAGGAGCTCCAGCGCATCCTGCGCCTCTCCCTCACTGACAAGTAGCAGCGGGGGAAAGGGGGGACACAGGGATGTCCCGCGTGGGGGACACCTCCCCACACACACACACACCCCCCACACACACGGAGGGGAGGGACAGGGACACCCCGCCGGCACCCCCTCGCTTGGGGATCCCCAGGGACGGCTCAGCGTGGGCACCGGCCCACACCGGGACACCCCAAGTCAGGCACAGCCCTTGCCTGGGGACCAGCCGGTGCCGGGGGGGCACCCCCCGTGCCAGGGACCCTCCCCCGGCTGTGGGCACAGCCCCTGCATGGGGGGAATTGATCCAGGGATCCTCCTTACCCCCGGGACCCCCGATCCAGGGATCCCCTCCTGCCAAGCTCCAACCTCAGCCCAGAGGGACCTTGATCTGGGGACCCCCACCCCAGGGACACTCCCCGCTATCCCCAGGACCCCCCACCTTAGGGACGCCCCCCCTCCTTCTCTTCAGTGTTGGACATTGACCCCACGGGGGGTGGGATGAGCCTGGGGGGACCCCGTGGGAGGCAGCTGACCCCTGTTTAAAGGCACCTCAACTTTGGGGGCTGCGGGGCCGGGCATCGACCCCCAGGCCTCGTCATTCAGTGGCGGGGGGGGAGCTGGGGGGGCCCCGGATGTATGTACATATACGTATACATATATATATATATATATATACATGGATGTGTGCAGACTGTGCCTGGCAGGGTAATGGGGTGGTCTGACCCAGGGGGCGGAGCCTGGGGAGAAGGGGTGGAGCTTGAAGAAAGGGTGTGGGCCATCTGAAGGGGCGGAGCCAGCAAGCCTATGGGTGCCACTGGTTGGCTCCCTCCCCTTTGACCCCCCCCCCCAAAAAATTTGACCCCCATTCCCTCCCCTGGGCTTAATTAATTCAATTAATCCTTCTTGGGGAGACCCCCACACACACCCGGGGAGGGGGTGCTTGGCTGGGGACCCAGTGCTGAGCCAGGGGGTGGCAGGGGGTGCTCCCAGGGTAATGGGGTGTCTGGCCTGGGGTGGGGTCCCCCACTCTCGGGGTGGGGGTGAGGGTTGCTGGGCACCGGGCTGAGGCACCTGGGGGGGGCACAGCCATGGGACCCACAGGGTGAGGGGCTCCAGGGAGGGTGGAGGAATTTGGGGGACCCTGGGACCCCCAAGATGCTGGGGGGGGGCGGTCCCGCTTGCTGAAGGGTGAATGGTGGGGCAGCATGGATGGGGGTCCCGGGGATCTCGGGGCGGTCTCGCTCCTGGGGAGAGCGATCTGGGGGTTTCTAGTATGGGGGTACGGGGCGGGGGGGGGTTACGCTGCAGGCCGGGCCGTCCCCGTTCCCGTCCCCGTTCCCGTCCGGGCGGGGCAGCGGCGGCGGCGCTTCCTGGTGCGGCGGGGCGGCGGGGCATGGCGCTGGTCACGGTGCGGCGGGCGGCGGGTTCCGGCGGGGGCCCCGCGGTGAGTGCGGGACGGCACCGGGGGGCCCCGGCCCCGGTATCGGGGTACCCCGACCCCGGCACCGGACGGTGTTACCGGGACGGGGGGGAGGCGGGGGGGGGGGGGGGGGGGGGGGGGGGGGGGGGCGGGAAGGGGCTGGTCCCGGCTCGTTCTGGGGCTCCCGGAGGGAAGCGCGGCTGTACCGGGCGGGAGTCCCGGAGTGGGGGTACGGGATGTCCCGAGGGGGCTCCCGGAGTGGGGGGTACAAGCTGTTCCGAGGGTGGTACTGGCGTGGGAGTACGGGCTGTCCCGGCTGCTCCTAGTTCAGGGGGGGAACGGCTCCTCCAGTCGCCCCCAGGGGGAGGTTACTGGCAGCCCAGTTGCTCCCAGAGCACGTCGGAGCCTCTTCTGCTCCCAGCTGAGGGTTGCCCCGTGGTTGGGGGGGCGATTGTCCCCAGTTGCTCCCACTGACCCCAGTGCTCCCAGTACTCTTCTCTGTCCCAGTAGCTCCCAGTGTCCCTGGCTGGCCCCCCCCTCCCCGCCCCCGCTTCCAGTAACCACTGGGCCTTATCTGGGTGCACAGCCCAGGGTCCCCTTATGAGCATTTCCCCATTTCTCCCCTGGGCAGAACCCAGGAGGGGAGGGGGGACACAGGGACAGGAACCCCCCCTGTCATCCCAAAACTAATCCCCAAGGATCTACCTCCCCCAGTGGGACCCCTCCCAGGGCCCCCCCCCCCCCAGCTCCCCCGCCAATACCCCATGCTGCTGGGGGGGTCCCAGTTTGGCAGGGTGACCCTGGCCCGCGGTGCTCAGATGGGACGTGGTGGGGGTGCTTGCCAGGTCCCCCCAGGCATGGCTCATGCCCTGAGGTCATGCTCCCCCCGGGGGGCACTGCCCCCCCCCCCCCCGCCTTTTGCAGGAGGAAGATGTACCCAGGCGTGGCCAGCTGCAGCGGCGGTGAGAAGGAACCCCAAACTCACGGGATGGGGGGACACGGGTCACTGGAGTGGGGAGGGGACACAACTAACCCCCCACACCTTGAGGAGCATTTCTGTGGTGCCCCACACACACCCCCCCCCAGCTCTTCCCCCGCTCTTCAGGGAAGCAGTTTGGGGGTACCCCAACCATGAGGGTTGGGTCCTGCTATGGGCTGGCCCCTCCCCATCCCACTCAGGACCCTCCTGCCCCCCAGGCAGAGTTTTGTCATGGTCAAGGGGGCCGCCCTGCTGCTGCCTGCCGAGGAGCCGGTGGAGGCTGAGCCCACCCCCCCGGCTGCACCCCCTGGCCAGGCCCCGGGGCTGCAGGAGCAGCACCTGCAGCTCATGATGCAACTGCTGCGTCCCCAGGATGCCATCCGGCTGGTAGGGAACAGCCACCCCCCCTGGGAACGGGGACAGGGACGCTGGGGTGGGGATGGGGATGAAATGGGGAGAGTGAAAGAGATGGGATGGGGAATGGAGGGGATGGGGATGGGGCAGGACGGGACACAATGGGATGGGATGGAATGGGGACAGGGATGGGAACCAGAAGGGTATGGAAATGGGGTATGGATGGGGACAGGCTGGGGATGGGATGAGGATGGGGACAGGCTGGGGATGGGATGAGGATGGGGACAGGATGGGGATGGGATGGGACAGAACGAGACAGGCCGAGATGGGATGGGGACAGGGATGGGAACAGGAAGGGTATGAGGACAGGATGGGAGTAGAATGGGACAGGATGGAATTGGGATGGGATAGAAGGGGGATGGGGACAGGTATGTGGGAAGAATGGGTATGGGAATGGGATATGGATTGGGACAGGGTGGGGATGGGACAGGACAGGATGGGAAAGGATAGGATTGGGATGGGACAGAATGGAGATGGGAACAAGAAGGGTATGGGAATGGGATATGGATGGGAATGGGATAGGACAGGATGGGAGAGGATGGGACGGGGACGGGGTGGAGATGGGATGGGATAGGATGGGGACAACATGGGGACAGGATCGAGATGGGACAGAATGGGGATGGGATGGGGATAGGGATGGGGACAGGAAAGGTATGGGAATGGGATATGGATGGAGATAGGATGGGGATGTGATGGGACAAGACAGGATGGGACAAGATGAGGATGGAGACATGATGGGATTGGTATGGGACAGAATGGGGATGGGCACAGGGATGCAGAAAGAAAGGGTATGGGAATGGGATGTGGATGGGGACAGTATGGGGATGGGATGGGACGGGATGAGGATGGGGATGGGACAGAATGGGATCAGACGGGATGAGAATGGGGATAGGATGGGATGGGATGGGAATGGGATATGGATGGGGACAGAATGGGGATGGGCTACAGCCCAGCCAGATGTGGTGGGATATGTGCTTGCTGCTGCTTCTCCCTGGGGTCACGGGTGGGCAGATCCCACAGTGCTGCTCCCAGGGGTGCAGGGGGGGCACCCCTCAACCCCCACCCCCACCCCTCCCAGGCGGTGCGGCTGGAGTCGGCGCGGCCACAGCGCGTGCGGTACCTGCTGGTGGTGCGGCCCGAGGAGGCAGGAGCCGAGGGGCAGACGGCGCTGCTGGGTGTGGATTTCACCCACGAAGGGTGAGTGGGGTGTCGGGGGGGGGGAGGGGGGGTGGCAGCTGCACCCCCTGACCTCTGCCCACTCCAGGGCTGCCTGCTGCACCCTGGGCATGGTGCTGCCCCTCTGGAGTGACACCCAAGTCTTCCTCGATGGCGATGGGTAAGTATTGGGGGGGGGGGAGTGTGGTTTGGGAAAGGGAGGGGTTTAGGAGGGTGGGGCTCACAGGAGTGGGTGGGTCCCGTGGGGAGGGGTGGGGCTGGAGGGGGCCCAGCCTCAACCATGTGTCTCCCCGGGGTGCTCAGGGGCTTCAGCGTGACATCGGGGGGACAGACGCGCATCTTTAAGCCCATCTCTGTGCAGACCATGTGGTGAGCGAGCCCCGGGTGTGTCGGTGGGCACGGGGGACGTGAGCACCATCATGGGTGGGCATCACCAAGGATAGGGAGGATGTGGGTGCCACCGTGGGCATGGGAGAAGTTGGCATCACCGTGGTTATGGGGGACATGGGCACCGCGGTGGGCACAGGTGATGTGGGCGCCACCGTGGGTGTGGGAGAAGTGGACACCATCGTGGTTAATGGTTATGGGAGAAGTGGGCACCACTGTGGGCACAGGAGATGTGGGTGCCACCGTGGACACAGGGGATGTGGGTGCCACCGTGGGCACGGGGGAACTGGGCACCTCCATGGGCATGGGGAATGTGGGTGCCACCACGGGCATGGGGGACGTGGGCATCACCGTGGGCATGGGGAATGTGGGTGCCACCATGGGCACAGGGGTTGTGGGCACCATCATGGTCATGGGGGAACTGGGCACCACTGTGGTTATGAAGTATGTGGACACCACTGTGGGCACGGGTGATGTGGGTGCCACTGTGGGTGTGGGAGAAGTGGACACCATCGTGGTTAATGGTTATGGGAGAAGTGGGCACCACCGTGGGCACGGGGGAACTGGGCACCACCGTGGGCACGGGGGATGTTGGCACCCTCATGGTACAAGAGCTGAAGCGGGCACCACCACGGGCGCAACCAGGACACCTGGGCACGGCAGGGCTTGGGGCATGCCCACGGTGGTGGCCCACAAACCTGGGGGGAGAACCCAGACCGGAATTGTTGGTGGCGGTTTGGGGAGGGGGGTGGTGGCGTGGGGGGGGTGTTGGTGGAGGTTCTGGGGGCGGCGGTGGCAGGCGGTGTGCGGCAGGACCGTGCTGCAGGAGCTGCACCGCGCCTGCGAGGACGCGTCCCGCGGTGGGCACATCCCCGGGGGGCCCGCGCTGGCCTGGGCCCGCGGCTATTCGGCCGCGCTGGCCTCCGACCAGAGCTGCCTCAACGAGTGGCTGGCCATGGCCGACCTCGAGTCCGTGCGCCCCGCCTCGCCCCCTCCCTGCCGGTAAGCCCCGCCCCCTGCCTGCCCCGCCCTCCCTGCTGGCCAATCGGCTCCTGAGGGGGCGGGGGGGGGCAGGGCCCTGCATAGACAGACGGGGGTGGGGTTAAGGGTGGGGCTAGTGGAGGGGGTGGGGATTGTGTGGGTGGGGCTTAAAGGAACTGAGTGGGGCCTAAAGGAAGGGGGGGGCATAGATGATCTGGGTGGGGCTTAAATTAAACGGGAGGGGCTTAAAGGAACTGGGTGGAGCTTAAAGGAAGTGGGTGGAGCTTAAAGGAATTGGGTGGGGCTTAAGTTATATGGGTGGGGCCTAAAGGAAGTGGGAGGAGCTTAAAGGAACTGGGTGGGGCCTAAAGGAAGGGGGGGGCATATATGATCTGGATGGGGCTTAAATTAAATGGGAGGGGCTTAAAGGAACTGGGTGGGGCCTAAAGGAAGTGGGAGGAGCTTAAAGGAACTGGGTGGGGCTTGAATAAAGTGGGTGGGGTTTAAAGGGAATTGGTGGGGCTTAAACGGACTGGATGGGGTTTACAGGAAGTGGGAGGGGCTTAAAGGAACTGGGTGGGGCTTAAAAGAGCTGGGTGGGGCTTGAATTAAGTAGGTGGGGCTTAAAGGATCTGGGTGGGGCCTAAAGGAAGTGGGTGGGGCTTAAAGGGACTTGGTGGGCCTTAAAATGGTGCTTAAAATAAGTGGGAGGGGCTTAAAGGATATGGGTGGGGCTTAAAGGAGCTGGGTGGGGCTTAAATGAAGTGGGAGGGACTTAATGGGTCTGGGTGGGGCCTAAAGGATCTGGGTGGAGCATAGAGGAACTGGGTGGAGCTTCCAGTCTAGGGGAGGTCAGGCTTGGATTTGGGGTTGGGCTTGGGAAGAGAGGAGGCGGGGTCTGGGCAGGGTGGGGTGCAGGCGGGGTCCGCCAGTGACAGGGGGACGCCGGTGCCAGGCCGGGCACGCCGGAGCTGTCGGAGCAGGCGGTGCGGGCACTGCTGCGGGACGTGATGGCCACCGCCGACCTGGAGAGTGTCACCTCCAAGGAGGTGGGTGCCGGTGGGCAGGGACGGGCAGGGATGGGCGCGGGGTCCCCCCCTTTACCCCCCGTCATCGGTGATCAGGTGCGGGAGGAGCTGGAGCGGCGCACGGGGCACAGCCTGGCCCGGCACAAGGATTTCATCGACAACGAGATGCTGCTGGTGCTGGCACAGATGGACCGGCCATCCCGCGTCTTCCCGCACCTCTACCTGGTGGGCAGTGGGGTGGGTGGGGTGGGGTGGGGGGTCTTGGGGGGGGTCGGCACTGCCCCTCACCTCTGCCACCGTCTCAGGGCTCCGAGTGGAACGCGGCCAACCTGGAGGAGCTGCAGCAGAACCGGTGGGCATGGGGTCATCTGGGGGGTCAGGGTGGGGTGGGCGTGGGGTCATCTGGGGGGGTCACAGTGGGGTGGGCTTTGGGTCGTCATGGGGTGGCATGGGGTCATCTGGGAGGACACAGTGGGGTGTCACAGGGCCATTTGGAGGGGTGACAATGGGGTGGGTGTGGGGCCATCTGGGGTGTCATGGTGGGGTGGCATGGAGTCTTCTGGGGGGTCACAGTGGGGTGGGCGTGGGGCCATCTGGGGGGCCAGGGTGGGGTGTGGATGTGGGGTCATCTGGGGGGTCACGGTGGGGTGGGCATGGGGTCATCATGGGGTGTCACGGTGGGGTGACATGGGGTTATCTGGGGTGTCCTGGTGGGGCGGGCAGAGTGTGGTCATGGAATGTCACGGTGGTGCAGGTCTGAAGTCACCCAGAGATGACCCAGTGGGGTGGGTATGGGGTCAATACTGGGACGCTTGGCAGGTTGGGTGCCGCAGGGCTGTGGCGTGGGGCACTGTGGGGCACCCCACAGAGCAGAGGCAGAGCCCCAACCTGGCGTGCCGGCTGTGTCCCCTGCCTGTGGCACCGCAGGGTCACCCACATCCTCAATGTGGCACGGGAGATCGACAACTTCTTCCCGGCGCTGTTCACCTACATGAACGTGCGGGTGTACGACGAGGAGACAGCCCAGCTCCTGCCCCACTGGAACGACACCTTCCTCTTCCTCTCCCGCGTCCGGTCAGTGGGGCCAGGGCAGCCCCTGGGGAAGGGGGACACGGGGAGGGGGCGAGGGTTGTCAGGGGCATGGGGAGCATGTAGGGGCAGGGGCTGGAGCAAGGGGTGGGCTGAGGGGACACACACACATGTATGAGTGAGGAAATGTAGGGAGGCATCTTGATGACTGAGGTGCTGGGGGGCACTGGGTGCACTGGGAGGTCTGGGGCATTGAGTCTCTGTGGACAGTGGGAGGCCTGGGGGCTCTGGGGCACAGGGACCTTGGGAACATGGGGAGCAGTGGGGTCTGGGGTCCTTGGGGACACGGGGAGCACTGAGGATATGAGGAGTCCTGGGATACTGATGAAATGGTGACAGTGGGAGCACTGGGGACAGGGGAACCGTGGGGCACAGGGTCCTCCGGGACATGGGGAGCACTGGGGACATGGGGAGTCTGGGATACTGATGCACTGGGGACAGTGGGAGCACTGGGGACAGGGGAATCATATGGGGAACAGGGTCCCTGGGGACATGGGGAGTCCTAGGATACTGATGCGCTGGGGACAGGGGAAGCATATGGGGTACAGTGTCCTTGGGGACACAGGGAGCCCTGGGACACGGGGGTCCCTGGGGACATGGGAAGCACTGGGGACACGGGGAGCTCTGGGGACACTGATGCCCTGGGGGCAGGGGAGCCCCAGGGCATGGGGGTCCCTGGGGACACCTGGGGTGTCGGTGACAGCGCGGGGGGTGCCGCAGGGCTGGCGGGGGCCGGGCACTGGTGCACTGCCGGATGGGGCTGAGCCGCTCGGCCGCCACGGTGCTGGCCTATGCCATGAAGGAGTTTGGGTGGCCGCTGGAGCGGGCGCTGCGGCACGTCCGGCACTGCCGGCCCGGCGTCCTGCCCAACCCCGGCTTCATGCGCCAGCTCGACTTCTACCAGGGCATCCTGCATGCCAGGTGGGCGGGGACGGGGGCGGGGCCGCGCATGGTGGGTGGGGCCGGGTGGGGCCACACCCCTTCGGGCGGGGGGGCTTTGCTGTGACCTATGGGGGGGTGCTTGTGTGAACGGTGGGAGGAGCCTGCCATGACCACGCCCCTCACGGGTGGGGTGGGTAGGGCTGTCAATGACCACGCCCCTCGCGGGCGGGGTGGGCGGGGCCTGCCATGGTCACATCCCTCCATTGGGGAGGGTGAGTGAAGCCTTCAATGACCACGCCCCCCCATGTGGAAGGTGGGTGGTGCCTGTCGTGGTCACGCCTCCTCCATGCGTGGTGGGTGGAGCTTCTATGACCACGCCCCCTGTAAATGGGGTGGGGCTGTCGTGGCCACGCCCCACCCTCGCTGAGTAGGTGGAGCTTCTACGGCCACACCCAGCCTGGGGTGCCCCACCCTTTGCGTCTCTGCCCCTGGTGGGGGGGTGGAGCCTGTGGGAGCCCCGCCCTGCCGCGGGGGGGGGCGTGACCCCACGCGTGGGGCGGGGCCAGCCCCTCACACCAGCTGTGTGACAGCCGCCACAGCAGCCTATGGGAGCCCAAGGAGCGGGCAGAAACCACACCAGGGGGGGAGGGCGGGCTGTCCCCGGCCCCCTCCCCGCAGCCCCCCGAGGGGGCGAGTGGGCCGGCGCTGCTGGGGGGCTCCCGGCGCCCCCGCATCTCCCTCTGCGCCGTCATGCGGAGCATCAGCCAGCTGGAGCCCCCCGAGGAACACCCCGAGGAGGAGCCGCTCGCCGGGGAGGTGAGCGCAGGGCGAAGAGGTGGTGTTGGTGTGTGTGTGGGGGGGGGGGGGGGTCGGTCCCGCCTGACCCCCTCCCGCCCCCCATTCGCTGTCCCCGCAGGTGTTTTTGGCCGAGGGGGGTCCGTGGGGGGCCCCCCCGGCGCCGCGGCCCTCCTCCCGGCCCCGCCGCGTCGTGCGCCAGGCCAGCCTGGACGGCGGCCCCGCCCCTTCATGCGGCCCCACCCTCAGCGCTGACCCCGCCCCACAGCCCCCGTCCGCCCCGCCCCCTGCACCCTAGCGTGGGGGCGGAGCCTTCCTGCCAGCATGGGCGGGGCCTGAGCCGGCTGGAGGCGTGGCCAGTGAGCCGGCACCTCCCCTTTCCCCACACACACACGCCCACACCACGGGGGACAGGTGCCGCCTCCCCCCCACGCACTGGGCAGCCCCTCACCGCGCCAGCACTGAGAATAAAGAGTGGAACCGGCTGCCTGTGGCGTGGGCGCTGTGCGGGAGGTGGGGGACAAGCGCGGGGCTCCCCACAGCCTGGGAGGGGCGGGGTATGGCCATCTGCTTGCCATCAGTAGGGGCCAGAGTGAACGAGCAACGCGTCCCGGAGGGGGGGAGTGTCGCAGTGTCACCTCCCCCCCGCGGGGACCCACTCGCTCTGCGCCATCTTGTGCGGCTGGGGCGGGGGGGGGGGGGGTGGGGGACGGGAGACGGGATGCGCATGCGCTATGTGGCAAGAAGAACTACAACCCCCGGCAACCCTTGCGCGGCGGGGAGGGGGGGGGAGGTGTTTTGGCGCATGCGTGCGGGGGCGCCTTCTTGGTTGCTATGGGAATGGAGCGCTAGGCCTGCTTCGGCCCTCCGCGGCCTAGGCCGCGCCGCGAGACCGGTCCCGGGGACCGGCAACGGAGGAGTGAAGCGGGGCAGGGAACCGGCAGCCCGCTGTGGGCGTTAGCGGAGAGTGAGGTGGCAGGGGTTGGCCCCAGGTCACCCGCAGCGGCAGGGGCAGCTCCCAGGGCCGGGCAGGGGCTTACGAGGCCTGAGCTACCACAAGCACCCTCAGCATCGCAGCCTCCCTCGCCAAGCTCCTCCAGTGCATGGCCGTGGCCTACAGGTGAGGGCAAGCCACAGACCGGGCTGCCCTGACAGCCGGGAGGCCCGGCGTGTGAGCACAGCCATGGCTCAGGGATCCTCTACGAGCCTGGAAGAGCCAAGGTGGAGCCGCACAAGGAGCTGGGAGGTTGCACATCACCTCTCCACTGAGGGCCCTGGGTGAGGGAAGATGTCCTGGCCAGAGCCTGCTCCGCTGGGGCTGTTCTGGAGGGGAGCCACCCCATTGCGTTCCCCCTCCGTGACTGGGGGGGCACCCACCAATTTGGGTCTCCTCACCTAGAGAGCTGGTGGAGTGTGGCCAGAACCCTCACTGGCTTGCAGCCCGCCAGGAAAAACACTTGGCTTGAGCAAGAGCCTTGCACTGCTGGGCTCTGCCAGCGCCCTGACCTTTGCTCGGTCCCGTCACGCCTCTGCTGTGGAAGGGGGCTCACAGCAGCAAACTGCGCTCCGTGGGAGTGTGGAAGAGCTGTCAGCCTCCTCAGACCCGTGGGGAAACAGCAGGGAGGTGGGGATGTAGGATGGAGTGAGGGTGGGACAGCATTGCCAAGGGCTGTGCAGGGCCTCCTGCGTGGTTTTTGTTTTTTTTTTTTTTTGGAGAGAAGACAGACCCTGTTTCTTCTGGAAGCCTTCCCCCACTTTCCTGGGGATTGGGGTCATCTTCATCACCACCTGCCTGCTTTTGGGTGCTCTTTGGGGGAGTTTTTTTTATCTTCCTCCCCCCCACTCATCTGCCACTGCGAAGAGCCTGGAAACTTCCCTCATTCCCCCACCCCAAACCTGGGTCCTGGCTTCCAGATTTTGTGACAGCCACTGCCGGACAGGCCAGGAGAGCAGCACCAGTGCAGAGTGGCTCTGCAAATCCCCCACCCCTGAACCCTACCAACACGTGCCCGAGGGCAGAGGGAGTTCTGCCAGGGTGTTCATTGGCAGCCACCAGCTACAGCAGGACCACAGCATGAAAGCTGGATCGGGGAAGGGGTTAGGGTAGAAAAAGTGGGGTGAAGTGTCTCCCCCATCCCGGGACATGGTCTGGCTTACTGCCAGGTCCAGCTCTCCACCGCTCGATTGCAGTCTTGGGATACCACTGATTCATTTTATTGATTAAGCAGCATAGCTAATAAATTAAGTAATCAATAACCTCAATAATTAACAGACACGTCCCATTATTAATTTGCGATTAAACGATTCTGCATGCAGCAAAGCTACTAATTATGGCTCTTAAATCTTAGGAATCCACAGGGCTGAATGACAGCTCTATCACTCCTCCCTCCCCGATGCCTGGAGGTGGGGGAAGGTCCTTTTGGAGTCCCACTGGCCCGGGGGGGCCCATGCTTGCCAGCCCTGGCTCTGCAGGTCAACAGCACTCCAACCCACAGTCACCTGCACCCCTAATATCACAACATCCCTCCTGTACTGACCTTCACCCAATTTTATACCTTATTCTCCATTTTTTCCATTTCTGGGCCCTTTTTGCTCCCCTTCCACCTTCCCTCCTCCACCCAGCCTGCTCCTAGTTACTTTTTCTCCACAGGTCCCAGTTTTGTTTCATCCCTACCGAAATCTGACACGTTTTCTGTTACTCCCTAGCTTTCTGTGGGATTCCTGATGTGGTCACGGATGTGGAGAAGAGGAGAAATCCTGTCTGCAGCTTCGTGACACTGCTGGAGGCCGGGAACAGGCAGGAGCACTGTGGTCTGGAGGTGAGCCCCCACAGCCCACCAGTCCCACTACAATTCCCATGGGGTGCCGTGGCGTGTCACACCGAGGGCCTCTGTGCGGTGACGTCTTCCCTGCAGGCACCTGGGTGGTCAGCGACTCGCGGTCACGGCTCCTCTTTCATCTTCTCCAGGCACGGAAAACGGAAGGACAAACCAACAGCCTTGCCCTCTCAGGTACCAGCGCCGTGTCTACACCCGTGCTTTCTGTCCGAAGGGCTCCCCTCTCCCAGTTTAACCAGTCTCATCAGTGTTACTGGGAGTCCTGCCAGCACTGGCTTCTGGATCTCACCAGCTCCCCCTCGCCCTGCTGTGGGTCATCCCCTGTCCCTTCTCACGTCCCCTCTGTCACGCTTGCTGTGGGGCAGAGCTCTGCTACTCCCCTGTGCTTCCACAACCATGGCTCACCTTTTAGCGGCGGGGGACACCCCAACCTGGGGACCCCGTTGTTCTCTCTCTGTCCCTTTGGTAAGGATCAGTCCCCTCTGCTGGCATGGGGGTGGGGGGGGCAGCAGGCACAGGGTGGGCACCAGGCTCTGCGTGCTGGTTTTCTGAGCCAGAAACCGGGCCTTGCCACAGTCCCTGATGCTCTCTGTCTGTCTGTCTGTCTGTGCCCACTGGATAGTGCCAGCCCCAGCCACCAGCTCCTGACCCGTTAACACGTTAACACCTGCCCCCCCCTCCCCCCCCCAGTTTCTTCACAGCCGGCCACCCTCTGCCTGTGCTACTGGTCAGTACTGGGATGGGACCCTCAGGCAGGGGGTGAGGCTGTGCACCCTCACCCCCTCCCCACATGTCCCCGGCCCCCCCAGCCAGGGTGTCAGCCTGAAAAGAGCTGCTGGGGGGCCAAGGAGGTGCCGCTGCTCGCCCTCCCCCTGGACCTGGAACCCCCGGTGCCGTGGGGGGGGGACACACAGACCTTCCTCTGCCCCTCTTCCCCACCTCCCCCACTGTGGGTGAGCCCCCTGCCCACCTCCCACCCCAGCTCCCTCTCGTGTTTTTCATCATTGCGGCCCGGTCCCGGTGCCCCCACCCAAAGGGGCCACCCACTGAAAGGGGCACCCCCCATAATGAAGGGGGGAGCTAGGGGCAGCCATGCTGCCTGTCTGCCCCAGAGCAAGGGGATCTGTGGGGCAGAGGGATACTGTGGAGGATCTTGGTGGAGGGGGCAGGACAGGACATTGCAGGGTGGCACAGACCTCAGGTGCTCCCAGGGCTGGTAATAAACTATGTGACCAGACAACCTGCCTGTCTCTGGAGGTGGGGGTACAGACCCCTGTCCCCCCATGTGCCCTATAGAAGGGCTTTAACCCCCCACACCCCAGATGCCCCCCTCAGACAGCACGCGGCAGCCCCCCTCCTTCACTCACACCAGCCTTTAATCTGCCCGGTGCCCCCCGAGCTGCGGCACAGCTGCAGACAGGCCTGGGGGGGTAAGGAAACAGGCACGGGGGGCCCCCCCTCCCAGCCCCCCAACTCCTCCCTCCAGTGTGGGGGTGCAGCGGCTCAGAGCTCATACTCATGCCAGAGGCTGTGGGGCACAGTGGAGAGGGGGGGGTCAGTGAGTGCCCGGTGACCCCCCCCTCCTCACCCCTTGTTTTCGATGATGGGAAGGGTGGGGGGAGAGAAAGGGGGGTGCCCGGTGACACACCCCCCCCCCCCATCCCGCACCCACCTGTAGGTGACGTCGGGGTTGTCCCCGTGTTCCAGGAGGGCGTCGCGTACGGGGCCGGGGGGGCTCAACCCCAGCGCCTGCGCCCGCTCCCACCGCTGCAGGCGGGTGATACCTGCGGGAAGGGGCGGGGGGGGTGGTTAGGGGGGGTCCGGGAGGGGACACCCACACACCGGGGGGGGGGGAGGCGGCTCTCACCGGTGCAGGGTCCGTACTCCCAAGTGAGGTCGAAGCGCCGTAGCATCTCCAGGAGATCCTGGACCCGGGGGGACGGCGGCGGGGTGGCCTCGGCGGGCGGGGAGACCCGGACCCGCGGCGGGGGTGGGGAGCAGCCCCTGTCCTTGACTTTGCCCGAGGATCGCCGCCGTCGCCGCCGCGGGAAGGTGTCGGTGATACGGCGGGGGGGTTCCATGGATCTGCGGGAGAACGCGGCTTGGGGGGGGGGGAGGAACCGGGAAACGGGATCGGGAACCGGGCGGCGGCTCGACCCGCCCCAGCCCGGGCGGAAGCGGCGGGGCCGGGCTGGGCTTTGGCGGGGGGGGGGGGACACCCGGCTGTTGTCACCCCCATCCCTGTCACACACACACCACCACCCCCCCCAAGCCGTGACTCACGCCATGCAGCCGTCACCCTTTTGTCCCTCGCAACGGTGTGCGTGTGTGTGTGTGTGTGTCCCGCGGTAAACACAACCGGTGACCCACAGGCGTTGTGCCACACCCCCAGCCGTGGTGACACTGTCCCGGACACACACACACACACACACACACACGCAGACACACGGCAGGTGCCACCAGTGCAAATTTGCCTGTGGTTTTTCAGCCCTCCCTTGGTGCGGAGGGTGTGTGGGGGTGAGACAGGGCTGCAGCGCCTGTCCCAGCACAGAGGGACAGGGTGACTCCTTGGGGGACACAGCTGTGTCCCTTCAGCGGTGACACCCCACCAACAACCCATGTCACGGCTGTAACGGCCGAGAAAACCGTTAGGGGAGGGAGACGCAACCCCTATAGCAACCATCAGAGACTCCCCGTTGCTCTTTGGGTTTGGTTTCCTTTCGCAATGCGGTGGCTTTCACAGTGGGGAAGGAGAAATAGGGGAGGGGGAGGACGTGTGACAGAACTGAGGAGGGAGGACTCAGGGTCCAGCCCTGCCCAGGCTGGGGTTGTGCAGGACGAAGCGGCAAAGCCCGGGCAGCCGTTGGTGGCCCAGTTCCTCCTGTAGCCGCTTCATGGGCCGGTTGCTCGTGACCACGTGCCCGAAAGAGTAAAAACCCCGAGCTTGCGCCCGGCGAGCGGCGAGAGCCATCACGGCTCGCATGTGGCCATGCCGCGGTGTTCTGGCAAGGTGTAGCCGTGGGTCCCCGTCCCAAAATGATCGGTCAGGCTCCAGGAGAGGGGTTGCCCGTTCCTGTCGTACAGGCAGAGGTGGGGGAACAGGCGCAGCAGCTCCCCCAGGTACCGCCGGCTGCGCCTGTTCCCCCCGTAAGGCCACGTTTCGTTCAGCAGATCCACGTGCGCCGGGTCCAGCGAGCCCACCCGCACGCCAGGGTCCAGCCTAATGGGGAGATTGCGGGTTGTCAGTAGGGACTCCCCCCATGCCGTGATGATTATTTTTGGGGGTGGGGGGTGGGGGACGGGTGCTCACCGGGGCTCGGGTATGGTGCTGGGGTCGGGGTGCAGGTAGGTGTAGTAGTCGGAGACCTCTAGCTCGACCCCCTTGGTCCCCGCGATGGCCTGTGACACCGTGGCCACCTCCTCCTGCAGCCCTGGGGATGGTGCTGTCAGGGGAGGGGGAACCCCAGTGCGTCCTGCCCCCCCCAGCACCCTCATTCCTGCTCCCCCCCCCCCCCTTTCTGACACCAGCTGTGCCCTCTCCAGTGTCCCCAGGGCCAACCCCTAACCCCAGTCTCTAGCCCCAGTAGCCCAATCACTGACCCCAGAATGTGCCCAACACCCCGATTCCTGCCCCCAGAACCCCCCCAAGTCCAACCACAACGCACCCCAGTAGCCCCCACTAACCTCATCCCTGTTCCCAGTGCCCCCCATCACCCCCCAAGTCCAGCCCCAATACCTCCAGTGACAGCACCCATCAAACCCTTACCCCCCCACCCCAGAGAACCCAGTACCCCCCAATGCTCCCCAGTGACACCTAGCACCCAAATGCCTTCCCCCCTCCCCCAGCGTCCCCCCCAGCACCCCCAATTCCTTCCACCACTACCTCCGGTTCCTTACCCCCTGTATCACCAATAGCTCTCCCCAGTGTCCCACGCTCCCAGTGCTCCCCAGTGCCCTCCCAGTACCCCCCCCCGGGGCCACCAATGATGTGGAAGGCAGCGTCCCAGCAGGCAGCCGGGGGTCTCCAGCAGCGCCCGGTAAGCGCCCGCGTCCCGGTAGAATGCCGCCTGCATGTTCCTGTAGCAGTCGTCCGCCGGTATCTGTGGGAGCACCCATGGGTGCCCTGAGCCCACCTGGCACGTGCCAGGACATTGTGTGCGTGTGCGTGTCCCCCCACCCACCCCCCCGCCACGTCCCACCGGCCACCTCTCCCCTGGGCCGCGCCAGCACGGCACCGAACTCAGGCCACGAGTCCACCACGACCTCGTAGTCCCCGGGGTTCCCCCGGTTTATGTTCATCACGGCCCCGTGGACCTGCGGGAAAAGGGGTCAGAACTGGGGGGGGTGCAGATTTGGGGGTCCCCAGGGCTCCCCATAGCACCCTGCCCTCACCACCCGCTCCCCATAGGGCCCGGTGGGGTGAAGGCAAAGGGGGCGGTGCCTAAAGCCAGGTTGCCCTCAAGTGGGCGGGGCTACGTGAGGTGGGCGTGGCCGCATCAGGCAAGAAGCCTGGGATTGGTTGTCTCGCACCTTGCCTAGGTTAGGATTGGGCAGCTTGTATAGAGGTCCGGGTGGCGATTGGCTGGTTTGTGTAAGCCTGGACGGGGATTGGCTGGCTCAGAACCAAGCTGGTCTGGGATTGGCCAGGGCAGAGTCCAACTGGGCTGGGGTAGGCGGGCTCGGAGCTGGGTGATGGGCTGTCCTGGACTCGGGACACCCCGGGGGGGGGACACAGGGTGGCACTGGGGGTGACCCCGGGGTCCCATCGCCGAGGGGAAAAGACGGGGTGACAGCAGGGTGCCTGTCATGGCGGGGGTGACAGCGGGGTCCCGTCAGGGTAAGGGACAGGGTGACAGCGGGGTCCCCATCATGGCAAGGGATGGGGTGACAGCAGGGTCCCTGTCACGGCACAGGGTAGGGGTGACAGCGGGGTCCCCGTCACAGCAAGGGATGGGGTGACAGCAGGGTCCCCGTCACCGGCAGGGCAAGGGGCAGGCTCCTCCTCAGGGCCCCCTCCAGGCGCTGCAGCTGGGCCGGGCACGTCAGGATCAGCATGGTCCTGCCGGGAGACCCTACAATAACAGGTGGACAGGACCCCCCCACACACCCCCAAGGCGGGGACCCCATCCCCGACCCCATCCCCGTCCCCCAGCCGCTCCAGCAACTCACCCTGTAGCAGTCTTGGTTCCGTGGGTGACGCTGGTGGGTCCCAGGGCTGCCACCAGCCGTCATGGACCAGTGAGTGTCCCCTGCCCCGGGGCGGGGGGGTGGCCCCATACAGGGTGGGGGCAACGGGCAGGGTCCATCCCGCCGGGCAGCAGGCATGGGGCCAGCACTGCCCTCCCCTGCGGCCTCCCGGGGTCACCCTGCCCCACAAGTGCCAGCACCCCACGGCCCCGCCAGCCTCAGTGCCCCCCCCGCCGTGCCCCACGGCTATTCGGTGTTCCCCCCCCGCCGCGACCCACGGCCACGGCGCCATGCTGATCCTGACGTGCCCGGCCCACCTGCAGCGCCTGGAGGAAGCCCTGCGGAGGAGCCTGCCTGCCACTCTGCCGGTGACGGGGACCCCGGGGACCCCTTGCCTCCCCCCAAACCCACCGGCTGGTGACAGAGACCTTGGGGACCCCTCTACATCCCCCCAAACCCACCCAGCCGGTGATGGAGACCTCAGGGACCCCACCATGTCCCCCTAACCCCACCCCCCTGGTGACATGGACATTGGGGACCCTCTTCCTCCCCCCAACCCCACCCTGCTGGTGACGGGGACCTTGAGGACCCCTCTGTGTCCCCCCAAACCCTGCCAGTGACAGGGACCCCAGGGTGTTCCTGACCCCCGCACTGACAGGCTGGCAGCACCCAGGGCACAGCCTGTCACCGTGGCAGGTGTGTGTGTGTGTGGGGGGGACACAGAGGGACCCCTTGTGTGTCCCCCCCCCAGCACTGACCCTGTCCTGCAGGTCCTGGGGGCCGTGATGACGGTGGCCCGGGGGAACCCGGCTGCCCACGAGGTGCTGGTGGACTCCTGGCCCCATTTCAGCGTCGTCTTGACCCGCCTGCGTCCAGAGGTGCTGCTTCGGGTGTCCCCCCGCCCCCAGCCCTGACAGCACCCCACATGCCATAGAAATGAGGGGGGGGGACACACACACATACCTGTGCGTCCCCGCTCCCTGCCACCCGCCAGGAACACAAGGACCCCGGGGACTTCTACACCAACCAGCTGACGGTTTATTACCGGGACGAGGGGGCTTGGCGGGCACTGCTGGGGGGCACCGAGGCGGTGGGCTGGACCCAAGCCTTCCAGATACAGGGTGAGCCTGGCAGGGGGTTCGGGGGGGGGGCTGTAGGGCCACGCCCCCCCTCACTCCGTGTGTCCCCCCACCCCCAGGGATGCAGGAGGGGATGTACGAGGCCGTGCGGGAGGCGGTTGGTGCCAAGGGGCTGCGGTTGGAGACGTATCGGTACCAGGCGCTGCTGAGCCCCCGGCCCCCCCAGCCCCGCGGGCAGTGAGTGTGGGGACACGGTGGCAGTGAGGGGGGGGTCACGTCCCTGGGTGACATGGGGGGGGGGGGTGGGGTCCTTGAGTACATCCTTGGGTGGTGCAGGGGTCTCAGTCACATCCCTGGGGGGCATGGGGGTCCCTGAGCACATCCCTGGGTGGCGTGGGGGTCCCCAATCCCATCCCCAGGTGACAGGGGTGTCCCCATTCACATCCCTGGGTGGCACAGGGTCCCCAAACACATCCCCAGGTGACAGGGGTGTCCCCAGTCGCGTCCCTGGGTGACATGAGGGTCCCCAAGCACATCCCTGGGTGGCACAGGGGTCCTTGAGCACATCCCTAGGTGACATGAGGGTCCCCCAATCCCATCCCCGGGTGACCCCAGTGGGTCCCCAATCCCCTCCCTGGGTGCAGCAGCTCCCCCATGCCACTCCCGCTGGGAGAAAAGGGGGGTGGTGCCCCCAACTCCTGCCCCCCCCAACCCCCCCCCAAATCTCTCCTCTCTGCCCCATGCCAGGGTGCCACCCGGCCTCCGCCTGTCCCCCGTGTCCCCCTCCCACATCTCGCTGCTCAACGCCACGTGGGCCTGGGGGGGCAACGCCCGCAGCCGGCGGTTCCTGGAGGGGCTGGTGCGGTCCCTGCCCAGCGCCTGCCTGCTGACACCCCAGGGGCACCCCGTTTCCTGGAGCCTCCTGGATCCCCTGGGCTGCCTGAGCCATGGCTACACGTTGCCGGCTTGGCGCGGGCAGGGCCTGAGCGGGGTGACACTGGGTGCCCTGGGCCGGCACCTGTATGCCCGCGGGTTCCCCATTTATTGCGGGGTGCTGCCCCACAACACCCCCTCGCAGCGAGCCGTCCGCGCCGTCGGCTTCCTGCCCCAGCCTGGCACCTTCTACACTTTGGTGGTCACTCACCCCTCCCAGTAATGCCCAGGGGGATGGGGATATGGCGGGGGACACACACACACACATCCAAAGCCTTGGGGATGGGGTATCGGTTGGTTTTGGGGGGGGCTGGATGTCCCCAGGATGGGGGTTTGAGGACACCCGTGAGCAGAGGAGCCATCCACGACAGGGTAACAGGGGATAAAGTGGGGTTACTTGCCCCCCCCACCCAGGGAGGGAAAACCCCGACACTGAGCTTGGTCTGGGACAGCTTCCCCCTCCTCCCCGTTCACTCTGGCCCCTACTGATGGCACCAGGCTCCTTGGGCCCCCCCGCCATGTGGCGCGGGGGCAGGGGCGCTGGAGAAAGGCTTTTATTTGTTCATATACAAGAATAGATCTTCTGCAATAAATACCCCAATAAATAACATCTCCAATAAATAAACACGCATAGACGCACCGGGACAGCAGCCCTGCGGCCCCGCCCCTAGCCCCGCCCCAAGGGGGGGTGGTGATCTGTGGGTTGCTAGGCACCGTGGGAGAGGCGGGGCTTGGGTAACGGAGCGGGCCTGTGTAAGGAGGCGGGGTTTGCTACACAGGCTGGTGGGCGGGAGGGGTGGAGCCTATTGCTCCCGGGCGGGGCTTGCTGCTGGGCAGGGCGGGGCTTGCTCAGGGGGGATTGGTCCTTTTTCAGGGGTGGGCGGGGCGTTCACCCACCCTGGGGGTGGGGCTTATTGCTGCCGCGGGGCGGGGGGAGGAGCCTGCTGCCCTCCCCAGCCCCATGGTGTGGGGACAGCCCGAGGGGACAGGGCACGGAGGTGGGGGCATGTGGTGGCTTTGGTGGCACTTGGGGACAGGGGCCCCGTGTCAAGGCACAGCGTGGGGACAGCGGGGCCGTGGGGTGGCTTTGGTGGCACTTTGGGGTCAGGAGTCCTATCTCTTAAGGCACAGCGGTGCTGCAGAGGGGACATGGGTGGCTTTTGGTGGCACTTTGGGGACAGGGGCCCCATCCTTTAAGACCGTGTGATGATGGTGGGGTTGTGAGTTGGCTTTGGTGGCACTTGGGGTCAGGAGCCCCGTCCCTTAAGGCACAGCTTGGTGATGGTGTGGGGGGGACACGACATGGGGTCTGTGGTGTCACTTTGGGGTCAGGAGTCCTATCCCTTAAGGCGCTGTGATGATGGAGAGGGGACAAGGGTGGCTTTGGTGGCACTTTGGGGTCAGAAGCCCCATTTCTCAAAGCACACTGCTGCTAGAGAAGAGACAAGAGTGGCTTCGGTGGCACTTGGGGGTCAGGATCCCTGTCCCTTAAGGCACTGTGATGATGATGGGGCTGTGGGGTGGCTTTGGTGGCACTTTGGGGTCAAGACCCCCATTCCTCAAAGCACACTGGAGCTGGAGCGGGGACAATGGTGGCTTCGGTGGCACTTTGGGGTCAGGAGTCCTATCCCTTAAGACATAGTGGTGCTGGAGAGGGACAGGGGTGGCTTTTGGTGGCACTTTGGGGTCAGGAACCCCCCATCCCGCAAGGCACAGCGAGGTGGCGGTGGGGACGTGCAGGTGGCCCATCGGGGCGAGGAGCCCCACCCTGGCGAGGCGGGGCGGGTGCTGTTTTTTTTTGGGGGGGGGGGTGGTGATGGTGGGGGGCAGAATCTCAGAAACCCCTCGCCTCCGACGCAGCGTGACCACAGCGGGCGGCACCTTCTTCTTGAGGCGGTTGAAGTCCTTGGCCGAGCGCCACAGCCAGGTCTGCAGCTCCTTCAGCAACCAGAAATCATCCATTTTCTTGAGGAAATCATTGGGGGCGACGGCGGCGCCGGGAGGGGCGGAGGGTCCGGCGGGTAACGGGTAACCCAAAGACGACATGACGCCGGCGATGCTGAGCACCAAGCCTTGGAGGCTGGAGCAGAAATGGCCCAAACGGTGCCGCAGCTCGGCCGTGCCCGTTTGCCCGTCCAGCGCCCGCAGGTAGCAGAGCAGCCGGCTGTAAGCCCGGTAGTTGGCGGCCAACCGGGCGTTATCGGTCAACCCCCGCCACAAATCCAAATCCACCGTGGCGCTGGGGACCCGCTCGGCGCGTGCCAGGCGCGGGGGGTTGAAGTCGGGTTCGTTGAAGGGGGGGCCCAGGTAGTTCAGCTGTAAGGGAAACAAAGGGGTGAGTGGAAGGGGTGGAGGTTGTCGGGATTTTGGGACACACACACACACCCACGCTGAGGGGGTGGGTTGCCACGTCTTTGCGCCCACCATGTTTCCTGTCGCGGTGTCCCCAGTTTGGATGTGCCCTGTCCCAGGCCTCTCCTGCCCGTCACGTCCCGCCACCCACCGTGTCCCCACTCTCCATGTCCCCCGGGTGCGCTTACCCGGCTTATCGCAGGTCCCCGTGTCCCTCTCAACCCACCCACCACGTCCCCAGGCTCCATGTCCCACCCCCATCCCGTGTCCACCACGTCCCCTTCCATGTCCCTGGTCTCCATGCCCACCACGTCCCCAGTCCCATGTCCCCACACCCACATCCCATGTCCCCTGGGTGGACGTGCCCACCATGTCCTACGTCCCCCAGTTAGACCTGCCCACCACGTCCCATGTCCCCCAGTTGGAAGTGACCGCCACGTCCCATGTCCCTAAAGTGGATGTGCCCACCATCTCCCTCGTTCCTCAGTTAGACGTGCCCACCATGTCCCACCTTCCATGTCCCACGACCCCCAGTTGGACGTGCCCACCACGTCCCACATCTCCCATTCTCCCACCCTTGTCCCCAGCCCCGCACATCCCATCCCCATCTCCTCCCCGCCACCACCCACCTCTCGCACCCACAGCTCCAGGCACCCATCAGTGGGCCCTTCCCCTACCCCCCACCCCACGGCCGTGCCACCCTCGTCACCCACGTGCCGGCACCGCCGGGGACACGTCAGGGCAGAGATGGGGAACCCCCCCCCGGGCCGGCGGGCAGGGAGAGGCACCCGGGGCCGATGAGACATTTCCGTGGCCGCCGGCGTGGGTGCAGCCCCACGGCCCCGCCGGGGAGGGCGGGTGGCACCGGGCGAGGGCGTGTGGGTGCAAACACGTCAGCGGTAACTGCAGGGCGTGTTACGGCACACGCATGTCCGGGGAGTCATGGGGGGGGGGGTGTTTGGCAAGGAGGCGCCTTGTGTGTGCACAGGGATGCGTGTGAGCTAGACACACACACACACACACGTACATGGGCAGGCACATGGGTGTACACGCATACATGTATGTGCAGGCATGCATGTGCAGGCACACGGATGGGCGCACGCACGAGTGTGCAGGCTGTTGTACTGGGGCACATGTGCACATGTATGTGCGGGCACACGTGTGTGGGCACACGGAGGTGTGTGCAGATGGGCATGCAAGGCACACCAATGCACATATGTATGTGCAGGCATGCGTGCGTGCAGCTGCACTGATGCACACGTACACGTGCAGGCACTCCAGTGTGCATACACACGTACAGACACACACACACGGGCGTGCAGACACACACGAACGCAGGCGCAGCAAGGCACAAGCACATATGTATGGACAGGCACATGTGAGCAGGCACAGTAACACACACACACGTATGTACAGGTATGCATGCATGCGGCTGCACTGATGCACACCTACACACATATGTGCAAGCACACCGATGCTCACACATGTATGTGCAAGCACATACATGTATGTACACGCACACCAATGCTCACACACGTGCAGCCACCCCCCGTGCACTCGCACACGCATGCATGCCCTCACCGTGCTGCTGCCCACATTACCCCCCCCCCCCCATGCCACCATGCCCAGGGGGTGCGTTGGGGACACACACACACACCCCTCTGGTGGGGGTGCACCCCATCGTGGGGGACCCCCAACCACCCACCTCATCTCCCAGGGCCGACGGGTGGTTGAACGGGCACCCCCCCCCAGTCCTCCCTGGGTGCCGTGGGGTGCGGGTGGGGGGGGGGATGCAGGGTGAACCGCCCCCCTCCCCTTACTCACGTAGGTGCCGGCGAGGGTGCGGAGCTGGTGCTCCAGGTAGCGGGTCAGGTCGTAGGTTTTTTGGATGGACTGGCCGGCGCCCAGCTCCTCGGTGCAGTTCAGGGCCGGCAGCGCCGGCAGGTTGCAGAGTGCGGCGCAGAGGAAGGTGAAGATCCCCCAAGAGTCTCCTGCGGGGACACAGCGTGGGGCAGGGGGGTGTGTGTGTACATAAATTTGGGGGTGTGGAGGGGTAGGGGGCACCTCTTCCCACCCCTGAGCTTCAGGTGATAGGGATACCCCCAGCCGCGGGGAGGAACCCCCAGCACGGCACTGCTGAGCCCCCCCCTTCCCCGTGTCACACCCTCCCCCCCCCCCCCACTCATGGGGTGACCCAACTGCCCGTGGGGAAACTGAGGCACAGCAGGACAACGCGCAGAGGGTCACAGGGGGCAGCGGGACCTGCCACAGCTCACGCTTTGGCACGGCCGCGGCGACGCCGTGAGCCCGGAGCGATGCTGCCGGCACAGCCGGGCGGCGGGGACCCCCCGCTTTGCCCCACGGACACCCCGCACCCCCCCTCGTGTCCTTCCTCCCCCCCAAGCCCCGGCTCCCCTCTGCGCGCTCCCGCCCGCGGGCTGCAGCAACAATCCTTTATATGGTCTGGAGCGAGCGCGGCTCCCGCCGGGACGGCACGGCTGGGTTATATTTGGCTCCGACAAGTCCCCCCCCCTCAATGCCCGGGGTGGGGTGGGTGTCCCGCACCGAGCGGGGACCCCCGGCCACCCGCACCCGGGTCTGGGGGGGATGATGAGAGGATGGGTGGGGGGGAGACGACACACACATGAGTGGGTCAGAGCCCCTCGAGGTGGGGTGGGGGTGTGGGGGTGACCTTTGCCGGAAACCGCCGAGCCGGGTCCCCGTCATCGGGCCTGACGTCAGGGCAGCCCCGTCAGCCGTGCAAAGGTCGCGGTCGTGCGAAGGCCGAGCGGCACCTCTCGGCGCGCCGCAGCCCCGGGGCTTCCCGGCAGCCAATCCCCCCCCCCTCCCCGCCCCGGCTCCCTGTGACAGGGTGTCCCCGTGTCCCCCCCCCTCCAACCCCCCCGGGTGTGAGGCCGGCGGGAGGCCCCGCGGTGCCCTCGCGCGTCAGCACTCCCCATCACGGTGGGAGCGGCCCGAGCGCCGGTGACGCACGAGGGTCCTGGGGGACACCCCGGGTCTGGCTGTGCCGGCCCCGGCACGGCGAGGACCGCCGTTTCCCAGCGGCGTGTGGGTGTGCAGCTCGCCGGCGGGTGTGCGACATCCTGCACACACGCCTGTGGTACGCCCTGTGGGCGTGCAGCCCGGCACACGCCCTGGCGATACGCCCTGCGGGTGTGCAACAAGCTGCTCACACCTGCAATACACCCTGTGGGTGTGCAACACAGCACATGTGCTGGGGATGCAGCCTGCGGGTGTGCAACGCGCTGCACCGATCTGTGATGCACCCTTCAGGTGTGCGACACGCTGCTCACGCCTGTGATACAGCCCGTGGGTGTGCAACACAGCACACACAGCGGCGATACACCCCGCGGGCGTGCAACAAGCTGCTCACACCTGTGACGCACCCTGTAGGTGTGCAACACGCTGCTCATGCCTGTGCTATACCCTGTGGGCGTGCAACACACTGCTCACGCTGCAATACACCCCCGGGTGTGCCACAAGTTGCACACACCTGTGACGCACCCCGTGGGCGTGCAACACAGCACACACGCTGGCCATACACCCCACGGGTGTGCAACACATGGTGGGGCCGTGCAGCACCACGCCATGTGTGGGTACTGGCCGCCCCATCCAGGCGGTGCCGTGGCCCCTGCGGGAGCGTCAGGTCCCTCGTGTGCGTGGGATGGGCGGTTTGGTTTTGGGGTTTGTTTTTATTTTGGGGGGGGTGTCACGCCGCAGTGACTCACCCGCCCCCGGGGTGTTTGCTTTGGCTGAGCCCCGGCACCGCTGGGCTTGGCCGGACCCTCGCCCGCCGCCGGCTCGAGTTTCCAGAGCGGGATTTACACCAGCCCCGGTCATGCCGCAGCCAAACCAAACACGGGGGAGCCGGGCCGGGGGGGGGGGATGCAGCAGGGACACCGGGGCTGGCACGGAAGGGACAACGATGGAGCCACTGACGGCTCCCGGGCAGGTGGCCGGGCCACGGGGTGGATGAGGATGAGGAGCACGAGGATGAGGAGGAGGGGGAAGGGGATGGAGAGGTGCCGGGTGGAGGCGGATGGTTGAGGGACGCACGGCCCGGCGGTGGCACAGGCGGTGCGGGCGGCACGGCAGGGCTGGCGGCCAGTGCGTGGCAGCAACGGTAGCCACGCACAGCCACGGTGGGTAGCCCCAGCTGTCCCTTCGGGCCACCCCGGTTCACAACGACACGACGCCGGGCGGAAAATGTCCGGGCACCGGCACAGACAATGGCGGCGGCGGCGGCCCCGGCGGGGAGGAGGCGCGGGGCCGGCACAGCTGGATCCCGGTGACGTCGGAGAGGAAGAGCCCGAGGGTTTCAAAACCGGCCCTGGAGCCCGGCCAGGACGTTCCCAGCCCACGTAAGCAGCTCACGGCGTGGCTGCCCGCGGTCACCCACCGGGCCCCGGTGGCAACTGGGAGGCGGGGGGGGGGGGGGGGACACAGAACCGGCTACCCCCCCCCTCCTTCACCCTCGCCACCACCAACAGCACCCCGGGGGCACCCATGGGTGAGCGGCCGCTTGCCGCGGTGCCACCGGGCATCCCCAGCGCACGTGGCGGTGGGGACGTCGCTCCCCCACCAGCAGGACCCCTGTTTCCCCCCGCTCCTCCTTCCTCCCAGTTCCCCCCAGTACCCCCACAGCGGCGCAGGCGGCCGGCGCTGGCCAGACCTCCCGGCGAGCAGCCGAGGCGGGAGCGCAGCCGCCGTGCCGGGTGAGCTGTTTTCCGGGCATTCTGTGGGCAGAGACCACAAACCGCCCCGGAGCCGCTTTCCCGAAACCCTCGTGGCAAAGCGGTGCCCGCCGCGGGGGTGGCAACCGGGGGACAGGGACAAAGGGGGGACACAGGGACCACCACCCCCACCCGCCCCCCCCCTCGCCGCGGAGCCCTCGGGGGCAGCGGATGAAGCCAAAGCGGCCCCGTGGCCCCTGACACGGCGGCGGGAGTTGCCGTATCTGATGGGCCGGGTTCCAGCCGAGCCCCGTCCCACCCGCGGCGTGCGTGCGAGAGAGCCGAGCCCGGGCGGTCCGGCGGTGGCCAGGGGTGACCGTGACACTGAAGACAAAGTGGCCCTGTCTGCAGTGGCCACCGCTCGCCCGTAACCCCGACCGGCAGCGCTGAACTCATCCCGGGGCGGCGGGTGGCAGCCAGGCTCTGCCCAACCCTTCCTCCGTGGGTCCTGCCCACAGCTCCCAGTGCCCACCAGTTGTCCCCCCTCCGCCCCCCCCCACAGCGGCCCCGCAGGGCTCCCAGCGAGCGAAGCCCCCGCGCCGAGTGTTTACATCCTGTCTCCTCCGTGTGTTTATAAACGCGGCCGTGCGCGGGAGACTCCGGCGAGGCCGTAATTAGCTGGGCCTGGATTTCCCATCCGGCTTCAGCGCGATGGAAACACCCCCACCGGCAACTTGGGGGGGGGGGGGGGGCTTCCCCCCCCCACTCTAATCCCAACCAGACCCCATCACCCTGCATGCACAGCCAGCCTGGCCATGGGCACGGCCCCCCCACTCCCCCAGCCAGAGTCACGGGTGTTTCAGCAGAGTTGGGGACCCCCGGTGCCAACCCCCCCTCCCCGGGGGGGACGCCGGCTCCTTCTCCATCTCGCCTCCAGAACCCGCTGCCAGCGCCGGTATCTCCCCCGCTTTGGGGGGGTGGTGCTGGGACACACACACACACACCCCAGCAGCTCAGTGTGGACCTGAGCTGGCTCTACATGTGTGTGTCGTGTGTGTGTGTGTGTCCCCCCCACCTCAAAACTCAGGACACCTCCCATCACCCAAACGGCAATTCACCAAATGTCCCCGCCGTGCCGGGACAAGCGCATCCCCACGCGCCTGCCCGACATTGGCACTTGGAGCGGGGGGGGAGCAGACAAGGGACCACCCCGTGCAAGGGCAAACGGGGTGTCAGCCCCCCCTCCTCGAGGCAGAGGTAGGAGCCGGGGGGGGGGGGGGGCGGGGGGGTGGTGTGTGTGGTGATTTATGGAGCTCTGTGCCACTTAGCAGGGCATAAATCTCCCCCCAGGCCGGCCCTGTAAGCAGAGCCCTCCGCATTTCCCCTCGGAGGCTGCTGGCAGGCTGCGCCTAATTCAGCCCAGATGTGTGCCGCCACCGTGCCCCGGCGCAGGCTGCTAAATAGGCGCGGGGACACCGGTGTCACCGAGTGTCCCCGAGCCTCGCCAGGGCTGGAAAACTGGGGCCGCCGCTGGCTGTGGATACCCCAAAACCAGGAGCTCGCGGCTCCCCCCGCCGCACCGGACTCAGCGTCCCCTTCCCGTTCCGGCACCGGTCACTGGTTCACTAAAGGCCCCGCGACACCGGCTCCGTGGCCCCGGCAGCGGGTGGGAAGGGGAGAAGGAAAAGGGTGAGGGAGGGCGACGGGGATCCCGGCCTCGCTTTTCCGGTTCCGGCGCTCGCCCCGGTTTTGCCCGTCCTGCGTCACGGCGGCAGCGCAGGAGCTGGAGCCGAACCCGGCGCCGGCCTCGTGCTGCCCCGGTCTCACCGGGTGGGAGCCCGGGGAAACTCGTGGCACCCACGGTTTGACCTTTTAAGGGTGTTTTTCCAACGTTTTCCCGGTCCTTTCTGGGTGAGGAGCCTCCGAGCCCGGTGTGCCACGGGGCCGGCCAGCCCCCCGACCGTCCCGGCTCTCCCGGGACCCCCGAGGCGGCCGCTCGGACCGGGGGAACAAAACCGTCCCGCAGCCGCAGGGAGAGTCCCCTCTGGAGAGCGACATTTCCCCGGGACCCCAAAACCCCGCCGCCATCTCCCAGAATAATCTCGCCCGCTTCGGCAAAGGCTTTCTCAGGCAAACCCCCCCAAATCCAGCCCTCGGGCAGGAAAAAGAATTTTTCCTGCTCCCCAAATCCCAGCGACTTTCATTTTCCTCCCTTCTGTCAGTCCTGGGGTTTAATTCTCCGTGCTCAGCGGCGGTTCCCTCCCTGGTAATCACAAACATGCATGGAAAAGAGGGAACGAGAGAAAGGGAAAAAAAAAAAACAACAAAAAAACAACTCTCAAAAAAAAAAAAAAACCTAGAGAGGGGAAAGTCTTAAATCAATCCCAAAGCCAGACAGACGTTTTAATCACATCAAATTAAAATCAGCAGTGGCTCGGAAAGGAAAAACCATGGCAGGCAGAGCACAGGCAGCCCCCCGCCCCAGCCCCGGCCGGCAGCGCCCGGCGCCTCGGTCTTACCTGAGAGCTCCCCAGCAACATTTAGCATAGTCGGGGTGCAGGGTGGGGTTGGGGGGCAGAAGGCGCAGAGGGGGGGCGAAAGGAGCCCGAAATGGGGGCTTGGCTCTTGCTCCGTGTCCCGAGCAGCCGGCCGAGCCCGCCTGCTCGCCTCTGCCCTGGCTCGCTTGCTCACTTGCGTTCGCTCGGGGTTTGGTTTTGGGTTTGGTTTTGTTTTTTTTTTTTTTGGTTTTTTTTTTTTTGGTTTTCAGTTTTGGGTTGCTTTTCAGTTTGTTTGTTTGGGTTTTTTGGGGGATTCTTTTTTTTTTTTTCGCTTTTCCTCTCTCTATTTGTTTGGGTTGGTGATCGCTTGGGTGTTAGGTGGAAAAACCCCAAGCTGTGCGGGTCGGGTGGGTTTTTGGTGTGCGAGTGTGTGCACGGTTCGCACCACACTCCGGCTGCCTCGCTCGCCGCCTTTCCCCCTTCCACCTCCCTTGATTTGCTCTTTTGATTGGTGTCCAGGAATGCAAGAATAAAAAAACGCGAGCTCGCATACACCCTCTCCAAGCTGCTGCCTCCCTTCTTTGCCTTTTTTTTTTTCCTTTTTTTTTTTTTTTTTTTTCAAATTTCAAGTGTTAAGCAGAACCAGGTTGCTTTCAAGAATGTATTTGATGCAATCGTACACAAGAGCGGGCTCCATTCATTCCCTCCCTCTCCCCCTCCTTGGCCTTTTCCCCCCCCAGTTCCTTTTCCCATCCCCGGGGTCCCAGTACTGGGGTAGGGGTGGGGAGTCTGGAGCCGAGCCCCGGCTCCGCAGAAGGCAGTTGGAAGGAAAGGGGGTCCAGTCGGGCAGAATAAATGGGACCCCCCCGCTTTCTCCCTCCTTTCGCCCCCCTTCCCCTCCCCGGTTCTGGCTCCTGCACGGCTTTTGTTAGTGGCAGCGGTGGGGCCGGTACCGGGGCCGGTACCGGAGCGGGGGGGGGGTTACCGGGTGGGGGGGTATCTCCTACCTGCTCGTAGCTCCATGCGGGACAGGCGCGGGGCGGTGGATGCGTGGTCGGGATTTCCCGGGTAGGCAGGCAACGGTCCCGCACACCGGACCGGGACTACGGCTCCCATTTGCCGGTCGGAGCCTTTCTCGCCTCTTCTCCTCCCGACGTACAGAGCCGCCGCACGCCGAGAGCCCGGTCCCCCGGGGGGGGGCGGTGGGGGGGGTCCGGGAAAGGAGAAAAGGGGTGTGTGTGTGTGTTGGGGGGGGGGGGGGAGTGTGGGGAAAAAACACGGGGCGAGGTGCGGCGGGAGCGACTTTTCTCACCGCCCCGCAGCGGGGTTGGGGTGAAGGGGGGGGTGAAGAAGCGGGATGGCGGGGGGGGGTGGCGTGGGGTGCCAGCTTGCCCCCCCCCCCCCCCCCCCCGGGCGGGTAGGGGAGAGGTGGGAGCGGGGAGGGGCGGGTAGAGGGATGGGGAGGCGCAGAGACAGGCGGGCAGGCAGCGAGGGACGGCCGGTGGCGGGACGGGCAGGGGCTCCTCGGCAAAGAGGAGGGGGGGTGCTCCCCGGGGAGTGAGGGGGGGGGAAAGGGGGCGAGGAGACACCCCCCCTTCCCCGCCTCAACCCTGCTGCCCCACCAGGATGGCGGCAGGTGAGCGGACACGGTGAGAATTGGGGGGGGGGTGGGGGGGGTGTGCAGCCGTCGGGGCCCCAGAACTGGAGCCCCTGGGAGCAGCGGCGGCTCAGCTCCGCTCCCATCGCACCGGCTGCGGGGGGGACACTCTGCTTGTCCCGGTGTCCCCCCCCTCCCCAGCCAGGTCCTGTTGTCCCCACGGCCAACGGCTTCCCAATTAACTTCCCCCCCACCCCGGTGCCCGTGGGGATCTTGGCAGTGACTGCAGCGTTTCTCACAATCCACTCGGGGTGAGTGGGGTGGGAAGCCGGGGTGAGGGCAGAGCCCCCCAGGGCCAAGCGTGGTGTGAAAACCCCCAAAACGCAGCAAGAAGGGAGAGGGAGGAAGAGGGGGGGTGATCCGACAGCCAGACATGCCCCCCTCCCGCACCCCATTCCTTCCCCTCGTGACCCACATCCACGAGTGGGTGCTGCCATGGAGGCAACACATTCCCCCCCCACCCCCCACCGTGGGCAGGGGAAAGTGGAGGGGTTCTCTCTCTCTTGGCGATGAGGGGGGGAAACGTGGTTGTCGCCTGAGCTGGCTCCCCCCAAAAAAAAAAAAAATAGAAAAGGGAAAAAAAAAAAAAAAAAAAAAAAAGAAAAGCTTTGTTTAAAACAAAGGGCCGGCACTGCCGGGGAACGCCGGGAAGGGCCGGGAGGTAAAAGGCAGATTTGTTTCCACTCCAGCCCCCCAGCCCTGGCCAGGTCTGAGCCCTCCCGGCTCCTTTGCTGGCAGCGATCGCATCCTCCCGGCTTTCTCCAGGGCACGGAGCAGTCTTTCCCCAAATCCCTAAATTCAGTGCTAAACCCAGCCCCCCTATCCCCCCTCCGCCAAGGTTTAGGGATCCCCCTAAGGAGGTGGTGGTGGGACAGCCCCCCACGCCAGGATGGAGCTGCTGGGGAAAAGCAGCGGCTCGGCAGAGGGAAGGTGCCGTGGTTCACCGGCAGTGTGCCGGAGGGCTGGGGGGTTGGGGGCTGGGGGGTCCCCACCTCCACCCCTGCTCGCCCGGCATGGGGCCAGCCTCTCCGCTCCGCTCCCCCAACCGTGGGGCAGGGTATCTGGTTTCCCTCCCCAAGCAAAACAGTCCCTGCCAGCAGCGTGGAGCAGTTGGGAAAAGTCGTTTTCAGGTCCCTGGAGGGGGCTGGAGGGGGGGCTGGTGAAGGGGGGGGTGGGGGGGGCTCTGCAGCATGGTCAGGGCTGCCAAAGTGGCTGCCCGCATCGGGGAACGCTGCAGGGGTGGGGGGGGACATGACATCAAGTCCTGCCTGGCCAGGCAGCAGCTCGTCATTGCCCTGTCCCCTCCCCAGAAGGGCAGCGCTGAGGTTGGTTTTGGGGAGTTTTCCAGCTCGGCTGACGCTGGGCCAACACCTGATTGAAGAGGAGGAGGAAGAAGAGGAGGAGGCGGAGGAGGACAACACAGCCAGCCGCCATGGCACGAGCCCCCCGCTGCCAAACCCAGCAGCCCCGTGGCAGCCCCCTCGCCCAGCCAGCAGAGCTGGTGAGTGAGACCCTCTGCCCCCACTGGTGCCTTCCTCACCCCCTGCGTGGGTGAGGCCACGTCCCACTCTGCCCTCGGGGACCACGTCACCGGCAGCGCTGTGGGCAGCTGACCTCACCTTCGTCCCCACCCCAGGCGGCGTGGGTCCCACGGCCGGCGCCGCGGCTCGGCCCGGCCTCCCACTGCTGACCTTTGCAGCGGACAGCGCATTGCCTGCCCACCCACCCACCCACCCGTGGCCCCACGAGGTCCTACCTGACCCTTCCGCCGTCCCCAGCTCCGTGCCCGTCACATCCCGGGGCTGCACCGCTGCCCTGGGCTGCCAGGAGATGGAGGAAGGAGAGAAAAACAGGTTGCTGAGCGCCCACAAAATTGGCACCAGGGAAGGGTGTTAGCCCCAAACCATCTGTAGCCTCCCCAAACCGCGAGCTGGGTGCTCAGGGTGTTACCCCAGCTCCTCGGGGACCTCCGTGGGGATGCAGCCAGGGGATGTCTCAGGGTACGGAGCAGTGATTCAGACGGCAGCAGCAGGCGCCTGTCCCCTCCCGCTGGGCAGGGAGCAGGAGCCCAGCTGTGTCCGTCTGTCTGGCCGCGCCACTTGCCTGGGCAAGGGCACCGCGCCATGTGCTTGGGAAGGAAAACTCTCGGGGTAAACCAAGGAGCAACCGGCGCTGGGAGACAGCCCCGAGGTCGCTGGGTGGGAGGGGACACCCAGGGACAGTGGAGAAGGTGACAGAGATGAGGGTGCTTGATCCCGGGGGTGGGCTGAGCCCGGGGGTGCCAGAGCCCACCGAGGGTTTGCCAGGCTTCTCCTCCCGGTCCCGTATCCAGCCTGGTCCCTGGTGCCTCATCAGCGCTGGCTCGGGGCGGCCAGGGGAAGAGGGAGGGGTGCGCGTGGCTTTGGCCACCGCTGAGGTGTGTGTGTCACGACCGCAGGCAGCTGCGTCCTATCCACAGCCCCATAAAACGCCGAGCCCCGAGGCCAGAGCCCCTCTCCTGGGGATGGCGGCTCCAGAGGAGCCCGGCTGCTGTTCAAGAGCTGGAACGGACGCTTGCACACAATCCCATCCTCCTCCTGGGAGGAAGGGGCCGGTAGCCAGTGCTTACCCCAGGGGCGGAGGGAACCAGATCCAGGCGACCCTGGGGGGCTGGACCCCCAACCCAGGCCAAGGCAGACTGGGGAGTCCCCCCTGAGCCCCACCACATGCAGGCGGCTCGGTACAGAGGTCGAAAGTTTGTGTACCTAGAGGGGGGAACGCACTGCCGAGGGTGGAGGGGGGGGGGGGGCATCAGGTCCAAAATCCTGGCTGTGGAGAAGCGCTGAGCACCAGCAGCACACCTGAGATGGTGAAGAGGAAGAGGAGGAGAGGCCTGCAGCTCCATGCTCCCTGCCTCCCCCCCGCCCAGCTCTTTTCAGGTGCCAGCCTCACTCCACAGGCTGCATATTGGGGCCACCGATCCCGGGAGTTGGGCAACTGCTGAGCGCCAGCACGGGCAGGAATTGGCTGAAGGACCTTCCTGCCCGGTTCCTCGCTGCCAGATCCCCTGGCTTCCCTCAAAACCCCAACTCAAATGCCAAGCTGCCTAGGCACCTAAAGAAATGTGCTGAGCTCCCCCCATACAGTGCCCAGCAGGAATCTTTATCCTCCCGATTGCTTTCCTACCCTCACACACAGCACCCGCCTGCCAGGGATGAGCTTCCCGCTTCCCGCCATGGCGCAGCCAGAGGATGGAGACCAGCTGCGGCACCTTCCCCGTGTGCCCTCAGCTGCTGCCCTGGGGTTCTGGAGCAACAGCAGGCAGGCACCCGAGGGGTAGGCCGGGGTCCCGGGGCGAGCAGGGTGTGAGATGGGGCTACCAAACCCCCGGGGAATGGCGCAGCCGCCTCAGGGAGGCCCAGGGGATGGTGTCGGGGGAGGAACAACACACAGACCGTTGGGAGGGCCCAGGGATGAGTCAGAAGGAGCCGGAGGGCTGGCGGGCAGCCGCGGGGGCAGGGGAAAAGCCCGGGGCCGGGCTGAGGGAACCGCGGCCACCCTGAGGGATCAGCGGCCGCGGCCGCCCTGAGGGCCGCACACCCGCCGCTGGTCGTCGAGGCCCCATTGGCTGAGCGGCACGCCACTCCGAGAGAACGGCGGCGCCTGCGCCCCCCTCTGTCCAATAGCGAGCGAAGGGTGGGGCTGTCCGGCGCGACCCTAGGTCACGTGAGGCGAAGGGCGGGAGGGCCGCCGGGCCGTTCACGCGGGCCCGCGCCGACCAATCGGTGGGCGGAGGAGGCGGGACAGAGGGCGGCTGCTATCCAATGGGAAGGCGGCGGGGCGGGGGCGGTGCGGGAGCGGGGAAGGTGCCGGCGCGGCGCGGAGGTGAAGCGGGCGGAACCACTGGGGGTTGGGGGGGGGGGGGATAGGGCAAGACCATTCCGCGAACCGCTGGGGAGGCGGCACCTCCAAGGCGGGGGGAGACGAATTCCAGGGGGGGCGGCGAGGGGGAGCTGGGCGCGTCCATCAGGGTGAGCGGGGGGGGTGGGGGGAAGTAAAGCCGCTGCCGCGCGGGCCTCCAGACGCAACCATATGGTGTAGGCGTGGCTGAGGGCGCGGGGGCGTGGCTAAGGGCGTGGCCAGAGCTCCGAGGGGCGGGGCTCGGGGCAGGCGCGAAGACCCCACGTGTTCACCCGGTGCCCCCCCCCCCCCCCCGCCATGAAGTGCATCGTCGTCGGTGGCAACGTCAAAGGTGAGCGAGGCCGTGGGGTGGGGGACATGGACACGGGTGGGGTGTGGGGGTGCTCTGCCTCACCCTCCTCTTCTTCACCCCCCCGCCACGTCCCCCCCAGTCCTTGGCCGAGCTGTGCACTCCCTGTCCCGCATCGGGGACGAGCTCTACGTGGAGCCCACCGAGAGCGGGGTATGGGCACCGGGGGTGGGGGACACACCTAACTGGGAGCTGGGGGGGGTGGTGCCACCAGTGCCCCCCCCCCCATCCCCGCTGAGGTGTGGGGGGGCAGGCGGTACCGACACTGTGTGTGTGTGTCCCTGTCCCTGCGCACCGTCAACTCCTCGCGTTCCGCTTTCGCCTCCTTCCTCTTCGCGCCCCTCTTCTTCCAGCTGTACGAGGCGGGCGGCCCCCCGCCCCACAGAGAGCTCTTCCGATGCAAAGTCCTCATGAAGGTACAGCATCCCCCCAAACCCTCCCAAAACCCCCCCTTAATCTTGAGGGGGGGGAGTGGAAAACACCGACATAAAGTCCCCGCATCCCTCCCCCTGCCCGCAGTCCTTCCTGGGTGTTTTCCGCTCGCTGCCCTCGCTGGAAAAGACGGTGGGGAAATGCCTCATCCTCCTCAAACCGCAGGCCAGCCGCCTGGTTGTGCAGCTCCACTGCAAGTACGGTGAGTGTTTGGGGGGGGGGGGGGGGGCGGGGGGAAACACATATGACACACAGCAGCTTCCTCTCCCCCCCGTCCTGCTGAGCCGGTGCTGTCCCTGCCAGGCGTCACCAAGACCCACAACCTGGCCTTCCAGGAGTGCGAGCGGCTCCAAGCCGTCTTCGACACCCAGAAATGTGCCAGCAAGCTCTGCGCCTCAGCACGGTGAGCTGGGGGGGATGTGTGTGTGTGGGGGCTGGGGGGACACGGAGGGGGTTAGCGGGGCTGGAGGGGGGGACAGGGACACACTTTGAGTAGAGGCTGAGGTGGAAAAAGGGACACTGGGGTGGAAAAAGGGGGCTGCAAGTAGGTTGAAGGAGGGACCGTGGCCAGTCCTTGGGTGGTTGGGGGGAATTTGGGGGGGGGGCTCAGCCCCAGGCGTGCCCCCCGCCCCCCCCCCCTCCAAACATGCCCACAGGGTGTTGGCGGAGGCCGTGGTTCACTTCCCCCCGACGCTGGCTGAGGTGACGCTGGGGACCGGCCCTGGGGGCAAGATCAGCCTCCGAAACTACGTGGAGGACGAGGCGGGTGAGTGCTGGGGGGGGGGGGGGCCTTTCCCAGCTTTGGGGTGCCAACCCACCCCCTGACACGCCCCCCCCCCCCCCCCCCCCCCCCAGAGCTGAGCAAGACGATGGTGACAGAGCTGTGGCTGGCCAAGGATGAGTTTGAGACGGTGGCCGTGAGCCCGGGCTCCCACATCACCTTCTGCCTCAAGGAGTTTCGGGTGAGTCCCTCCCCACACGCCCCCCCCTCAGCGCCCCTCCTCAGCACCCCTCAAACCCCCACTTTATTCCCAGGGGCTGCTGACCTTTGCTGAGGCCTCCAACCTGCCCCTCACCATCCATTACGACGCGCCTGGAAGGTAGGAGGGGGGTACCCCAGCCCTGCCCCTCACCTCCCCACTCTTCCTCCTCCTCCTCAGCCCCTCTGTGCCCCCAGGCCGGTGGTCTTCACCCTGGAAGACACCGCTGGAGGTCCACCTGGTGCTGGCCACCCTCTCAGACCCCGAAAGCAGCTTGCAGCCCCCCACGGCCAACGGGTAAGTGGGGTGGCTTCAGGGAGGGTGACAGTCCCAGTTTAACCCGCTAGCTGCCATCAGTAGGGACCAGAGTGAACGGTCCCCACTCTGCCCCCGCTTTACTCGCTCTCTCCCCACCAGTGTCTCCCACCCCTGGCACATCTGAGGACTTCGCCGATGACCTCGAATCCTACATGATTGCCATGGAAACCAGCGCTACGAGGAAGGCTCGGGGGTGCCCCCCAGCCCCACCTTCCCCCTACGCACCCCACCACCTCCAGCTGAAAGCGACCTTGAGGAGGAAGAGGAGGAGGAAGGAGCTGTGCCAGGGACCCCCCCTCACAAAAAGGTCTGGGCTGGGCAGGGGAGATGGGCACAGCCTCCCCCCCTCACCCCATTCCTGACCCCCCCCCCCCCCGCCAATTTTTCCACACAGTTTCGCTCCCTGTTTTTTGGCTTGGTGCTGACACCAGGGGGCCCGGCCCAGCCCCCACCCAGGAGGTGCTGGCAGAGGACAGCGAGGACGAGTCCTGAGAGCCCCAAGGACACGGAGCTACCGACACCCCCCACCCCTCTGTGACCCCCCCCCACCCCCCTCAGCATCAACCCCCAAACACAGGCACCCCCCCACGACCCATTACAAGTTTATTCCCAAAAAATTCTCCTGCCCCCCCCCCCCCTCCACTGTCAGCCCAGGGCTGGGCTCTGGGCTCCCCCTCACCCCGGTGGTCCCTGCCCTTGGAGGGTGGGGGAGGCTGTATTTGGTTCAGTGGAGCGTGGCGGGAGGGGAGGGGGGGGGCTGCAGGATCTTACAAATAAAAAAACGAGTCGAAAGAAAAAGCGACCTGATGCTGAAAGTTGGAGGTGCGGGGGCGGGGGGCCAGGCCCCAGTTTGAGGTGGGGAGGAGGGGCAGGGGTGGCTCGCGGCTCATTTCTTGGCTTTGGCAGAGTTGCGGGGAGGGGTGACGGGGCGTCCTGCGGGGTTCAGCCCGCTGAACTGCCCGTATTTGCCCTTGTTCTTGTCGGCCGGCTTCAAAATCTGGTGGGGGGAGTGGGGGGGGAAAAAAGGGGTGAGTGGGGGGGGTGCATGCCGTGCCCCCTGCCCCAGCTCCCCCCTCCCCTCCTGCCTTGAGGGCAGAGGCTCCCCTCAACTCCACCTTCCCTTTTACACCCCCAGGAGGAACTGGGGCTCTCCTCCAGCCCCCCACTGTGTTCACCAGTGTTCCCCCCCCACCTCCCTGCCCCAACAGCCCCCCCCCCGGGCCCACCTGAAACGAACACATCAGCGTTTCGTCCACGCTCATCATGGCACCCGCGTTGTCGAACTCCCCGCAGTAGTTGGGCGCCGAAAAGAGGGTGACAAGCTGGCGCTTGGCGAAGAATTCGTAACCGTCCTCCACCACCTGCAGGCGTGGCGGAGTCGTAGCTGAGCCGGGCACCCCCAGGGCAAAAATTCACCCTCCTGGGGCAAATGTCCACCAATAGGGGCAAATATCCATCCTTGGGGGCAAATATTCACACCCAAGGGGCAAATACTCACCCACTTGTGGCAAGTACCCATCCTCTGGGAGCAAATATCAATCCCCCCAGGGGGTAAATACCCATCCTGGGGGGGAAATACCCATCCCCTGAGGGAAAAGAGTCATCCCCTGGGGGCAAATACCCCCATACAGGGGGCAAATATCCACCCCACTGTGGGCAGATATCAATCCCCCGGCGGTAAATACCCATCCAGGGCAGCCGAGGGCAAATACTCATCCCCCAGGGGAAACACCCATTCCTGGGGGCAAATATCCACCCCCCCTTGGGGGAAAATATCCCCAGGAATCTAGCCCACACAGTCCAGCCCACACCCCCCTAAAACCCTCCCAGTATCAACCATTCCCTTTGGGGGAAAATACCTCCCCAGACCCCCCACCTCTGCAGACCCAGGCAGCCCCCAGATTCAATTCCGCCCTTGAGAGGCAGATATGAGGGGTAAAAATGCCTGCCCCATACCCGATACCCACTGGGGACCCAAATCTGTGCCCCCCCCCAGGGGTACACCCAGCAGTCGGGTGCCCGGCAGTACCTGGTGTGCCCGGCAGATGAGGTCCAGGTCATGCTTGTGCAAGAATTTCGCCACCACCTCGGCCCCAAAGGTGAAGGAAACACCGCGATCATTCTCGCCCCAGCCCTGCACGTCCTTGTCGGGGTCAGACCAAAGCAGGTCACAGAGCAGGCCCTGATCCGGCACGTCCGTGGGGCGCATGATCCGCCGGATCTGCTCCATCGATTGCAGGTCGGGAGACAACCCTGCGAAGACAGCGGTGGGGGGTGGCAGCAGGCACTGTTATTTCAGCAACAGCCCCCCCCATCCTCCTGGGAACCCCCCAAATCATTGTCACAAAGTTCTTGTGTCCCCTCCACCCAGACTCCAGCCCTCAGTCGCTCCTCCAAAGCCCCAGGCAGGGCCATGCCCACCTCCGTGGCAGCAAAAGATCTTCTCATCCACGATCGCCGCGATGGGCAAACAGTTGAAGCAATCGGTGAACGTCTTCCAGAGTTTGATGTTGTATCGCCGTTTGCCTGCGGAACAGCGGGTGTGGGTGCCCAGTGGGGTCCCCAAGAGCCCCCCACGTGGGTTTTTTCCCCCCTGGGTGAAGCACCCGCAACTGTGCAGAGGCACTCACGGTGTCCTCAGGGTGCACACGCTGGTGGAGGTGGTTGGGAAGGGGGCGCAGGGTGGGCGTGGGACACGGTGTGGATGGCACTGGGTGCACTGGGGTGGTGTGGGTTGGTTGTGGGTGGGAGGATGGCACGGGGGTGGCAGGAGGAGTCACCCTGATCACAGCAACTGTGGATGGGGGTTGGCAGGGGACAACGTGGGGCAAGGGGAAGGGGGGACAGACACGCAGCTGCAGCCCGAGCGCTCACACTCGTCGTAGAAGCCATAGATGCGGTTGATGCTGGCGCACTCGTGGTTGCCACGCAGCAGGAAGAAGTTCTCGGGGTACTTGATCTTGTAGGCGAGCAGCAGGCAGATGGTCTCCAGCGACTGCTTGCCCCGGTCCACGTAGTCGCCCAGGAACAGGTAGTTGCTCTCAGGGGGGAAGCCCCCGTACTCAAAGAGCCGCAGCAGGTCGTAGTACTGCCCGTGGATGTCGCCTGAGGGGTGGGGGACAGGGCGTGGGTGGCACCCCAGCCCACCCGCACCAGCCCACAGCGGGCCCCAGTGCTGCCCATTGGGGCCACTGGGCCATACTGGGACCCCCAGCTGGTCCTCGTGCCCAGCCTGGGGTTGGGGTGCAGCACCCAGCCAGCCCTCACCGCAGATCTTGAGGGGTGCCTCCAGCTCCAGCAAGATGGGCTGGCTGAGGAAGATCTCCCGTGACTTGAGGCACAGCCCCCGGATCTCGTTCTCTGTCAGCTGCACGTTTTTCCCCGGCCGCGACCCTTGAACTGAAGGACGGGGGGGGCCCCCACCACCAAAGAAACAGGAGTCAGGGACCCTGTCGGCAACCCACGGGCACCCCACGGCGTTGGCACTGAGGGACGGGCATCAGGGCCGTGGCACACCCCCGTGCGCCCCACAGACTGGCAGGAGCAACGGGCGTGGGCGATTTGGGGGTGTCCTGTCGTTGCCGTGTGTGTCCCATCTCCCTCCCCCCCAACACCAGGGTGAGTGGGCACGGATCACCCCCCACCCCACGGGGTTGTGCCGGAGCTGGGGGGGGGGGTTGTGGCAGGGCCCCCAAACTCCTCTCCTGCACCAACCCAGCACCCCCCGTACCCCAACACCCCCCACACGCTGCCCCTTTCCCCTCCCCTCCCTCCCTCCCTCAGGTTTATCCCAAATCCAGCAGCCCCGTTACCAACCTGACCCCCTGACCCCCCAAACCCCACATCCCCCCCCCCCAACACCCAACTTCCCTGCTGCCTCTCAAGCCCCTCAACTCAATATCCAGACCTCACCTCCCACACACACCATCCAGGCCCAACACCCCCACCTCAACCAGGTGCCCCCCCCTCACGCCCACGGGCCCCCTCCCCCCCCCCCAAATTCTCCAGACCTTCCCGCCCCCCGAGGGGTCAGGCAGTGCCGGGGGGCTGTTGGGGGTCCCGGGGCCAGCGGGGAGGGGGCCGCTCACCCTCGAGGAGGCGGCTGATGATGGAGTCGAGGTTGAGTTTCTCGGTGTCCGCCATGGCCGCCGGACGCTGCCGCCCCGCCCCTTGGCGCCGCGCGCCCGGCTTGAGGGCGGGGAGGGGCGGGAGCGCTGGCGCCCCCTGTCGGCTCGGAGGAGTCAAGGCGGCCAAGGCGAGGGAGGAACCGGGGAGAGACACACACACAGAGGGGACACCCCCACCCCCCCACCCCCAAAAAAAAAAAAAAAAATCCGCGATTGAGGCGCACAGGGGCACCCCATCCGCTGCCTGAGGGACCTGCAGGCACCCCGTCGGCGGCACAGAGAATTGGGGACACCCGCGGCAGCGGGACACCCTGAGCAGGGGGACAACGAAGTGGGGGACACCCCACCCCCCACCCCCCCTCCATGTCCCCGCGTTCCTCGGGGTGCAGGGACAACCTGGGGATAAGGGAGGGGGGCGGGGGAATTGAGAGGGGGGCACGCCAGGAGGGACCGGCGTAGGTGGGGTCCTCAGTGGGCTGTGGTGGGGTACGGTGTTGGGGGGACATGGGGGGACGCGGTGCCTGGCAGAGAGCGGAGTGTCCCCCGTGTGTGTGTGTATGTCCCCCCCAAGGCATGTGACAGCTCCGGGACCGTGGGGCCACCGTCACTAGCAGCACCGGGCTGTTGCTGGGAGGCTGTTGCCACCTCGGTGTCCCCGGGGGCACCCCAAAGCCTGGGCTCCCGTGGGCACCCTTAGGGCTCTGGGGCCACGGGGGGGTGGGGGGTGGCACGGGGGGGCTGCGCCCCGTTTGGGCGTGTGTCGTCCCCCCCCGCACACACACCCACCAGCTTGTGGAGGGTGGGAGTGCTGGGGCGTGGGAGGGAGGGGAGGGGCCACGCCACGCCCTGCCACGCCGTGCAACGGCACGCCACGCCCTGACACTCCATGCCATGTCATGTCATGCCATGCCATTTCCCACGTGTCCCGTGTGCCATATCATGCCGCTCCCTGCGTGCCGTGCCGTGCCATTCCCTGTGTGACATTCCATGTCATTCCACACTATTCCGTGCCACGCTCTTCCACGCTGTGCCATTCCACTCCATGCCATGACATGCCATGCCATTCCTTGTGTGCCATTCCATTCCATTCTGTGCCATTCCGTGCCATTCCACTCCACTCTATTCTATTCCATTCCATTCTATTCCATTCCATTCCGTGCCATTTCACTCCACTCCTCTCCATTCCACTCCACTCCACTCCATTCCATACCATGCCGTGCCGTGCCACTCCACTCCATTCTATTCCATTCCATTCTGTGCCATTCCATGCTATTCCATGTCGTACCACCCCACTCCACTCCACTCCACTCCGTTCCATTCCATTCCATTCCGTGCCATTCCGTGCCACTCCACTCCACTCGATGCCGTGCCGTGCCGTGCCGTGCGGTCGGGAATAGCTCCCGGGGGGCAGCAGCCGCCTGGCCCCAGCGCTGACATTTCTGCTCCGCGGTGTCAGTTTTACAGCCGGCCCCGGGTGACCCCGCCGGGCTGTCCCTGTCCCCCCCTGTCCCCCCCCGTCCCCCTTTGTCCCTGTCCATGTCCCCCCGAGCCCCCCTGTCCCCCCCTGCTCCCCCCGTCCCCCCTTGTCCCCCCGCTGTCCCCGGCCCCGAGCCCCAGTGCCCCGCCGCCC